CTCAGTTGTTTTTTTGTTTTTTTTAACCGGTTTAGTTTTTTGTATTTTTTATTGTTTACGCGAAATTTTTCGTCTGCCCGCCGCGCTCATTTTACATGGGCGTGCGAGCCAAAAGGGATAAGGGGGTGTTGTGGCCAAGGGGGTGGGGGTGCTGTACGTGTAGTGTGCACTGTACAGCCAGCGCCATTATGTTTTGCCAGTGTATTCGTGTGAGTGTGTTTGTTGGCCCGTTTTTGTTGTTTCCATTTTTATATTTTATTCGCTTTATTTTTTCCGCTCCGACGCTTGGCGAGCGAATGAAATCGCGTTTGTACGCACACACACACTCGACCATTAAGGCGGCGCAGCTGTGTGAGTGCGCCGGCATATAGCATATGTATATGTATCTTTCAGATACGTTTTGCATTTTAATTTTATTTCCATGCTCTCGTTGCCCGAAGACCACGTTGCACATGTTTTTGTCCCTTTTTACACATTTTATTTTATACTTCGTTTTTTCTCCATCTCTTTGGTTTTTTGCCGCTGGCTCCGAGTTCTTTCCTTCGGAATATTCTGCTGCAGTTGCATCGCGTTGAAATACATAATTCGCAACGGGGTGGATGCGTAAATGGGCAATTTTTATTTATATATTTATTCGGTTATAAGATCCAAGCACATGTGCCGGGCAAAAACAGAAAAGCTGAAAGAGAAACGAGCTTAAGGGGTTGATTGGTATATAAAAGAGAATTCTTTGATGGCTTGTTAACGGTTTGGTTAAAATAAATTATGGCTAAGAATCTTTAATCTTGCTGGCAGTCCAATTAGTAGATTTGTCTATGGATTAATTCCGTATATAGAAAGGTTCTTCCGAGTACACATAAAATCTCCCGCAGACTTATGTAAGACCCCGGGGGCAAGATGGAATTTATCTCTGGAGGGCATCAAGATCTGTCATCCAAGATTATGTTTTTGACAGATATCAAGATATGACATATGAATGTTTAAGAAACTATTTATAGAAGATATAACTGTCAGCACATGTTAGAATTTACATTTTCAATTTTCAATTGATTTTATATTTTTTATAGAAAAAAACTTTTAAAAAATTACATATTTCTTAGAATATTATAGTTAACCTCAAATTTTTGTTTACCTCTAATTTACTAACGAGCATTCCTCCAAATACCTTTCCTCTCATTTTCCCTTCTTTTTAAAATAGTTCAAACAATATGCACAATTACTCAAACTCTCGATTTGAATAAAGACAAACGTAATAAACTTAAGACGCCAGTACGCCCCGAACTGATCCTCAAATGAGAGACCGGGCGAACCCACTTGAGTCATAAGGACATTAGGTCTTAGTTCGGGCTAAAAAAAGGAAGAACAACAATGAAAAAACAAGGAAATTCAGTTGTAAAACCGGCGACTCGAGCCACAGATACAGATGCGGATACACATGCTCGCCGGCTCGTAATCTTAATCCTTCACACAATAAACGCCCCTTGGATGGGCTGCTGTATGCTATATATACTTCATGGGCTTCTCTCCTCTGGTAGCAATATCCTGATCCTGTTTGCCGGCAGCGCCCTTCACAGCTTCGTTTTTCGGATTGTCGCATTATGGGTTTTCGAGCGGTCGCAGCGGTTCGTCCTTTTGTTTTAAATTAGCACGGCATGTTGCACATACGGCCTCAGTCCGTTCGTCGGTCCGTCCGTCCATCTGTCCGTCCGTTTGTCCGCTTGTCCGTATCTGAAACCCTCGAAAACTGCGAGCAATTTCCTACAAATTTGTCATTGACAAAGCATATTCGATTGTCGTACAGCGAATAGAAATTAGGTAAATTGCATTTGTGGTTCTCAGTTCTCAATGCAATGATAATGAATTTAGATAAATTATTTCCAGCCACTTCTATCGAAAAAGTAATGTCAACACTAATTAGCGATAAAAGGGGAGGACGAGGGAGGGGTAAAGACGGTCTGTGGCAAATAAATTAAATATTTTACCTATACAGGCCACTCAGATAGTTGCCTCCGTCTGCGGTGCATTGAAAGCTATTAAAGTAAATTGCACAGGTGCTGCCCCCTCGAAACCCCATAGACTCCATAGACCCATATCCATTTGTTTTGTTTCAGTTCTGAAGTAGTATCTCTATCGGACATGTGTACGGCCGAGTTTTCCTCATTGTCTGTGGGTCTAATTGCGATTTAATGTCTTGCCTTAGCGGAGTCTTCGGTTTTTAGCCCGCGATAACAGTAGCGTTTTATCAACGCAGAAATTAATGGAACTAGCGTGTCCCCCGACCAGGTGGGTTTCTATATAGCCATATATATATGGCGGATAGTACACCTCCATTAGTTGAGTGTGCGGGTGTTTTTCCCGCCATCCATTGGATGTGACTTAATGCCTTCCAAGTGGAACACCTTATCGCTTCATGGTGATTTATGCGACGCCTATTATGACTATAAATTCCCCGGAAGCTCTCCCGATATTCCTAAGAAATTCTCTACCTGGAAGGGGCATCGTTGCGGTGATTTTGATGGAATTCTTCCTTTTGAAAATGGATATTTTCAGGTATTAAGTTTACTTTAAACTCGGTTCTCCAAAACGAAGTTCGAAAAGCTTAGTAACAGCCTTTTAATACTTTTTTAAACTACTATAAAATTTACGAACTTTTAAAATAAAAATGCGTTAATAGACAAGCGATTTTCCGGATATTTTGGTAAGCGGTACTTTGGTAAAAATTTTACCATTAATGATACCCAATAATTGTTTTTTATGATTAAAAATCAGCGTGCAAGCCTGAAGTCATTTGAAAAATAATGGTTTCTTTGGCTTTTAATTTGGATCATAATTGCCAAAAGCCTACTTTGTTATTACTTTAATGAATATTTTAAAAGAAATGGCATGTGTGCGCTCTCTGAGCCCCCAATTGCACTGCCATCTGCCGATCCATTACGATCCACGCCGATCCATGCCGATCCACTTGCACAGGCAACATTAAAGCGGCACAAATTCGTTGTGCATTAATTAGACATTTTATAGGTGCAAGTTGGTATGGCCTGCATGCCTGTTGGCCGTTGGATGTTGGCCATTGGCGGAGCGCAGACCACAATTCTGTTTGGGCCTGGTCAACAGCAGACCGCAACTAAAACGGCGAGGTACAGAGGAGCATACATGTGTATGTAGCATCTGCCTGTATTTCGCATGGCTTCGATAAGTTACATTAATTTGATATACACACACTGGCAAATATAAGCCGAGTTACCGCCAAGTCGAGTTAACTAACCAACCAAGCCGGGTTAAGCCGAGCTCAGTTTTCAAGATGCGAGGGGCGATCAACCAGCTTGGGGATTTTTAATAATTTGTACAAGAAAATTCCATAAAAAAATCATGAATAAATTTAAAATATAATTTATTTTTAGTTGTTATATTAATTCTAATAAAATATTATATTTACTTATTTTTTTAAAAAGTACCCATATCGCTACTTCAAAAATATAAAATTCTAAAAACCGCATTTAAAAAGCATTACCAATTTGAAAGGCTTACTTTTTAGGACCTGACAACATCACCATAATTATTTCGACCGCAACCGTGTGTGGAAATGCATATGCAACATTTTCGCCATAGAAGCGGTATGCATTTGCGATTTTGCGCCAACTTCAAAGAATTCCGGGAACTCGGTTTCTCTATGGTCGAGGCATTGTCTATGCCTTGGTTTTGGTTGCATTTATGATTATGCCAAGGCGACACCAGTGTACTAGTACTAGTACCACCAAAGCACCAAAGAGCCAGGCGATAAATGTTGAACACACTCGCAGATCCAGCAAACATATGCACAGCCACATATGTGTAAGAGCGACTTGAGTTGGCCTGGCTTACTTTGTTTGGTCCCCGGCTTTTGGCCGACCTCACTCCCTGCTTCCCGCTCCCCCGATGGCTGTGTTTAAATTGAAAATTCCCGATTTGCACACAGTCACAGATGCGCTTAATTTGCACCTCTCCAAATGCATAAAAACCAAGAAGCCGTGATGGAGTTGCATTCGAGTTGGCGATGCTCGATGGGCAAAGGAGTACCATGGGTGAGGCTAAAGCCGAAGCCAAAGACGCAGTCGCAGTTTCAGTTGGTGACTTCAACACTCTCGGCCATGCGTGGCGGACTTCTTGGCAAAGAGTCACGGAGCTGGAGGAACCCCCCTTATAAAGGGAACCCTCCAAGGGAACCTCCCCCCCTCTAAAGTTCGCAAGACTCTCTTGGGCTGATTGCCGTTTTGTGGGTCTGCCATTGTTAATTTATTAAGTGGTTACCTTTGTTGTCACCCCGCCGGAGGAAGTGCCTTAGTTGCTTTCAATTGAAATTGCGCGGCGTGGCTGGGTTAATGTGGCTCTCAGCTCTCGGCACATGCCATAAACCAGAATCGAGAGGCCTCTGAGTCAGCTACGAAGATCCACAGCTAGATCAATGACCACTGCCCACGCCGAGTGATCCCAGGAAGATCTGAATCGAGTGTCTTAATATCGATTCCGATTCCGATTTGCCGCCTGACAAAGTGTCTGTATTAACGCCGGCCCAGCAGGCCGCTTGTTGACATAAGCGCCGCCATTAATTCCCCATCAACTCTAAGGGGTTTCTTTGTTTTTCGCTCTAAGTGCACTGGAAAAAATCAAAAGCTGGGATTACATAATAATAAATTTGTAGTTCTTAATTATTACAATAGTTTTATTAATATTTAAAACCATTTTCTAGTTTCGTTGGTATTATACAAAAATCTATGGTTATTTGTAGGGTTAGAAACATCTTAATTATTCTACAATTTCGAAACCTCATGATCGCTTGAGCACTACTATTGACTGATATTGTATCGAATTTTCAAAATTTAATTCTTAAGATCTTTCTTTAAAAATTATCTCTATTTTATTGATTAACAGCCAAAATTCGAAATTAACTTCCGAAATATATATATTCCCGGTTTAAAAATATCTAATTAATATCCCAATCATCTTGTTTTTTCTCTGTGTAGTCACATGGTGATCGAACGGACGACGAGATGCGCGACTGCGATTCCGTGGATGGAGAGCACCATCAGCTGAGCGCCAAGGCGGCGATTGCAGCCCGCTTAAGTCACACAGTTTCCGGCGGCGGAGGGAACTTCGCCAGTCCCGAACCACAGACCGAGTTGCCCCTGAGGTGAGTGACTCCGACGGCTCCTGATTAATGTCCTGGATGCGGAGGTGCAATAATCTCTATTTTCTCACAGCCATCACCATCAACTGCCGCCAAATCATCCGCTCAACGCTCTGGGCAGCTTCATGGGCATCGGCGGTCTACACAGCATTCCAAATCTGCAGCACAGCGACGTGCTTGAGAAGCTCAAGATGCAGGTGCGCGACATGAAGGTGGGCCTGATGGTGAGTGTCTTTGATATGGTATGATATATAAAATAAAATGTAAAATAAATTAGTATAATGTGCCCAGTATGGCATTACAATATCCTTTAAAAAAAAAATATTCAACCTGCTATAGTTTTGATTCAAGCTCTTTAAAACTAATATATTTTTTGATCAGATCTTCATAATTGTAATGTCAAACAAGTGGATTAAAAGTTGTTTGTCTAAAAAAGTAAATATAAATATTCCTGGTATTTACTTTATAAAGTTGTTAATCCATAAAAAAATCATATGATTTATTTACTTATAATTAAAAAGCCTCGTATCACCTGAAATCAAATTAAAGCTAACAAAATTATAAAATATTAGTTTTCTTAAATTGAAAATGTACAAAGAGTTTGTGAGTTTTAACTCCAAATTGAATAGTTTATTGAGGAAAAATTTAATATTAAATCTCTTATTTTTACCGCAGGAACAGGATTACGCGGCTGCAGCTCATGCCGCGGCTTTCGGGGCCAATATGCTGCCCACGACAATCAACTCGGGATTCCCACTGCCCCACAATTCGGTGGCTGCGGCGGCGGTGGCTGCCTCCTTTGGCCACGTGACCTCGGCGCCCAGTGGTGGAAATGGGAGCAGCTACAACGGAGGCACCACCACCACCCCAAGCTCCAACCAGGCGGCCACCAATGGAGGCGGCAACAGCAGTGGACCAGGAGGAACCGGAGGATCTGGCGGAGGTGGCGGAGGAGGAGGAGCCAGTGCCCACCAGTTCTCGTTTGCATCCCCCACAGCAGCGCCGAGCGGCAAAGAAGGTTGGTATCTAATCCTATCGCGTGGCAAACGGCGATCCATTTGTTGTTTAACTGTTGCACTCAGCCCGCCACTTTGCAGCCAATTCCGCATCCAACTCGTCGACGTCCAGCGAGGCCTCCAATTCATCGCAGCAGAATAATGGATGGAGCTTTGAAGAGCAGTTCAAACAAGTCAGACAGGTTAGTAGAGTTACTATTCTAGGGGTAGAGAAGGGGAGAGGCAGGGGTCGGGTTTGAGTCCAGGTCCAGTCAATTGAAATCGACAAAACTGTGTGTAAACAAGATGCAGGCAAGCTATCAATTAACGACTAATAGCCAGTCGCAGTCCATTGGGAGAGCATCTTATCCCAATCCATTCCCATTCCCACCTGGCCAAAGGGGCTTCGAAACCAGTTAAGAAGATGCTGTGCAGTCCAGTTTGTGATCTCGTTTCGGATCGAAACGGATCGGCACGGTTTGTGTTAGTGCCGCCTTGAGGCGTTCCAGGCGATACGATAGTTCCGGTTTGCAATTGAGCAATTAATGAAGCCCCTTTCCAGGGCGTTAATTTGGTGAGAAAATGCGATGGTTGTGGCTGTGGCTATGGCTAGCATCCCCCGGCATGTGAGGTCCAGATGCTGACCAAGAGCAATTAGTAGGCCCGAAATCCCAATCCCCTCTCCAGAGCAGTGCACAATTTTTGTTTTTCGGTCTGGTCATTAAATGTGGTTGCCAAAATCGAGATACAGATACACTGTGTGTGTGAAACTCGACAGCTTTTGGCTTGGTTTCGTTTGACTCGTCTCGCTTGGGCCATAAAAACCGAATTTCGATTAACTTTAAATGCACACACAACTCCCTTTCGGCCAGGCTATCCATCAAACGGAGCCCGCATTCTCTATGCACTATAAAAACTTTGACCCTCGCAATGCAATGCAAAAGATACTTATGTATCTCACGGATGTGGATATGTATCTGTAACTTCACGCTTAACACCTTCGCTTACACCGTGTGCGGGGCTCTTGAATGATGATGATGTGCTTGCAGAAACCGGCTGGGTAAAGATATATATGTATATATTTCCCCTCACCCTTATCCTCCTCCCACTGACTGTGCTTTCTGTAGGTGTCGAATAAATCCCTCGACCGGCACATTCAAAATGGCTGTTTGGCTCTTTCATTAATTGTGGAAAAGAGACGAAACGTTAATTATGTTAATTGAAGCGATAGCTGCGACTACGAAAAACAGCCATTTTGAAAGAGTATCGCACAGATACGTTCATTTATTCGCCGGCCACTGAGCCACTCAGCCATTTGCCTTTCCTTTCCCCAGTTCCCAAATCTGATCTGATTTTAGTTCTCCGTCTTGGCCATCAGTCAGATAGTCAGCCAGTCACCCAGCCAGCCATCCACCCATCCATCCATCCATCTATCTATCTATCTTTATATCCATCCACATCCATCCGCAGACGAAGACAACAAGTAAACCAAAAATATTATTTTTGGTACATTTCGCTGCTCATTTCTCGTATTATATAGTTTCTTTCTGCGGCTGCTCTGCTCTCATTAATCAATGTCAATTATCTGTACGTACTGAATAATTATGTTTAATTATAGACCCCAAAGCATTTTCCAATAATATTCTATATTTTATTTCTTTGTACTTAATTTCTAAGGCAGAAATATGTACACTAGGGTGGACTTCTTTAAGGTCAACTGAGCTCAGCATCTTAAATGGTAGGTTTCTGTGTCCAATAAATTTATGCGAAAACAGAAAATTTTTATTTCATCGTTTAGGCGGTGCGCAATGGCCCTAAAGTTTCGCTGAAAATTAAGTGTAAAACTAGGAATTTACCCCATTCCATTTCTTGTCAGATTTTAACATGTCAACTTTTTGGTTTCGCTCGAATAAAAGAGTCAAGTAGAAATTTATTTCATGAATATTAACAGTTGGACGTAGCCTAGCCAGTAGAGCTTCTGTCTCCGAACAAAAAAAACCGAGTTCGATCCCCGACTCATCATTTTTTTTTTGTGACTCACAATAAAATAGAGATTCTATTTTACAATTTTGAAGATTAACTATCACTTTTGCGTTCGCCAATACAAATTTTCGTCAAAGAAGAAAGCCAGCATTTAGGATACAACGATATTGACTCTTATTTTTCAGAGACCGTAATATTTATAAGTTTTACTCTAAAAGTCCTTGATTATTCGTTATTATTGTTATTTTTAAGTTGTAATTGTCTCCCAGGGACTCGAATTTTATCAACGACTACATCCCTTGTTAAAAAGCTCGGAAAAGTGATTAAGATACTTTTTAAAATACTGTCAAAGTATAAAATTAAGTCTACGACATCTAGATGAATCTGAAATATGCGTAATAAACTTTAAAGCCGTTGCGCACCGCCTAAAACAAATTATTTTTTACTTTTTCTTTCTTTAATGGATTAAGGATACAAAAATGCTATATATGAAGGGGTGAGAGCATGGCCTTAGAAATTTCATACAAAATAAGTCCACCCTAATGTACACATATATGTGGACCTGCTGAAGAATTCAATTGTGGCGATTGTGCAATTTCCTTTCAATCCAAAGTTTTTTTTGGCGCGTGTTTTGCCTTTTGTAATTAGCAGATCGCGAATTCACTTAGTCATCGTGGAGCTAACGTTCTAAATTTATTTAAATAGGAGGAGAAAAATTAAATCAATTCTAGCTTTTAATTACCTATTTTAAAAGCAAATATACTGCAAGTTTTGCAAATTTAAATTGTCAAGTATTTTAGGGATAAAAACGCAACAAAATTTTAGTTATTTTCTTAAATGCCAAACTTGGATTGTTGCACAAGTGAAGTAATATCTCTTTAATTTGTATTTCCTTGGATTTTTTTAAATTTAAAATATAAAAAAATGAATCAATGTGCTTAAATAATGATATAATAATGTTATAATGATAATGTTTTTAAGGATAAATGGTTCGTATTTTTTACAAGGCAATTAAATGCTATTTCCACATGTTAAGTAATGTTTTTAATTTTTCTTTTGGACTTAAATTTATTATGAACTTAAAGTTTTATTTAAAATAAGAGCTCAGAGTGATAAATTAATTTTAATTGGCATTTACTCAGTGTAAATTGTGAAACATCATTAGCAGATGCATTCTCCAGAAAACTGTAAGAGCCAACAAATGGAATAAAATATAAGACACAACGAAACGGAAAGTCTGTTCAACACGTTTCGAGTAATGAGTGTGAAATTCTTGAATAAATATCAAGGCAACCTGCAGATGTAAATGTATCTGTATCTGCACTCGAAGCTGCTTCTGCATTCTACTCGAAAAATGATGGGCGCTGGCAGTCGAATTATATTCACTCGATACGACAGGATAACACTTAGGGACCAAAGGCCATGCAACGGGATCTCTGTCCATATAAATTTTAATGTCCACTGGAGACCTTTTTGCATCCATATGCTAGGGCATCTGTATCTGATAGTTATAAATTACACCCACACACAAACACAGAAGCGAAGGCAGGCAAAAGGAATTGATCTGGCGAAAATATAGCCGAAGAATTCTCAGAATCAAGGATTCAAATTTCAAGCACCCAGGCAGCGGATTTGTTGGGTACCCAAGTCTAGGCGACAAATAAGTGAGATTATTTTTATAACCCGAACCCCGAATCCAGAATCCAGAATTCCGAACCCGAAAAACATGTGTGTGCTCTCAGGCAGCGGCAGCATCTTCGATAGTTATAAAAACGATTATGATTGGTCTACAAAAACCCTGTTAGGGGATAGAATTCTCGTTTCTCTCTGTTTTATAACTTTATTGCCACGGATTTGGGAGAGATATTGGTAGCGCTTAACGGTTTTGCGGCTGCTGTGATGCAAGTAAGGGATCTGAATTCGGAATTCGGGAGAGATATTGGGAAATGAGACGGAGACACAGGTTTGCAACCCTTGTGTGAAAGCGGGACTTCATTTTATGATTATTAATACAAAATACCCCAGACAGGCAGGCAATATCGAACACACAGATACAACATATGTTTGCCTGTGTGCGTGGGTATGTAAATGTGTGCCTGTGTGTGAGGGCAGCGGCAGCGACGCAGGCAGCATTTCGATCCAGACTCCTGCCATATATTTAGTTGATAAACGACCTTTGATGGCGTTGCATCGTCGCGTTGATCAATGAAATAAAACCAACGAAATTGGTTTTTTTTGTGTGCATACCAAAAAACAAGTGAAAAATATTTTAAATATAAAAACCCGAGTTCAACAAGTGTTAAAATGCTGATTTCCGAGGATCAAATACAGGAGGTACAGGCCACATAAAGTGTAATCAGTGAAAAACGCGAACCTCAAAGAAACCAATCCAGTTGAATTTCAATTAATTTATTTTGTGTTTGGCTCAACCCCGAGCGGTATAAAGCCGTTTATATATATATATAAGGAGGTTTTTCGTTGTGTATGCAATGCTCCTATAGCTCTTGTGGGCGTCGAGCATCATAAAAAATATCCCCAGCCCCTGCCAGCTTCTTTCCAAGCTGGAGGAGTCCGTCCAGAGTGCCTGGCCAAAGTCGAGGCTTCGAGTCTGACTTGGTTTTAAATCATTTATGCGAGGAGGTGGAGAGGCGAAAGGAGTCGGAGAAGGAGGCAGTTCATCATTCGCATTGACTTAGAATGTGCACCACGGACTGCAAAGGGTTTTAGCTGGGTCTCCAACTTCACAACTCCAACTCGAACTGCGCGTTCGTTTCTTTCTTTTTGCAGTAGGCGGAAAGTATGATGAATTCCGAATTTGATGAGTTCACTCCGATGTTGTCATTAATTCTGAACATTCTCGTACCCAAGTTGCGACTAGGGTTTTTCCTCCGAGAGTTGGTTCCTGGTGGCAAAGGTCAAAGCATGAGCCGCAGGAAAACCACAGCAGATAGCGATGATAAATAATAATGTATAGATGGCAGATACATATGTATCTACGAATCTCTATCTTTCTAACCATCCATGTGTATATCTCTGGCCCTATCTTTATCACCTAATTATCCATTGTGCGACTCACGCTCATTGAGTACTTCACACTCTAACAAAAACCCAAAGGAGCAGGGTTGGAGGTTAGGGGATTGGTTCTCTAACAACCCCCAGCAAACAATGAATAGCATTGCAGGGAGGGATCAAGAGCGAGATGGATAGACCCAACACGCGCCCCTGTCGACGGCAGTGTCTATTGTTGGCCCAACAAAAGGCCAGAAGTGAGCCAAAACTCCATTTTGTGCCAAACCATTGGCCAAAAGAGTCAAGTTGTTGGGTCTTTTGTTAGATTGTTTTGTTATTATTGAGCCCTAATATGCTTATAATGGCTCGTTTTGATGTGTTATCCCACTCATAAATAAAAAAAAATCAGTGGGATATATATTTAAATTTGCAATAGTTGCTAAAAATATAAATTGTGATATTTCTAATAAAATAATTGGGATAAAATACTTTTTTATATTCTCGAAAATTGTCTTTAAGAAACCAATGCATTTTTTTTTGGCGCCCCCGGGTGGACAATTCTTGATGAATCGTTTGCATATGCGTTAAAAAGTGATTTGCAAACTAAATTTTTTTTGGATTGACCCTTAAATTTATATATATTTCTTTCTACTTTTTTACAGCTCTATGAAATCAATGATGACCCCAAACGCAAAGAGTTCCTGGACGATTTGTTCTCGTTTATGCAAAAGCGCGGTAAGTTGCATCTTACATTGAAGTTTTTCAAGGGGCTAAAAGGGGGGTTGGGGCCTCTATTGGGGGCTATATCTCGAATCTTAAATTTGCATATCCCTGGCCCAGATGACGGATTGCTGACTCAGCCAGCCAAGTGTTTTTGGGCTCACTCAAATTATGTTAATTGAATAAATTTCTCGGCACTTTGACGTTTGATTTTGAAGAGTGCGAGGGGGTCCAAGGGGGAGCCATTAAAATATGCAGAAATTCTGGTGAAAAGGAAACCGAGAAACCCAGAGAGAAGTAGAGAAATCATTTTGGTGGCTGACTTTTTGTCATTTTGTCACTTCAAATTACTGTCACACTCACACACGAGCAAAGGGGGTACCATATGCATATTGGTACTTAAATTTTAAAGGCGACTTGCAGCGGCAATCGGAGCAAATGCCTATTTATACATGCGAGTATGCTTTCCTGCACTTTTGTCATTAATTATGGGCATTAACAAATGCGAGGGAAATCGGTGGCATCGGTGGCGTGCACCCACTACTAATGCCTGCCGTGACTGTACTTTCACAATAAATTACACTTCCGGTTAGCCATCCAAGTGCAATCCCCAAGCGTCCTGTGAAACCCTTTAAATTATCGCTGGAGTGTGTTTGTCACAATTGCCTGAAAGCCAACTTGAGAGGGCATTAAATTTGTTTATATTTGCACAAGTCATATTCCAGAAAAATAGTATGGAGTTATATTGTTGACCTACCGCAAACCTTTATAGAGAGAACACTATTTAAACAGTTTAAATAAATAAAACTAAAATACAACATTTTAATACATGTTTTAAAAATGAATTTTTAATTACAATTAAAATAAATATATTTCGGCACTTCAGATGTAAAGTTGAAATTGCATTGTATTTTTATCCGATATATATATATCCCAATATATCTCTGAATATCCATCCTGAATTCTTAACATCTTAAAGTACAGAAAATATATATTTGTGTAAGAATTTCGCACAGAAATGTGAGTAAAGTCGGGGAAGGGAAAACAATTTCCCATGCGAACTGCATGTTTACTTTATGGATTGTTTATTTATTTTATGTAATTTCGTATTAGTTTCATACAAAGTATATAAATCTATGCTTTGGATAAACATACTTACACATCTATATGTGCGTAGGACATCTCTGCTGGTTGACAACTTAATGGATTTTAATCTGTCACATGCGTTCAAGTTTTGACATATGCATGCTCACCCGTCGCGGTCACTGCAAAGGGGGTTTCGGTGGGACAGGGGCGGGGAAAAGGGGGTCGCCTGGGGGAGACTGTCTAAAGTGTCGTCCGCCATGAGAAGGAAGCACCGAAAAATGCGACTCGGGCCAAAAGTATTCCGTGTCCATATGTCTATAACCGAATGATATTGTACAATTGTACAACTAACTAACGGAAATTATGCTATATGGTACACATTTGAATATATATTTAGAGGTATATAAAATAAATGTGGATCGCTTGCCGTGAGATGTTTATGCAGCGAAGAGCGGCGCAATTCTTAATTAAAAGACGTCAATCACTTATCAACGTGGCCGCTATTTTCGTAGATATTTCCCAGTGCTCAACGTCTGAGATCTGAAATCTGGGAACCGGGACCCCTGACTAAATCGGAACAGGAGATACGACAGACTCCCTCCGGTGTTGGTGGCGTTATGATTTCAGACTCGATCAAGTTTCTTTTAATTTCCATTAAAAACGCCTGACATCTAGGAAAACAAATGCAGCCGAATAAATAAATAGATGTGCGCCGAAAAGAGTTCAGGCTGAAAGCCACGCATACGAGCCGAACAAAAAATGTAAAAAGCTGCCAAGAAAAATAATAATAATAAGTCGTCAGTCGGCATGTGCGTGTCAGGAGTAGCGCAATCGGGATCGGTTCGAATATTCAGATATTCAGATAGTATCCGATCGAGAGCCTTGGGCTGGATCTCCCTGGATCTCCAATGAGATCCTATGCGACGGAGAGTTTAATGATCGATTCGAGTGACGGGCAACCAGAGTTGATCATTAAATTGCCTTTGATTATGTGCGTCCTCCCCAGTTTTTGATTTTTTCTCCGTTTGTGGCTCGTGCAGCGATCGATTTCGATCCAATCCAATCTTTTTGCTCTCGCACATTATAGTAGTGCACATGTCCCGACCGGCAGTTCAGTTGTTCATTTATTTTGTGTTATTCCTTTTTGATACCCGGGCATCACCTCGCCACTCAATTTGTTTATATGCATAAAAAACAAACGTATTTTCATTCAATCAACACGTCCATCAAAGAGTTTGATTGATTCCTTTGGGGCTCATAAAACACAACGAAAAAAGAAACCGAAAGTCGATCGATCGATCGATGGTTCGATGGATCCAAGGGGCAGCAACAGGCATTCGGTGATATGGTATATGGTGTTTGGTATTTGGATCGTAAAAAAGAAAGGAGGCCGGGCAGCATTATACAAATTGGAATTACACACGTACAGAGCCAGCAATTATGCAGGTTGATTTCCTTTTTATGCGTTTTTTTGGGCCCTATGCAGAGGGAAAAAGAGTGGGGTTTTTTAAGTGCCAAATGCTGATGATGCTGAGGGGGATGTCTTAGTTGAAGGAAGATATATTATTAGAGAAAAGTGGTATCTAAATATATGTGATTATGTCTTTGGGCTAAAGCTTTAGATTTATCGATCTTTTCGATATTTTGACAATAGCGATTCAATAATATCGATGTTTTTAAGGGTAAACAGAAATTTAATATCGAGAAATAGCGAGGTTAGGCAGCCAAAACATTCTTTATCAGGAAAATTATAATAATATTTACTTAATGTAACTCAGTACATTATACAAATTTCTTTCGGTGTGCAATAAAAACAGAAGAAGCTGGAAGGCACGTGAAAATTTGAATAATACAATTTGAATAGCAAATAGAGGCAAATGCCAATGTATATGATGATGATTAGCTGCCATAAACAGATCAACATATGTACAAACATGTGTATATATATGGCCGATCTATTATAGTGTGTGTGCCTCGAATCGGGCAACAATTAGGATTTATTTCAGTTTTTATCGGCTTCGGTGTGCACTTTTCAGCTGCTACCGGGGCTACAAGTGTTAATTGCTTCGTGATCGATGAGTGGGAGTGGGATTCGGGATCTGCGGAGGGGGCAATCGGGAATCTCTGCTCACTCTTCGAGAGAGATAAATCTGTTTTATGGATCTTTAAATCGTGTTTTGCTTGTTGGTGCATTTAACGAGCTGGATGGAAAACATAGCCAAGTGCAAGAACAAGTTTTATGCTAGCAAACAACTGAATTCGAATTCGAATGTGTAGTAAAGCATTTTCCTTTTTCTATTATTTTATGCAGGTACGCCGATCAATCGGCTGCCGATTATGGCCAAATCGGTGCTGGATCTCTACGAGCTGTACAATCTGGTGATAGCCCGCGGCGGCCTGGTGGATGTTATCAACAAGAAGCTGTGGCAGGAGATCATCAAGGGGCTGCATCTGCCGTCGAGCATCACCAGTGCCGCCTTCACCCTGCGCACCCAGTAAGTGGATATGCCTCTCGATGCCTTCCCTTCCCTTTCATCCCATCCCATTTACCTGCCACGTTGAGCTATGTCCAAGGCAAACATAAATACAAATACCATCAGCCGTACAAGATGCGGGACAAACAGAAACGGACAATCAAACATTGCAGCGATCAAGCAACAATCGATCAGCGATCTTGGCTTCACTCTTTCTCGCCGGGATCGTGATTTGTTTGCCTGTCGCTTTCGTATTTACACGATAATTCAACTTAAACAGGACATCAACGTGAAGTTTACCCCGGTGCATCGGCATCTCCCTGCTGCCGAAAGGCATTGCATGTTTGCCGCGCTTATTAATAATTTTATGCATCTCGCATCTTGCAGATACATGAAGTATCTGTACCCGTACGAGTGCGAGAAGAAGAACCTCAGCACGCCGGCGGAGCTGCAGGCGGCCATCGATGGGAATCGCCGGGAAGGACGTCGCTCCAGCTACGGGCAATACGAGGCCATGCACAGCCAGATGCCAATGGTATGTAGTATATATATTTTAGGTAATTAGGTAATTCTGGAAATTCATTTTATATTTCCCCTAAATAGACGCCCATTTCGCGACCTTCCCTCCCCGGTGGCATGCAACAAATGTCGCCTCTGGCTCTGGTCACCCATGCCGCGGTGGCCAACAATCAGCAGGCTCAGGCTGCCGCCGCCGCTGCTGCAGCTCATCATCGCCTGATGGGAGCTCCGGCCTTTGGCCAGATGCCCAACTTGGTCAAACAGGAGATCGAGAGCCGCATGATGGAGTATCTGCAGCTGATCCAGGCCAAGAAGGAGCAGGGCATGCCACCTGTACTCGGTGGCAATCATCCCCACCAGCAACAGCAGCAGCAGCAACATCAGCAGCAGCAACATCAGCAACAGCAACATCAGCAGCAGCAGCAGTCGCAGCAGCAACATCTCCTGCAGCAGCAGCAGCGACAGCGGTCGCAGAGCCCGGATTTGAGCAAGCACGAGGCACTCAGTGCTCAGGTGGCTCTGTGGCACATGTACCACAACAACAACAGCCCACCGGGATCGGCACACACCTCGCCGCAGCAACGGTAAGCGCGAATATTGATTCAAGTTTGATTGAAATCGCTTGGTGGATTTGCCAATTGCGATTGCCAAATGTTTTCATTAGCCGGTGGGATGATTTAACCCACTCTAACTGGTATTCACTTTTGCTTTCCTTTTTGTTGAATGTGCCATTAGTAGTAAAGAGTAAATTGCTAAATCTTTAAGATGCATCTTTTTCTTAAAGTGTGTTAAAGAGGCATTTTTTATTAATCACACAAGTCAGAAAAAACCTATATCTAAATAAATGTTTAAAAAAGCAACAATATATTTAAATGTTAAAACATAAATTTTTGTTTCACAAAACAAGACGTTAAATTATTTTGTATTAACTATAAAAATATCGAAACCCTTTTAAAAATTAATTATTCCGTAAATATTTTAAAAGCCAAATTTGTATTTTTTTTTAGACCATTTTTTGTCCGCATGTTTTATTTAAAGTAGGCTTTAAACCAGAAAACCCCATAAACGTTGTAACTGAACAGCAGGCGCCATCTATCTTACAAAACTGTTGTTATAAAGCGCCCTCTACTTAATAATTTAAACCGATTAGCAAAGACACTAACCATTTACTCTCCACCTACAGCGAAGCCCTGAACCTCTCTGATTCACCGCCAAATCTCACAAACATAAAAAGGGAGCGCGAACGGGAGCCCACGCCGGAGCCCGTGGACCAGGACGACCAGCCCCACCAGCCGCCTCCGGCCAAGCGCGTGGGCAGCGGCCTCCTGCCACCCGGCTTCCCCGCCAACTTCTACCTGAATCCCCACAACATGGCCGCCGTGGCAGCGGCAGCGGGATTCCATCACCCGTCCATGGGCCACCAGCAGCAGGACGCCGCCTCCGAGGGCGAGCCGGAGGACGATTACGCCCACGGGGAGCACAATACCACCGGAAACTCCTCGTCCATGCACGATGACAGCGAGCCGCAGCAGATGAACGGCCATCATCACCACCACCACCACCACCAGCTGGACAAATCCGATGACTCGGCCATCGAGAACTCCCCGACAACCTCCTCCACCACCACCACCACTGGCGGTGGGTCGGTGGGTCATCGCCACAGCTCACCCGTTTCCACCAAGAAGAAGGGCGGCGGTAAGCCCCAGAGCGCAGGAAAGGATCTGCCGGCCGAGGACAAGGATGCAGCCTCCACCGGCAAGCTCAATCCCCTCGAGACGCTGAGCCTGCTGTCCGGCATGCAGTTTCAAGTGGCAAGGAATGGTGAGTTGATTGGGATGAATTGAGCTAGAGCTCGAAGGGCGATTGGGAGTGATTCAACCTAGAAATATTTACAGAGATAAAAAAGAATTGATAATAGAAAACTTAATTTTGAAAACTTAATAACTTAACTGAACTTAATTTTGAAAATTAATTTTAATTCAAAATAGATTTCAGATTATTTTTAAAGATAGAAAATTACAATTTCCATTTATATATTACGTTTAAATTTACCTGGATATATCAAGATGATCCTGAAACTTTTTTTCTACAGTGCAGATTAAAAGAAAATATTCAAAATCTCTTTTAAGCTTTTATTTGCTTTTCTACGGGTTATTTAAATATATTTAAAATCAGAAAGAGTTTTTAATTATTTATATTACCTGAAACGTTTTAACATAAAATAGGATTTAGACAAAAAATATTGAAATGTATTTAATCCAAACCCTAATGCCTTGCAGGAACTGGCGATAACGGCGAACCGCAGCTAATTGTCAATCTGGAGCTCAATGGCGTCAAGTACTCGGGCGTGCTGGTGGCCAATGTGCCGCTGTCCCAGGTGGAAACCAGGACGAGCTCACCCTGCCACCCAGCAGAGGCAGCCGCCAACCAGGAGGAGGAGGAGGAGCACGACGAGGAGGAGCCACCGAAGGCCGCTGAAGAGGATTCGGAATCCCATCGATCGCCAGTTAAGCAGGAGAACGAGGATGCCGACCAGGACATGGAGGGCAGCGAGGTCCTTGTGAACGGCGGTGGCTTGGAAGGGGGTGGTGTGGGTGGTGCTGCTGCTCTACCTGTGCCCCTGCTCAAGGACGCCGTGGTCAGCTAGAGAGGGGGCAGGATAACAAAGACGAGAACGAGATGGCGGCAAGCAAAGGATAGGAATACCAAAGTCATATTTTTCAGAAAAATACAAAAGCAGTTCAACTCACACAAGCACACAGATGCCGAACCCAAATGTACATACACACGCAGGCGGCAGGAGCACAGGAGGCCGAAGGATGTGGCCATTGTTGATGTGGCCAGGACAAGAAAAGCGCATTAGGCGCATCGATGTTCGCACATACACACCTACAATATGCACCGTCCCCCTGAAAACGCCGCCAGTAGAGGATCATACGGATATATATATGCTAAGATATATATATTACTAGATACATGTGTGCTCTATTTCCACATTTGCATAAAAGACAAGCCAGCGAGCGTGTAGTTATCGATAGCCATTACTTACATAAGCGAGTGCATCACCTCGGATGCATGCGAATACAACCACTATACCCGTATATATATATGATATATGAATTAGGTTACGATTCCGACAAAACCCATCTGTTTTTAGCGTGAAATCTGTTTTATCCCCCTACGAACTTCTCCCTTTTTGTGTTAGGCTGCAAGGCTTCTGTACATATCAATCAATATACCTAGCTAGTAGACCATATACTATATATTATATACTATATACTATATTATCGGAACGTCTAGTTTGTAAGAACACATTCATACACACACCGCTAACAACCACACATGCATATCCATTATGACCGCATCGTAGACATATTTTAGACATAAAATCAACACAAGTAATAAGCATAAATGTATCTGTCGTAAAATTAAATTGCGCTTTTGGCACCCACACACGATTTCGAATTCGATTCCCAGCCGCAATTTCTACCTATTAACTACTCCATAATCCAAAGCCAAGTGGAAGGCAAGTGGCGAGCCACAACAACAAATTGATGAGCATATTCTAAGCATAAGCGTTCAATTTATTGAATAATAATAAATCTATTTAATTTTAGTTCAGCACGCATTCGAATCCATTGTGGCCCTTGGCTAATTAACGAACTTGGTTGGGGGCAAGTACATTTTAGTGGGCCGAAAATAAGTGCCCGGGCAAACAGTATAAAAAGCACTCAAACCGGGAAACATAATGTTTTTGGTTTTTCTTCATCGCGTTATAAAACGAAAACATATTCTCGGCCCTCCTTTGTTTTTGTTTCGAGCCCGAAACCCCCCGAACAATTTTGACATGGCGAAAAAGTCATAAACACACAGAAGGGGCCGTAGATTATCATTATCATCATTGAAGGCGGCCCGCAAAATGCACACCAAACAAAGTGATGAAAAGCAAATGTTGTTGGAAACAATGGATGCGTGAAATTGTTCGCACCCAGAGGGCTGCGCTTAGCTTACCTTTTCCGACTTTCCCCCACTTTGCACCACCTTTCCCCACCTTTCTTTCGAAATCCTGCCCAGGTGAGGTCGAGTGCTAACTACATTAATGCATAATGTGGTGGCTGGGCAGCGGGCATCGAAGGATGTGGTGGGACTTCAACGAGAGAGGACTCGGACCCATCAGCCTAATGACTTGCGTACACCGGACGCAGCCTGGCCAAAGGACCTTGATAAGTGGCAAGTGCGTTTAGGGCCCTGGCCATAAACCGCTGAGGATGGAAAGGGCTGTACAACATGGTTCCTGAAATCCAAGTCTTCTGCCGAAAGGCCCCAAGACTTCTATCATTCAATCGCAACCATATTTTATTTTTAGCTTAATAAATATTACACATTTATCATTGAAAATATACCTACTTTTATACGGGTTCCAATGTAATCAATAGTACCAATTCAAAATGAAGTTTCTCAGCTGTGTTCGCGAGTTATGCAAAGTTGGAACATACCTTCGATAGTTTTCCATTTTCTTACAGATTCATCCTTAAAGGAAATTTCATAAATAATAGATGGCCACTTATAGGTTATAGACGTGCAATTTTGACAAAATGAGCATCATAAAAAAGGTTGATAGTGAATTAATTTTTTATATATTTTATAGACAGCTTAAATTCTTAAGAAGTTCGGTTTTAAGTGGCCTAGGTACAAATTCAACATAATTACATTTTAAGCTTATTCTCCGACTAAGTCCAAGAAACAACACAAACAGGTAAGAGGTTTGTTGTGATTCCATTACTACCACAAAACCAGGTAAATATCCTTGGTGCCATTCCACCAACAAATCATTTCTGAAGGCCTACAATCAGTAAATTTAATTTGGAATTTCAATAATTTTGATTAAGCGTGCGTTCGGGTTGCATTCGGTATTGCGGTTCCAATTAGTCGTCATATTTGTCGCATACCTCGGCCATTCGGGTGTCGAGCTACACTTAATTGGTTTTGCAGTTGCGAATTAATTAAAATGTATGGGAGTAATGCGAGTACGGCCTGCTTTTAACCCTTGGTCCAAAAGCCACAATAAATTACGAAAAAATCAAAAATAAATTATTCAAAGGGAACCGGTCACGTGTTGAATGTTCTCAAATTGCCCAACTAATCAGGTCCAAGGTCCGGCCTCCTGCTCATAAATCGTTTGTATTCTGGCCCGGGGCATTTCTTATTTGCTGCCACACAGAGGAAAGAATGAAAAACATTACAGAAATTAGCCGAAAAGAATGGCAGGAAGTCGTCGCTGACGCCTGGGAAATATATTTCTGTGTGCGTACTCGAGAATAATGCTGTTCAAGCTGAAATTAAAGGCCAATAATACAGTAATAAAGTCGGCAGCCAATCGACCTATGGACCACCTAAGCCAAGCCAAATCGAATCACCCAGACACACGCACAAACGCACCTTGACAGGCCGCGCTTAAAAGTATTTATAAATTTTATATAATGTGCTCCCAGCGAGCGAGATACATCGCCATCCCCTGCGAGAGGTACAGCAGGGGTCACAATAATGGTACTGATGTCCTCCAATAAATCAAGTGAGTTTTAGAAGAGATTAAAATTAAGCTACTTAAAGCTAAAGATATAATTTAATAAAATTAAAGGATTCTTCAACATGAAAAAGGAAACGAAAATAATCTGATTTATTATTTTTAATTTACATATAAAATTTTATAAAAATAAATTATATTTAAATACTTTTTAGTAGGTTGTGTTCAAATTATTCATTATTTATTTATATTTTCTGGCGTTTAATATCTATAAACAAAAAATATGTCATAATTTAATAAAAATAGGTAATAAACTCTCCCTAAAAACACAATAAAAAATTATTCATTTAAGAACTCAATTAGAAACACAAGTATCCATAAAAGATACTATCATAAAATAACCATAAAGCTACTCCACAAACAATAAATGACCTAAACAACCTAATTGGTGCTATTAACCTGCTTGGCACTGTATATATGAGGCATGTACTATACATAAAGTACGATGGCTTGCCCTTTTCGGCGTCGAGCGGGAAGTAACCTCTATTATTTACCAATACAAACTAAGCTTTAAAAAGAAATGTAAAATTACCCGAAGCGCCAGCTGCTCGGAGGTGGGTGGTTTGGATGGTATACCCCCTATACCTTGGCTCCAGACAAACATGTGTATAATGTGTTTAATACAACAATTGTGTGGCTTTTTAGTACGCCGCGTGTTGCGTGTGTCTGTGTCTCAGTGGCCCAGTGTCCCAGTGCCTCACACGCAACAGTTGTTTTTAGCGGGATGTTGCGGAGCATAAAAGCTGTTTTTGCAGCAGCGACGCCTGCGCCTTGCAGCGATATTTTGCCTACTTTTCCGGGTAGGCGGCCAGGTGATGCTATTCATCCCCTTGAATCGAATCACCCTTATCGAGGGAGCTTTTGGTATCTCAACATTTGGCGGGCATGCAACAAGCGTGTTGTATCCTTATCGCCCGCACATATACATCTGTAGCTGTATCTCAGCCTGTGTATCTGTATCTGTGCGCAACATATTCGCCTCAGCTGCGACTCCTGCTCAACATAACCGCTCGGCTGAAAGGCACGAGGATGCGGAACGAAATCGAAACGAGCGGCACTCGACTTATGTACCATTTCGCACACTTCAGAGTTTTTAGTTCGGTTTTGGCAGAATTGATAGATACACGCAGCTCGCACCGCGCACAGCCATCGCCATATAGATATAGATACACACAGACATACTGCTCACGAACATACCGATTTCGTCCCGCTTTCTGGCCAAAAACCAAATCAACTGGCTTTGGCTTTGGCTTTCGTTTCTCTATCTAGTGCCATCGGCCATCGGTTGAAGCCAGAAGCTGAAGCAGCACGCTTCCAGTGGGAAAACAATTCGGCAGTGGATGCACGTTGATTTTTTTCCGTTTTATCGGTCCGCAATTGTGATTTACTATATATACAGAGCGCGCGCGGCACAGAAAATTAACCACCGAACTGGAGTGAACTGAAACGGAAACCCCGAGGCAAATTGCACTGTTTTTCCCGGAGATTTGAGGCTTTGTTGGAGGCAGGTAAACCATCAAACCCCCAACTCCCCCTAAAATTCAACTTAAAGCTGTGTATATTCCGGCGTTCGAATAGCAAATACCCCGAATTCAAGAACAAACATTGGTGCTTCATCGGAAATCCCGACGGTTGGCCCTCAGTTTCTGGTTCCTGGCTAATTGATAGTGGCGACTGGTGACTGGCGATAGGGGCACTTGGCCATGTCGAACATAAGACGAAAGCAAATGCAATTACAATTACCCCGAAGAACAAAAAGGGAAGCAAAAATCCCATTGCTCATATAAGCTCATCAAGAAGTGCTCATGTGTACGTGCGATTGTGTTTGTGTGTTGTGTGTGCGACTTTGCCTTTGCCGGGGGCTCAATCTCCATGAATTCTGGGATTCAGGATTGCGTGCAGACTCCATCTGGAGTGAAGGCATTTGGCCGGGGGCAACGAGGGCTCGGCAAAAGCCGTTAATGGAACGGCCAAAACAACGATCCTTCGTCCTGTCAATTTCCCTGGGATTCCCCCCAGCACTTCGACTGGAAAATATTCCACCTTCAATAGCCCATATTTGCTCGCTCTTAAAGCCCCGAGTGGTGAGTGACTCACGGGCCAGCGATTTATTTAGGTCAGCTTATCTTACGATGCTATAAATGATTCATTGGCTCCCGTTTTTATATTTTAGTCCAGCCAGTCGTAATCTGCAATGTTCCGTGAACAATTGTTTGGGGACTAATTTGCTTTAATGATGTTATAATTTCAGCCATTAAAAGAAGCGGAATCGCGAAACGAAGCTCTTTAGTGCACAGCATAGTTAATTGAAATGAAGACTTTGGAATAACAATTTTATGTACGACATGAAAATCTCAGTTTTACATTTGAAATCTAAGAGCTTGTTTTTTAATAATGAAAAACAACTCCTGACGAGATAAAAACCAGTGAGGATCTCATTTTCTACATACAAAAGTAGTGATACAATTATATTCTGATGGCAAAATGTCAAATAAACAAATTTTATCTTAGCTCTAAATCTTAATATCTTAATTTTAGCTTTTTTGTTTAAATTCCTAGTCCTAAAATTCTCAAAATAAAGCAAGAAATTATCTTAACAAGGAATTTCATACCGCATTTTTTGCTTCGGTTTTGCTTTTTTAGCTTCGGTTATTAGCTGGACAATGTAGCCGGCCATTTACTAACTCACTTTAATACCAATATTTTTCCCAAAGATCGTTAAAATATATTTTTTCTTGATTATGAAAAAATGTTTTAACTAACATAATAAATCATATTTCTTTAATGATTCAAATTCTGTACAGCAATATCTTTTTTGCATGATGATTAAGGTTATGAAAATACAGAGCGCCTTACTTTAGCAGGGCGCTTTCCAAAAGTATCTTTGAAGTCGATCTATCGCTTGTCACGCGCTCAGCTCCAGTGAAGAGAGCGCCCACCTCGACTGGCTCTCCACTGGACTCTCTCGGCGCTTTGATTTCTTCTCCTTGGGGCCCGCGGCTCCGGCTCTTCGCTCTCCGGGGCTCTCGGGGTCTCTCCGCTCCGCGGTTCTGTAGCTACTTCTGATTCTTTCGGGTCGGATCGTACTGAACTGCCAAGTTCAGATACAGATACTAGTACTCGCACTCGCACTCGTACTTCTCCTCGACTGTCGCTTGTCGCTGGCTCGCCGGATTTGTATCTGAGAGATTGTTTTAGTTTTAGTTTTTCTTCCACTTTTGATTCTTCTGTGTGTTCGCGTTCTTCTGGCCTGCCTTCATTGCCATTGTTTCGGTTCGGTTCTGTCTCTGTTTCAGCTTTTAGTTTTCAGTTGAATTTCGTATCGTATCGTATCGTATCGCTGAGCGAGAAATCAGTTTGACGTTTTGCTTTGACAAGCAACCGTCGTCGATCGGGGGATCGTGGATCGCGCGGATCGCCGCTGAATCTCGTGAATCTTGGGCGTTCGCATTCGCGTTCGCGTTCTTTTCTCGCCGGTCGTTTTGGAAGAGAACTTAAGCAGCGGTATACCACCCAAAAGCCCAAGTTGCACCACCCGCTGACCAGCGGCGCACCCGAAAAAATTCTAGTTATCTCCGTGGCCGCAATAATCGACAATCATATTCCCTGCGATTCCGATTTGTGATCAATATACATATGGATGTGTGTTGTGTAGACCCATATATATCGGGGGTGCGTGTGTGTGCCGTTCAGATTGAGTGTTGGCAGCCGCAGCGGCCGTAAATGTGAGCCAATTGTATCTGAGAGATACAGATACGTTGGCGGTGTTATCGCCGCTACTGCTACTGCTCCTACTGTCGTGACCGCGCTATTGTTATTATTTTTAATGCATTGAATTTGAGTTTTGCAGTTTACAATATATATTTATATATATTTTTTTCGATATATAGAGTCGGTTCTACATATTTTGCTGTACAATATCTGTGCGTCAACGGCAACAACAACATCCGTTCTATGAACGTGACCCCCGCGCATTAAAATAAATTCTAATTTGTGGAAGAAAAGAGCAGCAGCGAAAATGAAAATGTTTTGTTATTGTTATTGCCATTGCGAAGAAGTGCCCCTGTGTGCGGGGCAATATTTATTATGAGTGCGTGTGTCTGCCCATTGTGTTCATATGTGTATTTGTTTAATTTATATCTAGAGTCTAGAGTCTGATATAAATATTAAAATCAAAAAGAAGAAAGAAGAAAAAATAAGAAATAGGTATACATACCTATGTGCATAAAATATCACAAGCAACAGGCAGCGGCGAAAGCAACAACTACCAGCTAAACGACAAATTTTTCGGTTTCGGTACGTCAACAGATAATGTATTGTATATGTACTTAAGTTGGACATACATTTTTCGGGGCATTCGCTTAATTTGCGGCCATTCTCTGCCTACACAGGGCCCAAAAGATACAAATCAGTGGGTGAGTTGGGTTGGTTTCCAGCCCAGGAATACATATATCCTTAAGCCCAACGTAAAATACTGGCCACCTTGGAAGTGTCAACGTCTGGTCTTCGCCCTCCAAAAAAATCAAGAAAAAAACGATCATAAAATTAAATGAAGCGAACGAAATAAAATTGAAAATTTTCATGCATCTGGCGTCGCGTCGCGAAAACATTTTGCAGTTTTTAATTTAACTAACTCACCTGACTGCCGACTGACTTCTTATAGGCTCTGGGCGACAGGCTGGCACATAAAAAGCGCTTTAAATGTTGTGGGGGGCTGCAGGTGAGCAATGATGCCCATACCGGCCATAAACAATGTGCAAAATATCATTTCGTACTTATAAACAAGCGGCGATAAGTTTGCAAATTGCGTTCGCATTTCGCTTTTCGTGTTTTGCATTTTGCAATTCGCATTTTGCCGCTGCCAAACTTATTTTTCTTCTTTACTTTTTTTTTTTTTATGTCGTATAAGTAGTAGTTTTTATTTCGGCCATATCCTGCTCGGACTGACCCATTTCGTCGATTATCTAATGGCTGTTTACTATATACACATACTCACACTCGTATTTCTTTTCGTTTTCACTATCTATGCGATAGGCTGTCGCCCAATCAGTTGGCTGGCTTAATTAATTCTCGATTTTAACTGTTTATTAAAATGGATTGTTGCCGCTGGGCGAAGGCACCTTCGCTATTGTTAACAGCAAATAAATCCGAGTCGCTCGCGTGCATACTGATTGGGAGTTTCCAACTGTTTATTATGACTGGCGTTATGCAATGCCACCCACCACCCACCACACCACCCACTCCCCCACTCGTAACCCCAAAAGTGCCATAGTGTCTGCAGTTCGTCCAACTTTATGCTCAATGTTCGCAATGTGCCATTTGATTATATGTACTTGTATTGTCAACTGGGGCAATCAGCTCCACAATATAGTTATAGCTGTCTCTTTCGTTTACGGCCCCACCGTCTCTTTCTAATCTTCCAGGTTGCGACACCACCTTTTCCCTGCTCCCCCCATCCCATCTCCATTTTGTTATATCTCACTTGAGATCGGCATTTGAAATGCAAATAGCCAACTGGCAATCTCTTTGAAACAGCCGGAAAAGTCCCTATAGATATTGTAAGCAGTCTCGATACATATATATCCTGCTTTATATGTTGAACTGTTCTTTCATGTTCGTTATTAATTAGGCGGGGTCCAACCTTCCGCCTGTAAGCGATTAGTAGCTGTTCCATTGTGAAGCCCCAAGGCTAGAGATCGATCGAGAGCGAATCTCGAGGATGCATATAGCTGACACTTGTGACGCACGTTGTGAACATGAAATTCCTCGCAAGACCACCGCCAAGGTTGTCCACGGTTGGAGGACACACACGAGATAATAATGGGCCATTACGTTCTATATGGCCTGCCCTTTTTGGCTAGAGAAATCCATATTTGCGAAACGTTTTCTTTGTTGCCACACTTTTTTATTGCTTTTTTAGTACGCTTCTGACTTGGAATACGTATTTTTTAAATACAGCGGCATTTATTAAATTTTTAATGATTTTTAATAATAATAAAATATTATAAAACGTTTTTTTAGGCCCTCAAATGAAAAACTAATTAAAGAGTGAAAGGTGTATTTTTTGTTACCGCACTTCTTAATTAACTTTCAACTGTTTTTCCAATAGTTTATTTCTGAGAAGCCGTCTTGAAATATGGCCGGCCGTAAACTTAAATACTCCATTTCAACACCTGACTTCGAGTCAAATTAGGCACTTGTAATGGATCTATACACTATTTGTATATAGCAGGCGATCGGATTCCGATTGCACTACCACAACCGATTCGGATCAGAATGTGCATGTAAAGTAAACAGAAAGCCGAAGCCGAGCGATCGGCAGCTGCAAAACATCAGCAGGCAAAAACTATTAGATACAAAATTGCTCGAATGCGCAGCGCCATGTTCCATAGTCATCTTTTTTTTTTTGTTTTTGGTCTCGGTCAGCTTTCCTATATGGCCCGGCTCCGGCTGCCAAATACCTACGGTCCCGAGTACATATTGGTAAGAAATTCTATTAGGGGGCTCTCGCACACAGGCGTCCTGATGATGCTATTATCCGAATACCCACAAGCACCTGCATACTAATAGCTTCTGGCTCGGGCAGCCAAGCATCCGTGACTGGCTGCATCTAATGAGTTGACGTTGACTTGGGGACTGGGACTGGGACACGGAACGGGGACCGCTAATAGAATTTGGCACTCCTTGGCACTCGAGCTTTTAGTTGCATACCGAGAGGCGCCGCGCACAGGAACTCGAGGCCCCGATTAGATGGCTCGGCCTGGCAATTGCAACGGCCTTTGGCTGCTCGGTAAACAAATTATGTTACGTCCACAGGCATTCGTTATTTATTTGAAAACTTAAATGATGCTGAGTGTACGGCGAAAGCCATTACTTGTTCATTTTAATATGGTCGGGCTAAAAATAATTTGTTTAAATCAACAAACACACCATAGACTGATGTGTACGCGAAGCTGATTCTCGACATCTCTATTGTAGTTTTTTCATTGCTGGGAATGTGGATGAGTTTGCTTGGAGCTGAATCGGATTCGGCACGGAGAGAAATAGCTATCAGCTCTTAGATGAGCTGAAACTAAATGTGACCTTAGTGTATAAATAAGTTTGGACTTTGTTTTAAAAGCAAGGTCACACTACACTTTGCTAAAGAAGTTTTGTGAAGATAATTCGTACTTCAAATCAAATATTCTTGTATCCTCATGAAAAATTCCAAATGGATGACCACTTTCAGTGATATATTTCTCTCTGTACATATGCTTCCGTTTCTGTTACTCCTCTCGCCTGTCTTCCTGTTTGTGTCTTCTGTTGTGACGCCTTTTGTCTTTGGCCCCAACAATGCAAACGGATTCAGACAGTGGGACGACAACAAGTGTCCTTATGGATGTGGATGTGTTTATGTACGAATGCAGATGAAAGACAGCCCTTCCCTTTAGCAAGTCAATCAACGTCGCCGGGGATAAGGACTATCTTTTCCGCCGCACCCCGCTCCCCCTGGAATTGTTTTTCCTCCGCCGGGAGAAGGGACATAAGACATTTCACTCGCAGGAGCCGAGCTCCAATTGCCACTTGAAGTGGGTACGACTTTCGGTGACTAATCTGAAGTGCTCCCATATTCCCTTCTCCCTATCAGTTGATTTGCTTCTTTCGCTTTCGTTCGAGTTTTATCTAAATATTTAAAATTGGTTAGCAAGGCACGAGCGCAGAGCGACAGAGGATTTTTCTATTTGCCTGCCCCGAGATAAAGCCGACTGGCTGACAGCCGGAATGAGAACAACAGGGCGACATCGTCAGCGACATCGACATCGACATCACCATCACAGATACCCAAAGCTGTATTATATATGACACCCACAAATCCCCACAAGTCAATTGTTTGATACGTGCCACCGAGGGTTCAGACTATCAAGTTCCGCCAACTTTCGGGACGCGAACTTAATATGGCAGACAGGAGTCGAAACTGGCAAACGAGCAGCGCAAATATAACTCTGACTGGGCATTATTCATATGCAGCGAGTTGGTCACGTTCAAGGGCCCCTGTTTTATTTTTTCTACTTTTTGTATTTTTCTCATTTTTTTTTCTCGCCTTGGCTCCAATAATCATTGCCAATATTTGGGCCTTTATGAATTTATAACAATCGCCAAGAGTATTTGACAATTGTGCGGGTGCTCTGTCCATATTCGATGAGAGTTTCAATGAAACGCCGCTTGAAGTTGGGGGACTCGAACGGGGTTTCGTAATCGAGTTAAAATACCACACAAAAAAAAAAAACTTGGTAAAATCAACTGTAATAATTGTCAAACAGGCCCCAACCAGCAAAATTGTCAATTCTACTAAGGGCCGCTTTCTCGAGTCCCTGTCAAAGTCCCTGATAGCTATCTGTTCGAAAAACTTAAAGACCAGATAAACTGTTCGTAAAAGCAAATCCGCTTTCTCGACTGCTTTAATTTATCTGAACGAGAAACAATTACAGAGTGCTGTTAACGCACTGTAAAGTGCAAAAAATGGCATGCTTCGATTATTTCATTAGCTGTTTGGGTATAATTCAAAGGAAAAGTCAACTGTGATTTCGTTTCTTCTTCATAGTTGGCTTTGGGAAATCAGCTGTCATTCTATCGAGCCGAAAACGCTTAGCAGGGACTCCGAGTCCCTGTCAAAGTTAGCTCTCACATTTATGTTCGAGAAAGCCAAAATGCCTTAGCAGGGACTTTATCTGTTCGAGAAATGTTAGCCGGCACTCGAGAAACCGGCCCTAAGTAAATTGTCATTTTACAACAACAAAATACACACAATTAGCAAAGACACAAACCCAAAGCAAAAACAAAATACACGTAACTATTTTAATAGTTACGCAACTATCTTTGTTGGTCAATTTTACCAAGCAAATTTTTTTGTGTGCAGATATGCACATTTATCACTTTGGCTTATCAATGTCAATTAAACTAGTTTAACTAATTTAGCTGGGAATTATCTCAAAAAAAGAAAGACCGGGAAAGCGGAAAGTTAATGTAGGTCAGTGCTGGTTAAATTACTGAAAACGTTGAGTTTGAGAGTATGGTTTATTTTAAAACTTTTTCTTGTTGGATATCTTAAGGGGGTCCTATGCATTTCAAAGTTATTTAATAGACTTACGGCCTAACAAAGTTATTAACAGGCTTTTTACTATTTACTATTTTGTATTATGCAACAGACTTTTATTATCCCCAACTAAATCCAGCTGCTTAGACAGGGGTAATAAAATAATATGAAATGTGTTGTTTTAATAATAAATTCAAGACCTTTCGACATGCAAATTTCCCTGACAATTCCATTGCATTTGCGTGGCATTTCAATTAACCGAAATCCCCACTTTCCTTTCCCCCCTTGCAGTTCCGCGGATCATGTGACCAGTATCTCCGCTGGCCATCAGTCAATCAATCAGCGGACCGCAGCCCAAAAATGTTTCAATTATGTTATCGCCAGCAACAACGACATCGTCCAGAATCGAAACCATCGAATCAGAATCAGAGCAGCGCAAACCACAAGGAGGCAGCAGCACTGCCAAGGCCGAAAGCGTCGTCGGTGGAGCGAGATTAAGTTGTGAAATCCCGGGAATCCTAGCTCTTCCTCGTAGACCGCAGTTGGAAAAGGAAAAGGAGCAGGAAACGAAACTAAAACCAAAATCACAGAGAAAGTCACCAGGCAACGGAGAGCAATTTAGCATAGCAACCGCAACGGAATTAGCCAGGCCAGGATCAGAAGCAGGACTTCGCCATGGGCTGCTCGCCAAGCACTCTGCCCGGCCCCTCCTCCGCCTCCGCCGGCGGTGGTCAGGCGGGCGAACGAGGATCCCTCCCCCTGGACGCCTCTGAGAAGGACGAGAGCCGCCTGTTTTGCATCAAATTGAGGCGTAGTCGCCTGCGTCGCTGCAGCTGTGGGGGCGTCACTCTGCAGCCACCCAGCGACGGCAACGGGAGTACGGCGGGGGACAACCTGTGCGGCCAGGTGCTCCTCAATCCGCTGCAGAACAAAAGCGAGGCCGACTACGAAAAGGTAACCAAATCCGGAAAGCCCACCCGCCAACCCAACCCAACTCAACTCAAGGAACTTTGTTCGCTTCTTGTCTTTCACCAGCTGAGCACCGGCAAAAAGGACTCGATTGTGACGGTAGCCGCATTGGGAAACTTTACACACAGCGTGGTGCGACGGGCCACTGGCAGTAAGTAATACCGAAGTATTTATATATCATACCCTCATCTTAAGATCTGCACAGAGTGGTAAATTGATACGGAAAGGGTCAACATTCTTTGAGTCCTATATAGAAATATACATCCTTAGTAAAATCAGTAATGGGACTTAATGTACCTAAGCTAAATTCAGATTTATAGATCTTAAGATCTTATTTTTTTCAAACAATATGAACTTGGATTTCTAGGATTGTATATATAACTCTAAAACTTCATATAGTTTATTGATAACTCTTATATCAAATGAGTCAGTGCATCATAATATTATTAGATCTTATTTCTTTCCGTGTTTAATTGAAACATGATCCCTTTTGTGAGCATCATAATTTAACTAATACCCTTTAATGTGAGGCATCGCTTTGGTTTCGGTTACCTTCAACACTCAATATCGGCTAACAATAGCGATAGATAAGGCCTGCGATTGAGGAACTCTGCTTCTGTTTCTGCCTGCGCTTCTTCTAATCTGAAGTGACGCTACTCCACCGTCAAGAGCTTCCGCTATGCTGGCTGATAGTACTCATATTAGCACTTATCAATGGGAATCTCAGAAACGGTTGCACATTTCCTTTTCTTCAGATTTTCTGATGATTTACGATGCTCCAAATTCGAGCCAATCAACTCAAGTGGCTGCCATAACTTCTGCTAGATAAAGCGGGATTAAAGTTGATTAGTGAGTTGAAGGGTATTTGCAGTTTATACTCTTGTTCTGCTAATATGATCATGAATAGTTGGCTTTCAGAATGCACAACTTCGGTTTAAATACTTTGTTATGATCTCTTAAAAAATATTAGACTAATACAATTTTTTAAATTTTTTATAAGTTAGTCTGAGGTATATTGCCTTGTAATATTTGAAAGTATCTTAAAAGAAGAATAGTGCAAATCCTTTTAAAATAGTCATATACCGACTAGGGATTACATAAATATGGGGCAAAGGTAGTAGATACTATAGAAGAATAATCCTTGGTGTAGGGTATCCCTGGTGCCTTGTGATCCCTGCGCTTGTCCAGGTAACCCGATCCCAGACTCAGAAGAGTCAGCTGGCGCTTGTCGGAGATCCAAAGCGCAGCTGTTTTGTGTCGACGTCCAATTAACAGTTCTCCGCTCCTCGCCCCACTCTCTCTCGCGCTGCCTCTCCCTCTCTCTTTTTGGAGCTCTGGTGAGAGTGAGTGAGCATCGGTGAAACTTGATCGCGCTCAGCAAACTGATTGGACTGGATGAGCGGTAGAGTGGGGGGCTGTGGGTGGGGTGGGGTGGCAGACTCAGAGAGTCGGAGAGCAAGCTTCGTTTATCGCCAAAGCTCCCTCTCTTTCGGTGTTGCGGCAACAGCTGCTCGCCATTTATGGAGTCCGTTTCATTTGTTGTAGATTCTTTCGCCGCGTCGGTCGTTCAGTCGCAGTCGCAGTCGACGTCGCTGCAACCTATGAGAATCCCCAGTGTGTGTGTGCCATATAGAATCGTATTCCTAATCAACATCCAAAAACCATTGCAAAAGTAACGATAACCATGCAAATCTCAAAAATAAATGAAAAATGAAGAGACTGCCAGCTGCAAACTGGTCGCCAGCAATCGCCATCTAATGATTTTTGGCCAAGTCGTGCCTATAACACGCTGTATCGCATACAACATATAAACATAACATATAACCCAGGGCCAACCAGTCGTCGATCCAAAGCGATTGCAATTAAAAAACGCATAGAGCCAACTGGAAATCATGTACGCGCTGAAATTCGTTGGCTGCATTCGCTTGAGGTGGAAAAAAACAGCTTAGCGTGCTCTAAAATACAAAAAAAAATGTATATATAAAAAAATACAACAAAAGTGTACATAGCCGCGCACGAAAAAAAAGTGTTAAAAATCAAAACAAACTTCACAACTAAGTGTGCCAACAACCGCAGCAGAAACAACAAGTGTAACGAGTAGCGATCTCTGGATAGATTTTGTTTTTCAATAGATATATGTGCACAAGATACAGATGCGCAGATACGCAGAGTCTCCTTTAATTTGAATGGCTATAACTTACACGGGGGCTTTGGACACCAGAATTATCCGCGCTGTGAAAAAATCTCAATTAATATGCAAAAATTCACATGACAATATCTGGTTTTTTGCCAGTCACACAGCCAGCAGCCGTATAAGAACAGAAGGAGAGCGAGATCGCGATCGAGATACGAGTATTACCAAGTCGAAGCACTCTTAATTTTCATTTTTTGACCAGGCCCACATTTTAATTCAGCGATCAGTCTCTCGCGATCAGTTAGTCTCTTGCCGAAACCGATTCCGCATCGGAACCCCGAAACCCCCAGTCTTCGAACCCCGGTAAACAATGGAACGCCCACGGAATGGCGCCAAAACATCAATCAAAGCCAAAGAAAACAAACTGAACGATCACTCGACTCGACGCTACTCGATTCATTATAGGCGGCTAATCCCACGCGTCAAAGTTCTGCAGTTTATCAGTATTCCCCCAGCTACCCCCTCCCCTAGTAAATTGGGAAATTGAGCGATGACGGCTGTGTAGTCACCACAACTTGTGCTGTTTTCTATTTGCTATTCGCCAGTGCGATTCCCGCAGGTCTTACACAAATTACGCTCAGTTTAGCCACGTGAAGAGCTCTATGCGCAGATTAGATTACTGGATACTCCCTATCAATATGGGTCTACCCAGCCCACTTCTTTTGTCCATATGTCTAGCGACGGGCTATCGCTGAGCCAAGAAGATCGGACCAGATAGAACTGGCCAATTTGATTCCGATTTCGGCCCAGGGCCACTCTAGCTATTCTATCCATTTCATTCCATTCCATTCCGAAAGCCCAGATGTAGATTGTGCACGCGTTGGCCTATCCGTATCTGTATCTGTATCTGCATCTGGCCAAGAGTACCTGTATCTGCGGCCGAACCTGTGCCGTATCTCAACGTACAGCGTACCCACACACAGCCTAAACATCTGAATACTATGGCAAACCTGCCTGATATTATCTTATCACAAATTAATTGGTCGCCATGACAACGGCCAAAGGCGCAAAAGGCCCCAAAACCAAAAGCCCAATGAGATCGGCCAGTCAGACTGGCCAGGAGCCCCTAATCCTCTTTTTGTATTTAAGTTAAATTTACTTTCGGTAGGAGGGGGACTTGATGGAAATGCACCTGCCTTTATAAGGCTAAGCGCCTTATGTACACCCAGAAAAGTATCTCACGGATTGAATTGGCGACAGCCCAACAGACCGTTAGTTTTTGCCGCAGCGCACATTCGCAGTCGCTGCTTTTTTCTCCACCGCCACTGGCAGTTTGAAAATCCGTGCGAGAATTATCATCTGGCAAACAGTTTTTCATACCGGATTAGAACGGACGTCGTTTTCCACAGTCCGGCTCCGCGCTTTTATTACCATTTTACCTATTTTGTATTTTCTACCAGTGCCAATTTAGTTGCAATTCGCCAAATCGATTGAAAAGTATCCCCCGAAAATTAATACTTAATGAGACCGCGTTTTTCTACCTATAATTGTGTTTGTGACTTTGTACTATGTTCGGCAGTGTGAGGAGCCCAGGCAGTAAGTAATTGTTGGGGTCGCGACCAGGGAAGTGTGTAGTTAAGGGACCAGTTTTAAGGGGTCCCCGAAATCCAAAGAAACGTCAGCGGCTGCTGGCCGCCTTTTATCTAAACAATTTATCGATTTTCGTTTAGATTACAACGCGTGTGCCCCTGCCTCCCATTCCGCTCCACTTGGGAGTACCCAGGCTGCTCCGAAAAAAACAAAAAAAAAAAAATAACACAAACGATAAGATACACCCGACCCATTTGAATAAGCGCAAATATACTGTCCCCACTGGCGGTACAGACATATATACATGGTATACATGGATCTCGTACCGCTCATAGAGATACTATATAGGCCCACTCGACGGGTTCGGGTTCGGTTAGGGGTACTTACTTTCCGTACTTTCCCTGGCTAGTTTTTGTTTATGCCCCACTCGGGCTATTTATATTAAGTGTGCTGTGCACACATGCTGCCGTATCTTGTGCGCTATATATCTACCATATATGCATTACGTATACGTATGTATATATGCATGTGGGGCAGTTTATCATTACGCACTAATTGTGTGAAATCAATGCCGCAGCCAGATAAACAAACTATTGCACATAAATGACAATTAACATAATGCCCCGAAAGTAATCCAAATTTGTGTGACTTCATTTGCAAAATACAAAAAAAATAGACAAGAAAAAACCGAAAGAACATAAACGGAAATAAATAAAGAAAAGCGAAAAAAGCACAAACAATGATAATTTCCAGCCAGCCGAATTTGGCTGGATCGGCGACGACCACGATTACGACCACCAGTGCCCACATGAGCCAGGAAAATGTGCCCAGCACTTGCAACTGTGGGGGAGTGGGCGTACCCACCCCTCTGGGAACCAGACAAGTCTCATCCCTCAGTCCAGAACCAACGAAAACACCAACATCTAGCAGGGATTCATTAACGCGTCCGGCCTCCGAGTCCGAGCTAAATGTGGGTAAGGTTCCTCCTCCTCCTCATCCCCCGAATTTCCCAGGAAAAGCGAACACTCTTCTGGGGTTAAAGTTGAGTTTGATGATGCGGTTAACATGCGTGTCCACAGGTTTCCCCCAAATGAGGACCTGCCAAGTGGGTTTTCAGGCAATTAAAAACTCAGTCTCAAAGTTTTCTTCATCAACCATGCAGCATCTCTAATAAATGTTGGCAGCTAGTTGGGTTTCCACCTGTTTACCCAGATACCTACGTCGATCTAAAAGTTAAGGCCAGCAATTGAACATTCTAGTGGCACAAAATGAAAAATTGCAAGCAGATTTAAGGGAATGAAAGTGAAACATTCAAAAGGTGGAAAATTGAAAAATGATGAGAGCCGATTGCATGGAATAAATTAAGTTGAGTGCGTATTAAATATCATGGTGGAAAAAAATTAGAAATAATTGAAACTGTTTCCACAAAATGTAATTCATCTGAATAAAATGAAAAAAGTTGTCGGAGTAGTAAATGAAAACAATATGAAAGCTGATTTCGTGGTATTAAATAAAGCTGCAGGCCAGTTACTAGAAAATCCAGCGGTAAAATATTACATTTCATTTATCAGGAAAATTATAAAATAAATAGTTGGAAATGTGAATCATTTTCATTAGACGATAGCAAATTTAAAAAGCATTCATTTTGTAGCACTTTAAAGTGTCATACCAATTTAAGTAATAAACTTAGAGCAAAAATAACATGCCATATGGATATTCCTTATCAATTTAAAAAAGCCCCAGAACAAAACCCAAAATGACTTGTTGATAACTTTAATTTGCTTGCAGGGAATCCGCACAAAAGCCTCGAACAAATTTCGTTACACAGAAAGTTTGTTTGGTCAATCATTTGGGGGTCTTAAAAATTGTTTGGGCCTAAGCATACATAACTTGCGAGAAGCCACAGAATTTTAATTTCCCCCCCGAAAACTTTGCCCAGGAATTTAACTTTGGAAATGCCTGAGAAGGTATGGCAAACTCCAATATGGATTGAAATTTTCCACTCAGATATGTGTATAAGCAAACATAATGTGCAGAAGGAGATACTTCAATGGATTTTATTTGGGAATCCATAAAGGCTAAACAGTATGAACTATTGGTTTAACCTGTAATTTTATTTTCCATATGATTCCGAGAGCTACTAACCATGGGATTTTTGTTTTAGTTTGCTTGCCGCAGCATAAAATAAAGTGGGCTGTGGGCCGTTCGGGTTCCGACCTGTTTCTCATTAAGTGAAATACAATTTGTGCGGCTTAGTTCCTCGGGGGCGCCTCTCGGAGTGGCTTCGTTGACAGATAGGATGCCCAAGCAGAGACCCAAACGCCAAAGCGGAGTTTCCGCCCCCAAGGACCTTTATACCCTTTCGCAGGCACATGCGTGTGTGCCCGTTTATAAAGTGTTTCTGAAATGCCAACGTTTATAATTAAATAAAACGTGCAACAAGAGGAATTAATGTGCGTGCGTGTCCCTGTCAGGGTGTTGGTGTGTATGTATTTGTGTATGGATAAGAGAGTGTGTGTGTTTGGTGACCATTCATTTTGATTGTCAGCCCTCAGCTGAAAGAAACTTGCGCTGCGTAGGAAGCCCAGGAATATTTATACATATGGGGTGAATTCAAACTTTATAGTTTTTGTAGTTTCCGAGATCTCAGCGTTCATACGGAAGGACAGACAGACGGACATCCTGATCAAGAATATATATACTTCGAAGGCTTTATTCTACCTTTTTCATAAATATGTATTTTCTGATCATATAAATTGATAATTCATTTCCTAGTGGTCTTTATTTTCAATGAATATTTAAAACGACTTTAATCAAGGATCCAAAGTTAGCTTTATTTATTGCTACCCACTAGATTGCCGTGAATTCTTGGAAATGTGTGCAGTGCAAAATATAGGACTTGACATTACTCATACGCCGTGGGTGCTTGTTCAAAACACCAGTTCCAACTTTTAGAGGGATTAGATCTCCACCATTGAATTACGTTTCTTCTTCTTTTTCATTTTCAAACATAAATTTAAATGTTATAGTGGCCAGATTTTATACAAATTCAAATTTTAAAGAATATGTGGATTTTTTTTTTATTTATTTTTTTTTTGACAAATGCCTAAGAGTATGCAGTATGCCTGGCGACCCCTTGAAACGCCCAGAAATGTAGCATGCTTTTCAGATTTTCGATTTCCCGCTTTTCTTCTTTATTTATTGTTGTATTATTTTTTTCTCAGGCACAGGCACATCGGGCACCAGTTCATCCGGCGGCGGGAACAGCCGTCCAGGTCACCGCAAGTCATCGCTCGCCCTCGCCCTCACCCCGGAAGATGAGCCGATGGACGTCTACCAGGTGAGTCTCCTATCCCAATCCCCATATCAACTATTACTATTACTACCCAAGAAGGGGGAACCTCACCACATGGTTGTGTTACGTCTTTTGATAAGCTATCTTATCACGGGCGGCACAGTTTATGTGGCCAGCGGGCCGAGCGGAGAGCGTTGCGCTTTTCGGTTTACATTCAGCTTTAAATAGCCGCTCACCAATACTTAGGGAGTGCTTTTGCCTATAAACAATACGCTACCAGAGAAATCAAATCAATTAACATTGAAGGTGGGAAATCAAAAGGCAAAGAAAGAGATTATACCCCCGATTCGATCGACGCGACTCAGTTCATTCCGTTTTCAGTTGGATGTTTGAGCGTCGCGAAGTCGCTTAGTTTCGACCACAAGACCTGTGAATTATTCAGAACTGATTCCGTAGACACCGATCTAGATACAACGAGATACAAATACATCTACAGATCGATATTGAGATCGAGATCGAGATTGTCGCATTAGTTTGGAAGACGGCGTGGAAAAGTTGGAAATGCCACTCGCGACGAGGCGTTCCTATTCGTGTGCTCGTCTAGCTTATGCAAACAACTTGTTATTGATCTAAGACATTGGACCTCAAGTGGCGAGTGTAATTGTCGCCGCTGTCATTGTTATTGCGATACGGATTTCGGTTCAGTTCACTCCGCTCGCCGAGTGGTTGTTTTATAATTAGCAGAATGCGCAATTGTTTGCCAAAATTCAGCAAAGTCTTCCGCCGCAAGTCCTCCGCCGCGAAGTCCTCGTCCTCGTCTGCCGGCGGCCGTGAGAATCCCTCCAACGAGCCGGACTCCGATACGGAGCCATATGCCATTGCACCATCGGCTATATCCGATTCCGATCGGGGTGGTGGCCATAATGAAAGAACTAGACCCCTAGATGACGATAGCAGCCGCAGCCGGCTGATAAGCGCTGCTCATTCGGATTTATATATGGATTTGGATTCAGATTCACCGGCCAATGGAGGCATTCGGCCAAAGAGCGAGGGCGCCCGGCCGGAAATGAAAGTGGAAACGACGCAGGCTAAAACTCCAGGTCCAGTGGCCATTTCCCTGCCATTTGTGGGACGGAATTCGTGTAAAACGCCCGAGGAAATGGAGCTGGAATACGAGGCCAATGTGGAGGCCGAAAGCCGTGACATAATGACCCCCCTGCGCCGCAAAACGCGACCGTTGAGTGTGGCCTTCAGTGGAGGAGGCGGCGGCGGAGTGGGAGGAGGACGCAATTCGCTGCAGCCGGAAATAGTCGAGGCCATACGCAGCCTGGACGTCCCGGCGCTGCTGCTCAACAATCTGAGCCTGGAGGGCAGGGAGAGCAGTCTGCACCTGGAGGACGGGTCACCCTGTCATGACCATGAGGAGGCGGTGGTCCTTCGACGCAAGGTCAACTGCCTGGAACGGAAATCACACAGTCTGTACGAGCGACGATTGCCCAAGGTGCCGAAACTCCATCTCCTGGTGGCTGGGAAAAAACCAACGGAGGAGGAGGAATTCCGGACTTTTCAGGTAGCTCTCCCAGAAGTTGCCAACTTTTCCAGCTTGGCCCATCAATCTGCGACGCCTTAGCCAAGTCTTGTGTGAGGGGAAAATGCTGTGATACATTTCCGATTACATTTTCATTCCTCCTCTGATTGACACTAAACCCCGGAGAACCCACCTTCGCAGGATTTAATGTGCTCGCATTATAAATCTGCAGCACACGAGCGTGTGCCGCACATAAGTCAGAATCAGCAGCAGCGAGCAATTTTATTTTAATTTATCATCATTTAAGCGACACGAAGGACAGACATTGTATCTCCTGGCTACACAGATACAGAGCCACAGATACATTCGCAAAAAAAGAAGAGGAAGCCGGGTTAAGCCCTCTTATTTTGATGGCAAAGCCAGAGGAGCTGCAGATTTATATATTAAATTTTACACGTTACTGTTACACCTGTTCTGACATTCTTCTTTCTTTTTCCTTATTTTTTATGTGTGCTGATGCAGCGAAATCTCATGGACCTGAAGTATCCAACCGTACTACCACCGAATCCCCCACTTAAGGTAAGTCCACTTTGAAGACGGGACAATTCAATCAGTGCAATGGCTTTAACCCCCCTCATCTCGTAGGCTCTCCTGGTTTTCCACAAGTCGGACAGCATCTGCGAGGCGGTCACCGCGGCCTGCCAGCGCCACCAGCTGGACGTAACGCTGGTCAAGTCCAAGGAGGAGGCTCTGGACACCCTGCAGAAGTCCTACGCCACCGCCCAGTGCTACCACCTAATCATAATTGATGCGCGTTCTACCAAGAACCTGGATGCGGAGCACATTGCAAGGTGGGTAGTGCACTCAAAAAATAAGCTAGGTATTATGAATAATACCTAAAATATTTGATATCAGAAATATGTTTTCGATAAAGTTCAGAAATTATTCTTTAATGTCAACTCCAAAGAGTTAAGTGTCAAAAATTGTTATTATAATTTCAAATTGATCTGCTTTCCTGTAAGCAAGGTGGGTAGTGCACTCAAAAAATAAGCAAGAAATTTTTCATATTCAAACATTTTTAATATCAGAAATATCAAGTGGATATTATAAAGCTCAGAAATTATTCTTTAATGTCAACTTTATTATCAAAAATTAATAGTATTATTTCAAATTGATCTTATTTCTTTTCTTTGAGTGCGGTTTAAGTTGCTTTGTCAGATGTGAAATGGGTTTCGGGCCGAGTTTTGGGTTGGCCAAACTTACCAAACTTCTCTCAAAACTTTTCCATTTTCATAAACTTTTCACTTTGCTATAAAACTTGATGACCCCCCTCTTTCTCCCTTTCTCCTTCCAGAACCATACGTCACACACACGGCCACCATTTAACGACAATAATTGCAGTCTGCAAGAAGAGGTGAGTAGTTCAGTGGTTGAGTAGCTCGACGAGTCCTTCCATTTTCCACTAACGACTTACGTCGACGACTTTTGCAGTTTCTTCGAGAAGGATGATGTGCTAATTGCTCTATTGGACGCTGGCGTTAATAGAGTAAGTTTCCGTTAATTGCCCCATCAGAGGAAGGAACAGATGCTACAATTGCCACATCTTGTGTATTCCACAGTGCGTAGCTGAGACGACCAACCTGGCCATGTGCAGTGTGGAACTGAAGCAGATACTGCACTCCATCATCCGGCCGCACAATGTCATGTCCACTCAACAGGTAATCGAGTTAATGTGCCACTGTCGCTGCTGCAAATTAATTCAATTAAATGGAAGCGCCGCCCTGCAGGCCAATGAAATTGTAAACCCGCTCAGTGACCCCTTTTCTCCCCAGGCCCTCTACACGGCTCTCCATCGGCTAAAGGAGGTGGTGCTCATCACGGACGACCTGCTGAGGATTCAGTACGCGAATCGTGCCACCGAGAGGCTGCTCAACATGCGGCTGGTAAGTGGGTGATGGGTGGTGGGTGGATTGTTTGCGATTGCGGGGCATTAATGAGATTTCCGCGTTGGACAACAGGACGAGATCATTAGCAAGCAGCTGGAGGACATATTCGTGTCGGACCTGTCCACCATCAGTGAGCAGTGCAAGAACATCAAGGAGTTCGACGGCATCCTCACGGTGCGCCGGAAGAGCCAGGAGGGCATCCCCATGCACGTGCGCGTGGTGCCAGTGGCCTGCATAGGGAGGTGAGTGAATGAATGAACCATGAAAGCATCAACCCCCCCTTTTAATTGGCAATTTTGGTCCCAAACAGCGCACCCACGCACCTGATTTTCAACTTTGATGTGCCCGGCGGACAAATGGACTTCATAGCCACGCTGCCGCAGCCCAAGGAGGCGCCTCGCGGCTCCCTGCACTCGGTGCGGCGGTGCAGCTTCGATGTGCGCTCCATCGCCTCGGACGGACTGAGGAGGACCAGCCTGGCCAAGCTGACGTCGCTGCCGCTGGAGGCCCCCATCACTAAAGTATGACTCTGCCTCACATTCGGGTTGTGGCTGCAGCACGTTGCAACTTTGGGGCGGGTGCTTTTGGGATTGCCTAAATTGCTAAATTGTCGTCCGTGCCTGTGTCCTGGTCCGTGGTGGTGTGTGTGTGTGTGTCCTGGTGTCCTGTCATGCCCCGCAGCATATGCAGCAATAGCAACGGCAGCAGCAACTGCAGCAGCGACAGCAATAACATTAGCAACAATATTTGCACAAGCACATGCACACACAGACCATCAAACATACGCACATAACGACACAGGCACCGACACACACACAGTGAAAGCGTATTGGAAAATGCATTTTCCGGCTTGGAGTGGACTATCGATGTTTGGAGATGCAAAGGCCACGAGATGACAGAAGTCTCTCAGCTTTTAATCATCCAATTAAGCACTCACAACCCACTAATCAACTTAAAAGCAACTAGAACAGATGGCGCCCGAACAGGGACCCACGATTGGTTACGACGCTAATTAAAGATAAAGCCCACTCCAAGCTAGGCAAATGCATTTGGACAAAAAGAAACCGACCGACAATGGGTCGTTTTTAACCAACATTGCCCCACTGTTCATTTGAGCTCCTAATTTGTCATAAACTTAACCCCAACTAATCCCAAATTCAACAGTAACAGCACATCTAAACATGTTCTTACATTTATTCTCTTTTTATCTCTTAATTGTTATGTTCTCTTTTTTACTTTTATGTTTTGTGTACTCGAACAATGAACCAACTCATAAAAAATATTACCAAAAATCAAATAATGTACCAAACTGTTCGTTCGCACGTTCGCTCGCTCGCTCGATTTGCTCGCTGTGCGTCGCTAACCAAAATATATAAAAAAAAATCAAAATAAAAACCAAAATGTACAAAACTCAAAACCAACAAACACAACCGAAAAACAAAAACCAAAAACTGCGCACTCGCACATTAGATAATCAATTTACTATCACAAGTACAGGAGAATTGTTCGGCCGATGAGGCGCGTCTCATAGACAAGGTCTTGGAGTTCCTGAAGCGCGAGGGACTCTACAGTCCGCAAATGAAGGAGATACGAACGGACGATCCCATAGCCACCGATCTGATTGGTGCCCTGCTAACGGTGAGTTGGGATCGCTTATTAACTACCTTATCGTTACTTATAATTATAATATAATGGATATCTTTTTAGGGACCCAGTGTATACTCCTCGCGCCGCAGCTCGAATGACTCCATCATCCGCACTGGCAGCTCCACGAGAACTGCCACAATTGTGCCCGCCAAAATGAAGGTGATTACTTAGATCGAAATCCCATTATGACATAATATTAATGGTTTTTTCTACAGTCCAATCCCATAATCATGGAACTACTTGACGAATCTCTCAGCTGGGACTTTGATATTTTCAAATTGGAGGAGATCACCGATTACCATCCGCTGCTCTATCTGGGCATGGAGATGTTCCGCCGCTTCGACGTCTTTGCCACATTGAATATCGATGAGAACGTGTGCAAGGCATGGTTGGCCGTCATCGAGGCCCACTACCGCAAGAGCAACACATATCACAACAGCACCCATGCCGCGGATGTCATGCAGGTGGGTTTGATCACTGACCTTGCTTTTGATATAATCATTTGATTTTCCAAACCCCTTTCTACCCTTAGGCCACTGGCGCCTTCATCACCCAGTTGACCAACAAGGATATGCTTGTAATGGATCGCATGGAGGAGGCGACTGCTTTGATTGCCGCCGCTGCCCACGATGTGGATCATCCGGGCCGCTCATCCGCCTTTCTGTGCAACTCCAATGACGCCCTGGCCGTTTTGTACAATGATCTGACTGTGCTGGAGAACCATCATGCGGCGATTACCTTTAAGCTAACCCTGGGTGAGTTAAACTTATTTTATTCCTTGCATAACCATATATTACCAAGAATAGTTCAAGCTATAATGACTTCGAATTAAACCCTCCACCAAAAGCGTCTTGAAATTGGAATAAATCTATTTATGAAAGCTATACCTATTGCACAATTAAAAGTTTTCAAAACCGTTCTCTTGATCTCAAAAGTAAATCAAGGTCGATTTAATCTCCAATTCTTGAAATTGACAAATAATTCGCCTTGATTGTAAGAACGATTCTTCTTTGCATTTAAAATAATTTAAAACTGTTAACCAATTTAATATTTTCAAGTCTATAATCCAGTTATTTTTCATCGAAATAATGATACTCATTTATACTTTCAGGCGACGATAAGATCAATATTTTCAAGAACCTGGACAAGGAGACGTACAAGTCGGCCCGCAGCACCATCATCGATATGATCCTGGCCACCGAGATGACCCGTCACTTTGAGCACCTGGCCAAGTTCGTGAGCGTCTTTGGCGGCGAGGAGCCTCGTGAGGTAAGTCTACAGATATATGAAATTCTATTAAGAATACGAACTAATTGAATACCCTTCAGCACAACTCCCAGACGGATGAGGAGCAGTCGATACTCATGCGCCGCATGCTGATCAAGGTGGCCGATGTGAGCAATCCCGCCCGGCCGATGCAGTTCTGCATCGAGTGGGCCCGTCGCATTGCCGAGGAGTACTTCATGCAGACGGACGAGGAGAAGCAGCGCCATCTGCCCATCGTAATGCCCATGTTCGATCGGGCCACCTGCAGCATACCAAAGAGCCAGATCGGCTTTATCGAATACATCATACAGGACATGATGCACGCCTGGGAGAGTGAGTTTAAAGGCTAGATGTCTTCCAGATAAATATCTAAAATCTAAATATACACAACAGGCTTCATAGACATGCCGCAGCTGATCACCTACATGCAGATCAACTACTCGCAGTGGAAGAAGTACGACGAGCAGGGCGTCAACACGCTGGCGGAGATCATGGCCAAGCAGCCGCCGGTGGGCAAAATGGCCAACTCCAAATAGCATACGGCCTTCCGGAGATTGTTCTCGGGTCTACTGAAGCCACTGCCGGCCCAGGCTCCGGGCACCTCCACGATTGGCGAGAACGAGATGGAGGACGTGCTCTAGTGACGGCGTCGAAGGTCCTGCGACGTCTGACTCCGGACCCGCAGTCTCTCGGCCTGATCCTCTGAAGTCGCAGCTCATCCTGCTCCCCGGACTGCCCACACATATCCACATATCTCTCAACGGACCAACGGACCAACGGAACCCCGGGGGAGCGGGACAAATGGGTGGCTGGCTAACCCAGGTGTGCCAAGTGGTGTCACAAACAACAAAAACAGCGGTATCATACAAAAGAAATGAAAAAGAAAACAAAAAACACAACTAACTAAGGCAAACAAGTAAACAATTATTGGGCTGGACTCAAAATTAAATGTTTAAGATGCATCACAAGAAGCGAACTTTCTATTTCTATATAAATATACCATGTGAGTCTGTCTGTGTGTGCGTGAGTGTGTATGTCCCCTCCATCCCCCCAATATAAATGTGTATGTGTTTAGGCTAACAAAAAAGCAGGCTAGAAATCCCACAGCATATTGACCAGAATATATATATGGCGTGCGCTCAACTGTACCTGGCAATGGTATAAGGTATAACAGTCTAACGGTTCTCGGTAACGCTATAGCGATACTACCGAAACCAAGTGTTACAAGCATGTAGTTCTCTCCCATCATGAAGACAATCTCTGTTGAATACTGCAAAGCCAAGTAAATATAGAATAATTGCTGTCCAAGTCAGAATCTTGAGTCGTGAACGGAATTGGAATCGGAATCGGATTTGGATTCGGAACGAGACATAATACACATAATGCGTGCAAGATCGAGAGAGACAAGCACTATATATTAACTACTATCACTATCGACTAGCTAACAACTACAAGTAAAACTGAAAAAACTGAAACAAACTAATTCGAATCCACTCTTGAGACATATGAAATCCTATGGGGCCCCTTTTACTACCTAATTATCTAGTTACCTATTTTCCTAACTAAAGAATGAAGGAGAACGATAAATTATAAATGATAAATGATGAGCTATCCTAACTAATACTATTAATGTTGTTTAGCTTTCTAAGCATACGGTATAAGAAATCAAACTAAACGCAAATGTTTAACAATTAAGTGAAATCCTTTTTGAAATCTTTTTATCTAATTGACTGAACAAATTACATATACATATATAAACCAGATCTATTAATACGAATTGATAATACATTCTTGTTATAACTAAAAAAAAAAAAACAAAAAGAAGAAAAATGAAGTGAAATGGAAAAGCAAAATAATATATACAATATACATATATACAATTTATACAACTTTTACGAAGCATATTATATATATTTATATATGTCATACGATATCGGCATTCATTCACAGAGTTACAGTTATTTGTATGTGTTACCAAGGTGTTAAATCCCGTGCTTCAGAATGTTTTGATAGAAATTATATAAACGTATACAAGTCCCTAGATCGACCTCCCGAACTGTGTAGCCAAGTCGCTGGACTAGAAAACCTAGAAAATCCGACCTTAGACCCATCAAATCCGCTCAATCCGACCAAAAACAACAAAAACCACACAATCCACCCACCAATCCACATTTTCCGTTCCCACACTTTGCATCACTACTAATCACACTTAAAAACTGAGCGATAGGAGAATATAAATGTATATGCATATTCAATGTTGTTAATATGTGTGTGTTTCAATTGTATGTATTGGATTAAATCGCGTAAATTACAAACAAGCAAAAATGGAATAAAGAAAAACAAAATAATACATGTTATGAAGAATATATGTATACATAAAATATAATATATAGATACGGTACTACCATATGTTTCTGAACACAAAAATGATAAATCTTTACATACAACTATGTATATTTGTTACATCTGTTTGCTCCTTGCAGGTTAAGGATTATAAATGTTAAGATTTAGTCAAATTTATTGTAAAAAACAAAAAACAAACACAAACAAGAAACAAAAACAAAATGCAAATAATACAAATAAAAATCCAACAAAATGGAAATTATCTACAAAAACCAATCAAAAAGAAAGCGAATACGGGGGAATCGGGTCAAGGTTGAAATGAGTTGGCCAATCCTATCCCAACATAGTGAATGGCAATCAGAATCTATTTGCGATCAGCACCCCATTAATATTTCACTCACTCATTTTGTCAATAATGATCGATTCTTATCGACCCAGCCCTCTCTGCATTTTAACAACCTGTTTTACTGGCATTCTTCCAACTTAACGACTGCCCAAAAACGATGGGCTTAATTTCACCTGGCCGCCTCAATCAAAAGGTAAACAAAACGAACGTTTCCAGCCCAAAAACTTTCTTTCGGCCGTACCAACAAAGAAAGTCTTTCAGTCTTGGATCTTACAGCACGATCGATTCATGCAGCCCATATGGACAAAAACGAGTCCGGTTACGCGTTAATTGCATAATGTCGCCTGGCGTTTTGGCGATGGCTGCGTGATAATATTTTCATAAATTCAGATCATAATAAACTTCCCTACAGTGTTACAAATTTTTACGAACAAATAATTGCCTTGATGGATAACCGTATTAATTTAAAGTTTAAATTTTAAACTCAGGAAGGTAAAAAAATGTAGTTTGAGAGTTTTGTTTTGGAAATAAAGCACTTTGATCATTGACTTCCTCGCTATAATTTTAGTGACCTTCTTACTTTTTTTATCATCTTTAAGATATTTTATTTTTAAATATTTTGAAAGATGGTAATATCGAAAAATATAACTTCTTTTATTTATTTTAAATTATTTAATGGTTAAGATAATTCGTTTAAATTCACTTATGAATATCAAACTGCTCCTAATATTTTTTCTTTCTGTGTAACGATCGTGTCACGCTTGCATCGCCAAGATGAGGAAAGACCCGAGATTCTGCTGCCGATCGCTGGGTGTTTCTCAAGCAGCGCTTAATGCGGTTTCAACTGCCGAACCGATCAGTTCAATCGATCGTTTAGTTTAGAGCTTCAGTCGCCACAGATTAGTTGATCAGTTGAGATCACCGAAGATGCCCCAGTCCAGCTTCTTTGCCAAGAGTGTGCCCTTCGAGCAGATCGACAAGTTGGCCATTAGCGGCGGCTACTCCTCGATCTTCGCCAGCAGTAAGCCGGCTGTTCCGGTAGTAGGAAATTGGGAGCAGCGCTTCTGTCGCCTCGCGGATACCTTTCAACCCGTTCTGGACAGAGTGTACGACTTTGAGGTTCGGGAGGACGATGTGTGGATAGTGACCCTGCCGAAATGCGGCACCACCTGGATGCAGGAACTCGCCTGGTTGGTGGTCAATCAGTGTGACTTCGAGACGGCCAAGAGCGTGGATCTCACGCTGAGATCACCCTTCCTGGAGTGGGTTTACTTTACTAATTACTAGAGCACAGGAAACTAATATATAATCCCCAGATTTAATGGCGTGGTTCCCAATGTGCCACATGACACCATCGCTGCTGCGAATGCTCTGCCCTCACCGCGCCTCATCAAATCCCATCTGCCCGCCTGGATGCTCCCCCGGCAGATCTGGAGCAAGCGGCCCAAGATTATATACGTCTATCGCAATCCCAAGGATGCGGCCATCTCATACTTCCACCACTGGCGCGGAATGGTGGGCTACCAGGGCACCAAGTCGGACTTCATGCACTCCTTCATCGATGGCTATGTGAACTTCACGCCCTGCTGGCCGCATGTCCTGGACTTTTGGCAGCTGCGTCATGAGCCCAATATCTTTTTCACCAGCTATGAGCGGATGAAGGGTCAGTTGGGTAAGGTTATTGCAGAGGTGGCTCAATTCCTCGATCGTGAGATCACTGGGGAGCAAATCCAACAGATGACAGAGCATTTGTCCTTTGAGAGCATGCGCGATAATCCCGCCTGCAATCATGTCAAGGAGTTCGAGAGCATGAAGGCAGCTGCCGGAAGGGATGTGGAGGAGTTCAGGTAGGTCCCAAGATTAACTAAACCCATAGAAAAAGAGTTTCCCAGCTCCTAATCCGTAGTTCCCCCCACAGATTTGTTCGCCGCGGCGTCGTTGGCAGTCACAAAGATGAGCTCACCGCCGATATTATCCGGGAATTCGATCTCTGGTCGGACATCAATCTCAGGGATTACAAATTGAACATGGATGACTTTGCCAACTACAGCAAGTTCGCTTCCGCTTAATTCACTCTAAGTAGTTTCTGTATAATACATCTTGGGTAATCTTTGTTAATAGTTTTTAAGCTGTGGTGATATATATGATAATAAATAATTGCTTCCCCTATAATATACGTAATTTAATGGTTTCACAAGCGAAGTGTTTACATTCCTGCGGCTGACGCTCCATTATCAGCACATTAAGTGGTTTATTAATTTATTATCAGCGGTTACTCCAATAAACATGTAACATTAAAAATAGCTGTATCTATTGTTTGTGGCATGGGAGCGACCATTACTTGGCTTTCATATCTCTTTCATTATTTATTTATAAAAAATGACTTTCCTCGAAAAAATATAACCTGTTGATATCAAAATGCCAGTCAAATTTAGGCAGGTTTTCAGAATTTTCTGCCACTTGGTTGCCCTATATCTTGTCGTCTACTTGTTTACGTTTCTATTATCAACAGAAATGAGAGAAGCGACCAATTAAAATGAAAACAAACAATAACTACTGAGTAATCTTATCATCAAAAAGCTAAAGAGAATTCCTAGCGGACCAAAGAGACATTTGTATCTCTTAAATATTCTCGGCCCTCTGAAGTTGAATTACAACTATATAAAAACAAAGACTCAGTAAAAATCCAGTAGGCCTCAGCCATGGAACGCGTTCAGGTCACGCCGCGGAGTTTTCCCACAAACCTCATCGACAAAGACTGGGCGAACCGAAAGCATATGCATAAGAAAAACTCGGAGCATTTCCTTAGCTTGGTGCATGATATGAAACTTAGAGATGATGATGTGTGGGTAGTAACTCTGCCGAAATGTGGAACCACTTGGATGCAGGAATTATCTTGGCTCCTGCTGAATAATTGCGACTTTGCGGGAGCCTTGGCCAAAGATCAAGAGCTACGCAGTCCATTTCTCGAGTATGTATATCATATATAAATTATATGTAGGTATATGTAACAATATACATCTTTGCTTTAAGGTTTGGATTTTCCTTGCATGATGATGTGCAACGATCCTTCGGGCCCATTGAAAAATTGAACTCTCCTCGACTAATCAAATCTCATCTTCCCCTTGCTCTACTTCCCTCAAAGCTTTGGGAAGGGCAACACAAAGTTATCTATGTATTCCGGAATCCCCTAGATCATTGGGTATCTCGATATTATCACGGTGTGACTTTTGGTTTTCATTACGGCAAAACACTACATCAGTTTTTCGATGAGATCTTGGCCTCTGATGATTTTGCTACCGAGATAATTGAACACGCACATGAATTCTACCAATTGAGAAATGAACCCTGGGTCTTCTACACTAGTTTTGAGAGAATGAAGAAAGATCTGCGTGGTGTTATCAATGATGTCTCCAGTTTCCTGAATAAACCAATCAACGAACAGCAAATGGAGCAACTTCTTAAGCATTTGTCTTTCGAAGAAATGAAAAGTTAGCTATTTACAACAAAAAGTTTTTTCCTTTCTTTAAACTAATTTTTGTTTCAGAAAATCCAACAACGAATCATTTGTGGGAGTTCTCCCAAGTTAAACACAAAAATGCTGGCAAAGAGAAACACCCGTAAGAGAAATCTCTAAGGTTTTTCAGAGAGAAGAGTAACATAATATTTTCCATTTTTCAGATTTGTGCGGCGTGGGGATGTTAATGGCTACAAGGATGAATTGACCCCCGAACAAATTGAGAAGGCTAACATTGGCATACAAAGAATCCTAGAGAAAAACTCAGTGACAATGGACGAACTATTACTCAAGAATGATCCCTAAAATAAAGTTAAGATAAGAACTGTAATTCTTCTATAAATCAGGCAATAAAAGTGTTTTGCTTTTCTTGATTATATTGCTTATATATTGTTGACTCGATCTACTTCAAAGTGGATAAACAGGTAATTGCTGAGAAAAACCAACTATAGATATTTATACTATGTTTTATTGCTTTTGCACTGAACTAGGTAAAAACCAAAATCAAAAAATAGTGAGCCTATTTAAAAAAAATATGATGCCATGCAACTTTTAGGAACTATAAAAGTTAGATCCATTAGATTTACATTGTATTTTAAGTGGTTCTTGCAAACACATAATATAACTGAGGCCGTAAAGTTTTTTTCCAGTTCTTGGAGCTTTAGTCATTCTCTTACTGAGCAAGCTAATCGGCACTCTTATCGAAAAAATACTATATGCCACATTTACTACATTACATTTACATTTACTACTATTGCAAAATTTTTTGCAATCTAGTAGTTAGCTGCCGCCATGGAACGAGTTCGGATCACACCACGGAGCTATCCAACAAACCTCATCGATAAGGACTGGACGAACCGGCAGCATTTCCATTTGGAGAGAATGAAGGGATTTATCCATTTGGTGCATGACATGGCTGTTCGGGAAGATGATGTGTGGGTGGTAACCCCACCGAAATGTGGCACTACTTGGATGCAGGAATTATTGTGGTTGCTGATCAACAATTGCGATTTTGAGGGGGCGTTGGCCAAAGACCAAGGTCTACGAAGTCCCTTTCTAGAGTGCGTGTATAGAATTTATATTTACCATTTGTATTAAGATTTAAAATATTTAATTATAGGTTTGATTTCGTATCAGGTGGGAGTTTGGAGCAATCATTTAAGCGTGTGCAGGAATGCAAATCGCCACGACTTTTAAAATCGCATCTTCCCCTGGCTTTACTGCCATCAAAACTCTGGGAGGGGAGAAACAAAGTGGTCTTTGTGTTTCGGAATCCCCTGGATGCCTGGGTATCCAGATATTATCATGGTCTTTCTTACGGGGCTTACTATGGTAAAACACTGCATCAGTATTTTGATGATCTCTTGAGCAACGGAAACTATGCTATGGAAACCATTGAACATGCCTGCGAATTCTACCAGCTGCGAAATGAGCCATGGGTTTTCTACACCAGTTTCGAAAGAATGAAGAAAGATCTGCGAGGTGTGATTAATGAAGCCTGCAATTTTTTGAACACTTCTGTCACCGAACTGCAAATGGAGAGACTACTTAAGCATTTATCATTTGAAGAAATGAAAAGTAAGTCTAATACTTTTTCGACTTGAAAATTATTCTAATCCTTTATTTTACTACAGAAAATCCAACAACCAATCATTTGTGGGAGAAATCGCAAGAAACTAACGAAAATGCCGGCAAAGTAGACTACAAGTAGGAAAAAAAATTTTTTGACTGTGGGCTATAATTTTACTCCTTATTTTTCAGTTTTTTGCGACGTGGTAAGGTTAATGGCTACAAGGACGAACTTCTGCCCGAACAAATTGAGAAGGCCAACTTGTTAATACAACAAAATCTTAGGAACAACTCTGTTACCATGGAAGAATTACTACTACTAAATCACTAAAAGTAATAAATGTGCGATAAGATTATTATCTTGGAGAGTATATAAAAGTGAGGAAAAAAATTTGTGAAAATAAAGATAATCAATAATCTAAATGGCATGGAAAATAAAAACCTGGACCTTGGCAATTTTTTGAAAAAAAGGAAATCTATTGAAAAATAAATAAAAATGTTTTTTAAATCCGAAACTGAAATTAAAATGCCTAAGATATTTATCTTTAGTTTCGTTTTAATTGATATAAAATTTGTAAAAATCCAATATTTAAGGCACACGTAGACATAAACTAACTAACACTCAAAGGCGGTACAAAAAATGCAGCCTTAGGCGGTGGAGGTCTCCACCTTCCTGGCATTGTCCTCCTTGGAGGAGGGACCAGTCTGTGTGATCTGCACGAGGCGTTCAGTCGAGGGAGGTGGCAGCGCCTTCATGGGCGCCTTGATGGTCAGCAGGCCATCGGAGGAGAGGGAGGAGGTGACCGAGTCGGGATTGACATCACCTATGAGGAAAAATATCCACCATTTAGTTTATTAATCCCACTTTATTGAGATCGAACTCACTTGGCAGCTGGTAGCGTCTGGAGAACTGACGGGAGACATAGCCGTGCTCGTCCTGCTTCTCCTCGTGCTTTCCCTCCACAATGACGAATCGGTCGGCTATCTTGACGGTGATCTCGGAGGGTGAGAACTGCTGGACATCCAGAATCACCTCGAATTTTTCGCTATCAATGTTCAGGGTGGATCCGGACTCCTGCTTCTGCAGGCTGTTCTTCTGCCAGGGGCGCAGATATCCGGATCGCAGGACAGTGGGTCGGGAATTCCACACCGAGGACATGAGGTCATCCCTCCTCAGTCCCTGTCCAAAGTGCTGGTCCAAGAGGCGCGAGGTGCGCATTGGAAAGTCGAGCTCATCCCACCAGTCGCGGAACATCAGGGGCACTACGGACATCTAATTTGATCAAGAAACGAGACGATAGTGAGCTAATCACTTCACTTTTAAAATCACTAATTGTTCTCTTTTATTTTTAATATTTAAATATTTTTTATTTATCCTTTTTCGTACCTTTTTTTTGGATTTTATTCACTTCGATTAACACGTCTTTTTCGATTCGCGGCTGTTGCGATTTTGATGAAGCTCCCCGAATATTCACACAGTTTTATACCCTCAACAGACTGTTTACATCTTCCACCATGGTCTAAAAATATGAAAATTTATTTCCCATCTAAATTTAAACGAGCGTCATTCTCTCTATAGAGAACATACAGAATTTATATATGCCAAACACATATACTTGGTGCGAATCTGCGAACGATTTCAGCTTGTTTTGTTTGGCTTCCGTGGGTGTCGAAGATTTTTGGAGCCTCAGACGCCGGCTATCTGGCTATCATGACCCAAAGAATATTCTACATATTCCATCTTAGTCACTACAGACAAGCCTTTTTCGGAGTTGAAATAATAGTGTTTCTGTTTGTTTGTTCCAGAAGAAATCTATATCTACATTGTATGTGCAAATACTATACAAAAGACCAGCAATTTGTATGCAATTTGTATACATTCAAAAATGCCTGCAAATTCTATCCAAAAAAATACAAAAACACAATGTGCTTCTGGAAAAAGCCAGAAGAAATTTTGACGCCCCCAAAAACATTTTCTAGATATAAAGGAATTTTCATAATTTTCTACCTGTTGAAAGTGTTGATTTGACGTGGCCAATATGAAAATACTTTGGCCACTAAATGACTTTATGAACTATTTAAAGCATCTGCCACTTTTGCTTATTTTTTGTTTTTCCTCTGCTGAGTCATGTCGCGTGCGATTTCAATCAGACGAAGTCAAATAAGATGACGTAGCTCAGAATACTGACAGACCGAACAAAAGAATTTTGAATATAATGTATAATTTATATCAACAATTTTGTTGAGTTAGTATCGCGTAAAGCATAAATTATAATTATTAGGCTGCGGATTGCAATCCATTTATGTATATTTTTGTTGGCATTGTATATTTTTGATGTGCTTTATTTACGCTTATAAAAACATTTTTGTTTTCTATTTAAAAAGTATATTTATAAAAATCCAGTCATTGAACATCAATTTTTATAAGCATACCAATAAAATATTATCTTATTTAAAGTCAGATCTATTAAAATATTTATATTTTTTAAATTATGATTTTTCAGGATATTTTCGTATCACAGTAGTCGTTTTACAGTAATCTCCCCTTTATATGCGAGGAAAAATCAAAAATATTGTATTGCAATTTTAAAGTAAATGAAATTTCTATTCCTTTTCCTATAGAATTAATTTCCGCTTTGTAATTTATTTTAGAGATGCCCCCTGTATTTTCTTATGTACCCATTGCATAGAAACAGTGGGGCAAATACCTTCCAAAAAGGGCCAAAAGCTCACCAACACCACTGCAAACCAAATGTGCAATTGCATTCGCTGGCTGTCTGTGAGTACGTGAGTGTATTAGTCTGCGAGTGTGAAAGTAGTGAAAGCTGAAAGCCGAGGGCGAACGGGGCCAATACTTATGCTTATGCAAGGCAGCCGAGATGCCGACGCCACCGCCCAGCAGGAGTCTAAAAAAAACAGGAAAACAGGCGACATTCAACGTAGGACATGCGGCACGTGAAGTGTTTACTGTAGTCAAAAATCATAGGATAAATCAAGGGATCAAGAAATAAATCTATAAAATGGTAAGATAAAAGAGAAATACCTTTAAAGTGAACCATTCCTACAGAAATCCCTTAAGTGAAACATTAACATTCCTAATATTATTGCAAAGCTTTCGACACCTTTATAAAAATTCTCTTAATTCGATTTGTAAATTAATTTTATATTTTTTCTCAACTTTACTGCAGTCTGCCCCCTTTGTGTTGCCCGTGACGTCACGACTGTTGCTTCTCGTTGTCACACTGTTATTCTGCCCTGTGCAGGCGCATCTCTCGAAGCGAAGCTACTCGGATCAGAGTGTCCATGGCTATATGACCGAGGTCTCTACGGATTACAGGTGGTATATTGTAGGACGGGGCTAACCGAATCGGTTTTTTCATTCCATTGCAGCGCACCTGCTGGTGGAACGAGGTGTGCAAGGAGGAGTTCCAGAGCCTCTTCCGCTGCAAGTGCCCCCAGTTCTCGTACTGCCGGTGAGTTTCCGTTTCCGGTTGAGTCCCCCGGCTTAATGTCAGAGTAATGGAAATCAAATTAGCTCCTCCAAATTGCGTTTGTGTAATTGCTTTCGCATTTTCCCAGATCACCGGGACGCTACTATAATGCCTACTGCTCGATGACCGACACCGGTTATATTTGGACCCAGCCGAACTGGGATTGGGGGGCGTAGGATGAAGCTACCCCGGATAACGCCCCCGCCGCCACGCCCCCGCACCGCCAGCACAGCTCGCTGTGACGTCAACGACACTGACTGCCGACTGTATGCTTCCGTCGCACCAAAAATATAACGGGTTCAGCCCCATTTGAAATCCCAAATTGAGCCGAGTCTTTAGGCTTTAAAATGTAATGGTGTCGAGTTCATCTCCCCAGTTGTTATCGCTCTTCGTGCTGAATAAATGGCATCGAAAGTCGTATTACTTTTCGCCTGCACTGTTTCCGTGGGACTATTGGAAAATCAATAAAGGCTTTCCAATTCACGACGGCTTGCGGCAGGGCCACAGTGGAATTAGAACGTATGTAGCGCGATAAAAAATATTTTAATTTGTTTATGATTAAATTATTTATTTATCCACAATGTATTTATATATCATCATTCTTTCTAATATTTTATTTTAATATTTTATGATTAAAAAAAAACTTATAAATTATAATTAGATTAAACTAATTATTCATTTACCAAAAAATGGATTGACACCTGTCAATATAAATTAATTTTGTTTAACTTTTTAACTATAAATTAATTGTGTGTTGGATTGTAGGCTTGAATAAAAATTGATGGTATTAGACTCTATTCAAAATGGTAGTTGAAACTATTTTAAGTGGCTATCCCAAAGCGAACAGTAATATTTCTTATTTTATTTTCAATATTAATTTGGTTCTCCCAAGTACTTTCCACTGTCTCCCTTCCAATTCATCCCACTGTGCAGGACAAAGGCGCAGGCGTCGCATTGAAAGCGAAAATCGAACGGCGTGGGAGTGCGTGTGCGAGTGTGTGTTTGGAGCAGAGTCAGTTAATCTATTGCCAGCTCAACATATAGACACCGCCAACAGATGTTGGCAGTGCGGAAAATCGAGTCAGAGCAGCCAGAAGCCAAGTCCGAGTTGTTTTGGTGAAGAAGAAAATCGCAAGACTTCCAGAAAATGTCGCGTCTCCTGTTCGCGACCCTGCTGGCCATAAGTTTGGGTTGTGTGGCGCCCAGCAGCAGTGGCAGCAACCACCTGCCAGCGGGATTAGCAGTGGATCTGGGGCCAGGTGTGAACCTCAACGAGCGCTTCTTCGACCAGGTGCGGGCGCTCATCAAGAGGAGGCTCCAGGAGAAGGGACTGGCGAAGCAAACGGAGCAGCCGGAGCTGCCCTTGCCACTGGCCGAGGACGATGCCCTGGCTCTGCAGAATCAACGCAGCTACGACAATGTGCCCCTTCCGGCGGCCAGTGTTCCCACGCCTGTGCTCGTCGAGAACTGGCCCACCGAGCAGCACAGCTTTGGCCAGGTCACCGCCGTGGCCGTGGATCCACAGGGAAACCCAGTGGTTTTCCACCGCGCCGAACGCTACTGGGATGTAAAGTAGGTCAACAGCTGTCGCTGCCTAGTAACAAGTGTCTATCCCATATGTACACAGGAAGAGGGAAGAAAATCAGTGGGATCATATTTTTATTGGAGAGCCTTTAGCTTTTTCCAATTTCCATATGAGATATTATTGCCTATGAGATACAAAAAAAAATTACAGGGGTAAAAAAATCTCAGAAATCTCAGAAGTCAAAAATCAAGTAAAAACTTAAATCATTTTCAAAATTTTTTGAAATTATGCATTGAAGAAATGAGCACTTAATTATAAATGAATCTATCAGACTTCCAGACCCTTTTTAAAAAGGGGACCAGAAAAATAGTATAGGATACAGATTAAAATTTGTATTTATTTATTAATTTGTATTTATTAATTTACCTTCCTATCTCTCCTCATTTTGCAGTACCTTCAACGAGAGCAATATATACTACCTAATTGAATACGGGCCCATTAAGGAGAACACCATTTATGTGCTTGACGCAAAGACGGGAGCCATTAAGTCGGGATGGGGATCGAATATGTTTTATATGCCACATGGCATGACCATCGATACTCATGGAAATTATTGGATTACCGATGTGGCCATGCACCAGGCTTTTAAGGTTCGAAAATATTTAATTTCCATACGAAAATTTCATAAGTAATCCCTGATTCTTCAATTAGTTTAAGCCCTTCAGCAACAAGCCACTGCTCACCATTGGCAAGCGATTTAGGCCCGGATCATCCGTTAAGCAACTGTGCAAGCCCACTTCCATCGCCGTGGCTAAAACGGGGGAGGTAAGTGGTACCTGTTGAATTATTTCGGTTCTCGAGCTCACCGACATCCCAACCCACGCAGTTCTTTATCGCTGATGGCTACTGCAATAGTCGGATACTCAAGTTCAATGCCGCTGGCAAGCTGTTACGCACGATTCCCCAGCCACCCGGTGCGTATACTTAATATTTATGAGTGGGGAAAAATTAAAGTTTTAAAAGTTCATCATGGGATATAGTAAAAACATTTGGTCTTTATTTGAAACGTCTTTATCTTTTATAACATTTTATTATTAGCTTAAATAATTTTAATATAAATTCTCAACATTTTTGTTAAACGGATTTAGTATCATACAAAAATCAAAACAATTTAAATTATCTTAAACTTAGCTTTAGACATTTAAAAACATTTAAATATTCGACTTTGTGATAATCTAATGACTATCATTAATGGTTTAACGGTTTTAAAACAATGTTTCTTATAAATATGTTATTAAATATTATTTTTTGAAGGCATATATTTATTTGTTCACGTTTTTTTTACCACATTTTCTGTAGATTTGCCGAATATAATAATCAAAAACAGATTAAACTACTTTAAACTTATTTTTACATACTTATAATCCTTCTAATCAATTGACTTTAATTTATGGTAAAAGGTTTCAAAACATTTGTTATAAATTTAGTCTTATTGCTTAAAGTCATGTATAAACTTTTTCACATTTTCTAACCACCTGTCCTGCAGAATTCCTTTCATTACAGGTGCCCCATGCCATCACCTTGCTGGAACACCTGGATCTCTTGTGCATCGCTGATAGGGAGAATATGCGCGTAGTCTGTCCCAAGTGAGAAAAGCTTTTTTATTTTAATTCAAGAAAATACCAATTAAATATCTCTTACAGAGCTGGCTTGATATCCTCCCATGGCGAGGGTGAACCGGCGGCCACCATCCAGGAACCGGACTTGGGTCGCGTCTTCGGGGTCGCCAGCTATGGGGACATAGTGTTCGCCGTCAATGGACCCACTTCCATGCTGCCCGTGCGGGGATTCACCATCGATCCGCGCTCAGAGACGATCATCGGGCACTGGGGAGAGTTCAAGAACCCGCACTCCATGGCGGTCAGTGTCAACGGATCGGCACTGTATGTGACCGAGATCGGGACCAACCACCAGACGAATCGAGTGTGGAAGTATGTGCTGGCCTGAACCTAAACCCAATCGCACTGCGCTCCTGCATATCCGTAGATCCCTAGATTCCTCCCAATTAGTTATCAGCAGAAACAGATCGAAAAGAACTCACTTACACACAGCACCAGAATCAGACGCCGAATCAGATACAGATAATACCGAATACAGAACCAGAACCTAAGCATAAGCAGAGCCCATCCCAAAAGTACAGTTTAACGTGACTCGTTGTCAGATCAATAGAGAATAGTAAGTGCTTAAGTAATGTACAAGTTAAGTATGTAAATTGCTTGGAAACAATACCACAACAAACATAACCTCAGACTCTTATGTTTTGCACTGTAATGAGCAAACGAAAACGAAATTACAAAACGCAGCTTAAATAGTACATATACTTAAATGTTATAGTTATGCGTAGGCACTAACTAGGCACGAATGTGAGGATGTGGGGATGTGATTCCGATTCTAATTCCGACTGCGCAGATAACCGGGGGCAACCAGCAGCGCATATAAACATACTTGTGTATCATATTGTAACCTATATCAAATATATAATCGTATCTGTATATCTTATCAACTTATCGTAGCCCATGTAAATTATGAATGTAATAAACCGTTGTTGTTGTTGTGACGTGAACGGCAAGCCCACAGAAAACCGGAGGGCTAGATAATGACTATTTCCCCTGAAGGCCCCTAAAAAGGAATGTTAGTTTACATAAATATGTTCTTAAACCTAGGCAAAAAAAATAGAGTATATCTATGCCTATTTTAGATTCGAGTGGCAACGTTTGCATGGCAAACACTCTAATTTACAAATTTTGGAAATGTTTTGGGCACAACTTAAATACTAGAAAATATAAATAGAAAACTTGAACACAGTAAAAATAAAAATTGGCTGTCAGGTGGAACCTAGCCAGTGCCTGGCAAAATCCAGAGCCTCATTCAAGTGCGTTAGCCATTTTAGGAGCTCCGGCTGAGTGTCGGCAGCAAAAAACACTCCCGACTCATAATCAGATTCCTTTCCCTGCACCAAAAAGCTTCTGGCCCGGGCACAAAGATCCCGCGGGGCTGCAGCTATCGAGGATTGTCCGCAACCGGGCAGCTCCAGCGAGAAAATGGGTGAGTCGTCTCCTAGATTATCTTCATGTTGCCAAACGGAGAGGCGTACGCCATCCAGGCTGCACCATCTTCGATTCCAGTGGTGCCTGTTCTTCGGATCCTGAACATTTAGGTAGCCCGAAAATCTTCCTTTGGGCAGCCGTAGATCCACTCTACCCGTAATCGATATAGCCGGTCCCAAATTGGTGGATTTGGTGTGTGTGGTTAAAGGCAATTGCCAGGATCGCGAGCTGCGCAGGCAGATCTTATCGCTGGCTCTCGATTCTGTAGCCACCAGATGAAAGGGTGCCAAATCCATGGCGCGCAGCTTAAAGGAAGCATGCAGGCGAAAGCGGGAGATGATCTGTTCGTTACTAGAACCCGCTGAAGAACTCGAGTTGGCGGAACCTAAGTTACCACTGCCTCTTCGCTGTAAGTTAACTTATTAGCAAACTGCTTCCTGGGAGAACCAAAACTACTTACCAGTGACTTCGAGGGCTCCAAAGCCAGAGTGGAAACCTTGCGCAGGCGCAGCATGAAGATCTGACAGCGCAGCTCCAAAGATTCCGCTTTATCACCACTATAAAACTCCAAACCACAGTCCCGAAAGATGGCAGAACCATTCTGGCACTCCACCGACTGCGTGGAGCGAATGCGTCCGCCGCACTCAAAGGTGCAGATGTAGTGGTAGTTGAAAAACATATCCTGGCTGACGTCGGCCCGCACAGGCAGTTCCATGGCATCGATCAGAAGGCACTGCGACTGCCGCCTGGCCGCCAAGGCAGTCTCACTTAATTGACAGCCAAGAGGAGCTACCTTTTGCAGGCTGGAGAAGAGCAGCAGTCGCTCCGCCTCCACCATCTCAGCAGAGATCTCCAGTTCCGGCATCTGACGACATATACTCACAGCCTGAGCCAGCTGCTCACTGGGATTTAGCGACTCATTCAACAAGGAGTCGAGGTTAAAGCTGGCATAGTAGCTACTGCTGTCCAGCTCCCCGTCCGTTTGATTCGATTGATCCCTCGAGAGATTGAGGCTGTGAGTGAGTCGCTGCTTCTCCGCCAGGAAGAAATCCTTGCCCTTGCGATACGACCGACGTAGAGCATTCTTTAGCAGGCGATAGCGAGCCAAAGCGCTGACCGACATCAACTGGCTGTCGCTGGGATTGGGCATCGTCTGCATGAGCTCACCCAAACTGCTGCTGTTGTGCAGGCCGGGATCCTCCACCTTGGAAGCCTCCGCCTGCTGGGGAGTTGTGGGGCAACTGAAGCTGAGATTCTGGCCAAACGAACGCAACGGCGTGGCTGGGCCATCGTTTATATCAATGGTTAGATTGCGCGAGGGCTGAAAGACGAATCATTACTCAGTTTCAACAACAATCTTACGAGTATATTTCAAATGCGTATCGAAAATGGATGAGTGTACAGTGTGAAAGTGGCTATTTACAGGAGTTACAATGTCGGAGATGCAAGCGAAAGCCTTAACCTTTTTAGGGGTTGTCAACAAATATCTCTACCTTGGTCGTAAACCGCTGGCTCTGCTTCTTTTTCGGCGTACTCTGGTTAGCCGGCTCCGGCTCAATGTGTCCAGAGCCATAATCGTTGGTCGCAAAGGAGCTGCCCGCCTCACCCAAGCTGTAATCCGCATACAACTCATCGGCGCCTTCGTTGGGCATGTCATACGACACGGAATCCAACTGGGAAGTGTTCTATAAAATGGGTTTTTTAATTAGAGATGGTTTAAAACGTAGGATCCTCTATCTACACTTACATTGGGCACCTTTTCCAGGCGATCCAGCACCAGTTCACTGCGACACAGATTATCCAGAAAGATCTCGCTGCGCTGCAGGGAAAGTTCCGAGCGGGAGAGATTGCGATTCTTCTTGGGCGGCGAATGCTGCTCGCTGATATTGTTGAGGGATTGATGGGTCAGCGGAGGAGGCGACTTCACCGGGGGCTGGCGTATAACAGAGGACTCGGTAGTCTGACTGGCTGAGCAGGAGGATTCAGTGCCACTCGGTTCCTCGGGCAGTGGCATGAACTGAAAGAAGTTGCCGTTCTTCAGGGATTCGTGGAGAAAGTGACCCAAAGCCACAGGTTGAGTGGGAGGTTGAATCGCAGGGCTTGGTAACTGCTGAATAGTTTTTGTAGGTTGTACAGCCTTATCCATTATCTGGTTTTGAATAACAGGAGGCCTTATCTGTTTATTGACAGCAGGCGGAATTATTGGCGGCTGTATAACTTGAGCCTGCTCCTGAAGCTTCATTTGTGGCGAGTTCTTCGGCGTCTTCTGCACCCTGGCGTACATGGCACTGAGATCAGCGGGTGATGGCGTTGCATCCGGCATGGACTCACTCACATATGCCGTGGAGCTTTCTGTTGGCGTCGGAGTCTCGTTTATTAACTGCGCTGCAGTCCTAACCTCGTGATGCGGACTTCCTCTAATCCGCAAGCAGTCCTCCTCGATCTCCGAGTAAATGGGTTCGCTGTCGAGATCACGCTGCAGTCGGGTGGTGGCCACGGAGGTGGTGGCCAGGCTGCTGGGTCCATCTGTGCAGTCGAAGCTCTCGGTTTGAAAGTGAGCTCGCTCAAGGGGATCGGAGCGGGAGCAGTCCTGGAAATATTTGAAATTAATAAATTATTAATATATATTATCTTTATTATAAATACATTAATAAATAACTGATTTAACAATTTATTTTGTATAAATGTAAAAATATTTTAAATAGCCCTACAAATTTTGAATTTCGATAGTCCGCGTTATCGATATCACCCGCATTGCAGCCCCGCGAAGAAGAGCGCAAAGCAGACGACGCAACAAGCGAAAACAGCTGACAGCACAAAATTTTTCGCTTCCCCCTGGAAATTCGGACGCCATCCGAAGAGCAAACAAAACACAGGCATTTCCAGGGGACCAGGAGCACGGGCACATGGCGAGGAGCACCTGGTGAGATGTACAAATCCCTGCTCCGCACCGTTAAACACCAGGCCAGGTCGCAGATCATCAGGCGCAGCAGCAGCAGCGGCAGTCAGACAAACGGAAAACGCAAACAAAAAGCAGAGCAAATGGAGGCACGCTACGATTTCAACAGGCGCTGGACGCCAGTGGGGGATCAGCCGCCGGGATTGGGGCTCCACAAGCTGCCCACCACCTTCAAGCTGGTCTCGTACAACATTTTGGCTCAGGATCTGCTGCTGGAGCACCTCTTCCTGTACGTGGGCATTCCGCAGGAGTTTCTCACCTGGCGTCGCCGCCAGCAGAATCTCCTCCGGGAGCTGATCAAACTGAATCCGGACATCCTGTGCCTGCAGGAGATGCAGTTCGATCATCTGGCGCCACTCGTCCAAGGACTGCGCATGGGCAACGGCAAGAAGCTGGCCTATGTGTACAAAAAGAAGACGGGTCACCGCACCGATGGATGCGCCATCATCTACGACTCCTCCAAGTTCGAGTTGCTGGACCAGCGAGCCGTGGAGCTGCATGACCAGGAGGTGGCGCTGCTCAATCGCGAGAATGTGGCCCTGTTTGCCCGGTTCCGATTCAAAAAGGAACCGGATCAGCAAAAGGAATTCGTGGTGGCCACCACCCACTTGCTGTACAACCCCAAAAGGAGCGATGTGCGCTGCGCTCAGGTGGGCAGAATATTGGAGGAACTCTCCTCATTCTCCACGGACACACCTATAATTCTAACTGGTGACTTTAACAGTCAGCCCGACTCATCACCCCTTGAATTACTAATGGGTGAGGAGGAATCTGCTGCTAATTCCGGAGCTCTACAATTTGAGATCTTCGATCCGGGTGAGGGAACAGCCTCCACATACCAGGACGACTGGATCACCGTCGACTACATCCTGCGCTCGCTAGGAACGCGGAGCAGGCACAAGCTTTTGCCCATCGGCGTCTACTCACTGCCCTCCATCAATCGCTGCAGCCGAGTGGGCCAGATTCCCAACCACTACCTGGGCTCGGATCACTACGCTCTGGGCGCCATGTTCACCGTTGTCTAGTTTATAAGCCTGTCTATATCTCGGACTCATCAATAAAGATTCGAAACATTACACTTTCACTTTTCTAAATGCAGGGTTCGGAAATTGACACATATGTTAAAAACATGAAAAATTGTATTTTACACTTGTTTTTTTTACACAATATGTTATTAACACGATGTGTTTTTACATGATATCTTATATGATATCTTGATTTATTATATGTTAGTTCTAACCATTTTAACCATAGAAAACCGTGCATTTTTCAGTTCAACATACAATTCTGACACTCATTGTGTTAAAAAAAACACGCTGTGTAAAAAACTCGTCGTGTAAATAACACAAATGACATGTGTGTTTTATGTTTCTAACATACAATTTTTTGCACACAAGTCAATAACTTTCTTTGAACTTAACACTTTGACATTTAACATGTTAATAACACGCAATTTTTACAGTATGTGTTATTCTCCGAACCCTGTCTAAATGTATAATAAAAAGTAAACTGTAGAACTCACCCGAAAGGTTCTCAATGCTCTCTCATCGCTGGCCTCCAACTTGGCACGAATGCTGCTCAGCAGATAGCCCATCTTGGTGATGGTCACATCCTGATCGAGGTCCTTCTGGTACGAGCGATACGTGGTGGGTGCCGCTTCCGTTTGAAAATCCAACTTGCGAGCTCTGTTAACGCGGGGCAGCTTCTTTGGCGGCGTCGGAGCGTTCACCTTGCGCTCGAAATCAAAGTAGGGTTGCTCGCTGCTGTCCAACTGCTGGCGCGTGGATGTGGTCGTGGCCGAGGGCGTGGTCTGCATGGGTGAGTGATAGCTGCCCGGCGGCGACTGGGAGTGCAGGTCCAGCTGCGAAGTAGAGGTCTGCACGCCAACAGTGCACTGTTTTATGGGCTCCTCCCTCGGTGGCTCCTCTTGATTAGACTTCTTGGGCGATACAAATCGCAAGATTTTCTTTTTGGAGTTGTTCAGAAAGTTCTTGGATTTCTTTCCCAGGCTCTTCGGTTTGTTAGCCTTCCAGGGGGAGAGATTCCGCCACTGCTCACCCCAGATAAACTTCTGACTGGCCTGCCCACCAGTTGTATGGCTTGGATATTTAATGGGCGTGTCCTTGTGTTTTATATTCGAGGCAAGATTCTCGCACACACTGCCGTCCACAGTGTCCAGGGAAACTTTTGGGACCACAGGCTGCGGTTGTTGCCTAGGCGCTTGCCATCCAATAGCCACTTGCGGTTCCGCCGGCGTTTTAAACACGCTGGCCGACTTTCCCTCGTAGTTCAACATATCGGTGATTTTCGGCTCCGTCCAGCCAATGATGATCTCCTTGCTGGGCGCACTTTTCCGACTGCTCTCCTGGCGAATATTCCTTGCGTAGTTCGAACCCCGCTTGGACTCCACCACGCGCTCAATGTCGCTGAGTGAGGGGCAGGTGGGCAGATGTTTGTGGCTCTTGGGCTTCTCCACCTCGGCTAAATGGACACAAAACTCGTGAGATGCGGGGAAATCCAATAAATTCAATAAATGAAACCGTAAGCCAAATTTTGTGTGAACAAAACTCTTTATTTGCTAGATACATTTGATTTTTGGTAAAATAAATTTGTTTTTTTTGGTAAATCTAAGTTAATTTGGTTACGGTTTCATTGTCTTGGGCTTGGGTGGATTACTTACCCAGGGGAAAGGATCTGCGCGAAGGTTCCACCTTGCTGACGGGCACCTGAACGCCGCGCTTGCGCAGAAACTCGTCCAGCACTCGCTCCGCCTCGCGCACCGAGGGATTGGTGGAGGTGAGCGAGGACTGCGACGACAGCTTCCCGTCCAGACTTTGGGAGCCGCGTCGCGGTGGCTTCGGCGGCGGCAACTGGGAATCGCGTGCCTTGAAGCTGACTTGGCCCTGCGAGAGTCGCTTCTGCAGCAGGCGTCCACCTGCTCCGGAACTGCGACGCGAACGGGAGCTCCTGCGACTGGGGGGAAGCTCCTTTTCCTGCTGCTGCTCCTCCTCCACAGCCGACTCCTGTTCGCTGATGTTGGACAGCACGGGAGCCGAGGGCTGGTAGGCTATCGGTTCGTAGGACTGCATTTTGGTGGACTGCGAGCTGTGCCTGTGCCGCTGGCAATTGGAGCCGGAAAGAGGCAGCTTTTGGCGATTTACGCGCACCTCGGAGACCACACAGTTCTCGTGCAGCTCCTGGATGATGTGGATAAGCGGTTCATCCTCGCCGTGAACGGCTTTCAGGCGACTGACAGCGGTTAGAGGGGTTTTATAGGTGGTTTTTATGTTGGTCGGCTTGGCTGGATGAAGTTTCTCCGCCTGCTGTCGCTGGCTGTCCAGATTGTTCTGCTTGGCGGGCTGAAAAATTAGGGTTTTTTACTTTTGAGTAAGGTTTTTGGAGTGGGCTGCGAATTGACCCACCTTAGAGCCCTCGGAACGCCTGCTGCGTCGAGGCAATCGCACGTGTTGGTCACGTGGCGGCGCCGTGGAGCCGCAATCGCCGCTGTCGCTGGTGAAGCAGTAGCAGAAGCCATTCTGGCAGGGCTTCCCCTTGCGCTCCTGCTCCTTGTTGCAGCGATTCTGGTTGATTAGGTCCGCATCCGTGGATCTGCGGATGCGGGGCTGCCTGGGCATGTTGTTGTTGTTTTCGCAGTCGCGACTTTGCGTGGACACCCGGCGGATGCGGCGGGCACGGAACTCATCGATGCACTCCTGCAGGCTGAACGACGACGTGGAACCGGACTCGGCGGAATCCTCCTCCTCCTCCCCCTCTTCTTCTTCGTCGGCCACTAGAACATGTTTCGAGAACTTTGAACCTGCAAAAGTCTGGAGTCCACAATGCTGTTTACATGCAATTTAATTTAAAAGCGAATTTAATGCTTACGGTGGCCATTTTCTATTTGTAGACTTGTGGAGCTGATGCTGAATGTGCTCCACTTTTACACGTTGCACGCTTTCTACTCCGGCGCTGCTCCGTAGTTTTCCAATCAAATGAAAATCGACGCTTCGCGTTGCATTATTGTTTTCCCTTTTGTGCCGCTTCTTCTTTATCAAAACGAGTGAGCGAGAGAGGGAAAGAGAGTGTGCCTGACAACCCTGTCTTATGTCAGAGATGAGCACTTGGCTGGAAACACATGAGCAACATACAAAACTAATAATAGGGGGATTCCCTAAACTGTTGAATTGCTGAATTGTTGAATTTTGGTCAGCTGTTAATCAGCTGTTCCATACAAAGTCAACTTTCAGAAATTTCAGCAATTCATCAGCCTCGGGGCTGCTGAAAATTTTGTTGAATTGCTGAAAAGCCAGAGTTGTCACCTTTTTTTTAAAAGTCGTGGCAACTCTGTAACATTTTAGTATCACCAGTACGCATTATTTATTTTAAAATCAACTTAGAAAGCATATTTGTGGTTCTTTTTACCTTGGTAACACTTTTAGAGAGTAACTAGCAATAATAAATCAAATTTTACATGCTTTAAGTTCCCTGAAATTTTTCAACAAATAACAGCTGTTTGAAAATTCAACAGGAACCATTTTGGGTCGTTCCCTTAATTGCTGAAATTTTTTGTTGAATTTTCAACAATTCAGCAATTCAACAGTTTAGGGAATCCCCCCAATATTAATATTATAATCTTTCAATTTATTTTTAGCTCTTGTTTCAACATCCCGGAAAGTCTAAATTGTATAATAATAAATTTATAAATTTTAATTACTCACAGAAATAGCAACCTAGCTATATTAATATGATTTATTTTTTTTTTAATCTTTCGAGATTTATAAATTTAAATTACAAATTTCAAACTACAAATAAATTTGTTCCATCTTCAAATGATTTGTAGTCCAGGAAATAAAAACAAAATACATTTATTTTAAAGCTAAATTATATAGCTATAATTAGGTAACTCGACATCTCTGCCAGAGAGAAACAGCTGATATTATTATTTGCGGCATGCGGTTACGTCGTCTCTGATTACGAAAAGTCTTAAAAATTAGTTTAAAACTATTTTGAATTAAAAATAAATACAAAATGTCAAACAGCCATCTGTTCTTGAAGTCTGGCTTCCCACGGGCTCCCCTGCAAAATGGATTGGGACGCTATGTTTGCCAGCTGCAGAGGATCACACTAAAGTTCTGCAAGAATAATGGATCCAGCAGAGGCATGCGGTATGAAAAATCATTTCATTTAATTTTAAAAGAGCAGTAATTAATTAAAATTACTCCACAGCGACTTCATCGAGAACCATTTGGTGGACTTTGCCAAGGAAAATCCCGGTATTGTGGTCTACGTAAAACCCAGACGCCATCGCACACCAGTTTTGGTGGGGGAGTATTGTAAGTATTCAAAAATGAACCTAAAGGTCTTAAAATAAAAATTATTTTGAATCGATTTAAAGAATATATTCATGTACCCATACTTACAAATGAATTAATTAATTGAATTTATTCTAGTATTATGTGTAAGCAATACAGTTCATAAAAAATCAAGTTCCAAAAAAGTTGTATGAACAAGAAACACCAAATTCTGCTTTCAAGTGCATAATGTCTTAGTCTTAATATCGAATTATTTTGATTTTTATTCTTAAAATATTAACTCATTCTCTAATAACTAACTAATTAATTATATTATTTCCAGTGAACGGCGAGCGTGAGTGGATGAGTTGCAGGAACAGCACCCAAGAGGAGATCTCCAAGTGGATTGACCTGCTGAAGACCCAAAACGGCAGCTCCAGCTCACTGCGTCTCCGTAAAATGTGGCACACGGATGTGCCCTCCATCCAGGGACCGTGGACACCCTTCCTGCTGCGTTCACCAGATGCCCAGGGTCAGGTCTATCCTAGTGAAGAGGCTTCCAAACCGCTGGAGACACCACAAACAGCCACCGAGAAGCTCATTGAACTATTCCGGCAGCAGCAACTCGAATCTGGCGAGGAAGCCCACGAAGTTCTAAACAAAAAGCGGGCTGAGTAGTAGAAATTAAGACTTTTTGGTAATTGTTGCTTTTATTTTTATAATCAACATAGCTATGTTGGCAAACAAATAAATAATTTAAATCGAAACACATTTTTTTTATTTTCATAACCATAATCTATAAATATATTAATATATGTTAAAATAAACGTTTAAATCGAAAGCCCCGTTTCCATTCATTGAAAAAATGGTGTGCAGACAGTAATAACCTTCAGGCATTGGAAGAACAACAGACAATCGATGATCCAGATAGCTAATGGGCAGCTTTTCTACATAAATGTCATGCTGTAAAATCAAAATGGTATTAAACTTTACATTTTCATTAAGATTGTTTTAAAAAGCTTACATTGTAAGGACAAGAGTGGACAAAATTTGAATATGGAGCAAACAATTCGTAAAAAAATTGTATTAATTTATTTTGTCTTTCCTTAAGAAATTTACAGGCGTCTAAATTAAAGTCAAATAGGAAGGGCTTATATCCATTCAATCTCTTGAGGACTTTCACTTTTGCCTAATTCGGAAAATTTAAGAGCATGTTAAAATCGAGGACTGAAGAAAACTTCTTACCAAAATTATATAGCCCTCTGCGAGGGTATAAAAATGTACCGTTAAATTACTAACTGGGAATTTATAAATCTTTATCCTCATGGTCATGTATTTATACGTCCGGTTCACAGATTTTAAGAAGCATTCGTCGAAATCCAGTAACTCCTTGTCCAAGGAAGTACAGTTTATATTTTTAAACTCAAACTTGCTGCAGACCAAAAAATGATTACTTAAAATGTGCATTATTAACTAATAGATGGCTTACCGTAACCACTGTAAATGAAAATATCAGAAAACGCAGCGAAGTCCATTTAAACGCGTCCATGGCTCAATAGTTTTTAAAACGTGTGTATAATAATTTCGTTCGCAGTCTAACCATTGAACTAATAGTCCAATTTATGTGTTTAAAAATATAAAAAAGATCTCAATCATAATTGCGCATAATTGCAAGCCCAGAATAAGTTAATATTTTTTAAATCAACCAAGTTTCATTAGTCGTGTATGCTCAAACCGAACTTGTTCGTGTATTTTAAAGAAAAGAAACTAATGTAGTTTTAACCGATATTATAAATAATATCGATATTCAAGATATTATGTAGTTATGATTCTGTGATCTAAACTTTTCGTTGATCGACTGGAACGTTTGTAATTTTTCTGTTTTTATTTTTTATAGATTTCAATTGAATTAATATATTGTAAAATAAACTTTTAAATCAAATATCGCCTTTGTGTTCATTAAGGAAATGACGTGGAGACAGTAATTTCCTTCGGGCATTGGTAGGACAATAGAGAATCTGTTATCAAGATAGCTAATTGGAAGCTTTTCTACATAAACGTCATGCTGTAATATTTATATGAATAATTGTAGGCTCAACATTTTCAATGGTATTGTTCTGAAACTTACGTTGTAAGGACACGTGTGGTTAATATTCGTATACGGAGCGTACAAGTCGTAGAAGAATTGGACCAACTTATTCTTTTGCCCCTTAAAGAATTTACAGCCATCTGCAGTAAAGTCAAAAAGAAATGGCTTATATCCATTCAGTCTCTTCAGTACTTGCGCCCTAACCTAAATTTAAAAATATAAATGTTTTCTTAAATAACTATAGTGTGGATGATTTCATACCGTTATATTATTAACTGGGAACTTGTGAATCTTTATCCGCATGGTCATGTATTTATACGTGCGGTTCACAGATTTTAAAAAGCATTCATCGAAATCTAGTAACTCCTTGTCCAATGAAGTGCAGTTAATGTTGGTAAACTCAAACTTGCTGTTGACCTAAAAATTGTTACTTAAGAAGGGCATTGTTACTTGAAAGATAGTTTACCTTCACCACTGTTAATGAAAAAAATATAAAAAGCACCGAAGTCCATCTAAACGCGACCATGGCTCAATAGTTTTTAAAATGCTCGTTTGCTTTTATGGTTCAAAATCTGACCATTAAACTAATTGTCCAGTCAATGTATTTATAAATATAACAAATATATCAATCATAATTTAGATAAGAATAATGAAAGGTAATAATACAATAATCTGCAGGCACAGAATAACTGTTGTCGTCCTAAAGTCCTAAAGCTATTTTAAGTTTGGGGTTCTTTTGCCTGTAAAAAAGGCTAATAAAAATAAAAAGCTTTGGTATTTATCCTGATTTTTTTATTTTAATAGTGCCAAATAATTCAATATATGTGAACATAAACTTTTGAATCGAAGACACTCTTTGCATTCATTGAATAAATGGTGTGAAGACAGTAATAACCTTCAGGCACTGGGAGAACTACAGTCAATTTATGATCCAGGTAACTAATGGGCAGCTTTTCTACATAAACGTCATGCTGTAATATCAGAATAGTATTAGACTATAAACTGTCATTATGATGTTTTAAAGCTTACATTGTAAGGACAAGCGTGGTTAACATTTGAGTACGGAGCGAACAATTCGTAGATGAATTGTATAACCTTATTTTGTTTGTTCCCTTCTAGGACTTTGCAGGCGTCGAATTTCATGTCATATAGAAAAGGCTTATAGCCATTTAGTCTCTTAAGCACTTGTACCCTTCCCTAAAATGAAATGTATAAATGCCTTTTTAGAGTTAGTTATGCACAAACCAAGTGTGGTTATTTTTATACCGTCACGTTATCAATTGGAAATTTGAAAAACTTAATCCGCATAGACATGTATTTATATGTCCGGTTCACAGATTTTAAAAAGCATTCGTCGAAATCCAGTAACTCCTTGTCCAAGGAAGTGCAGTTTATGTTCGTAAACTCAATCTTGCTGTAGACCTAAAAATTCAGTAAATAAAAGGTTTTGAACACAAAATGGATGGTATACCTTTAAAACTGTAAACGAAAATACAAATAACAGCACCGAGGTCCGTCCGAACGCGACCATGGCTCAATAGTTTTTAAAATGTGCGTTTGATTATGTTATTCAAAATCTACTGATTCAACTATTATAATTGTTCAATTTAATTGTATAAAACATAAATAAATATCTCAATTATAAATGGGGTAGGAATAATTATAGTAATTACACCTTGTAACATGGAAAACCTAAACTCATTCTGGAACTCCGATTGGATAAGAACTCATAAAATTAATTTAGGCCCATTTAGGTGTTCCTCTGACTAAGCTCGTTTTTAAATATTACCATTTTTTATACGTTTACTTAAATTTTTTAATAAAAGTAAAATTGAAAACTTCAAATACTAATGGGGTGTTGCTATATTCCGCATCATTTTGTATTATTACATTATTATTTAGTATTTAGTGATAAAAATTTGGTTATTTATTATGTTTTTTATATCCTTATGTAAGATATCAGCCCTGGCGAAACCTAAGCCGATCTTTCTGCGTTGCCAGATCCGCGGAGAAACAATCCCGGAGAGAGCTTGGCGCAGAGCTTTCAGGTGAGACTCCCGAGCTCGCCTCACCTGCAAACCCGATCCGATCTTCAGTTTCGATCGAGACGCACTTGAGTGCGGACGTGGTGCGCTTGGGCTTGCGATTTCCTCCAGTGTCTTGCGGTGTCGTCGCATTTTTCGTGCCTTCCGGAGCGTGGATCCCCTGGATTTTGCGGTGGTCGTTGTGCAAGTGCACGGCAGTCACGTACAGCCGTTGCAACAAAAAACCAAAAGTATAGAAACTGACGAACAACAACCGCCAGAAGTAACCAAATCAATGTGGCAAATAGTGTACTTTCGATGCGCGCTCGTTGATTGATTAACACATCACCTCCCACACACACACCGAGCACCAAGTACTCAGTACTCGGTACTCAGTACTTATTACTCAGTACTCGGCTGCCTGTGGGTGCAATCCGTTGGAATTGAAAAATTCGCGGTGTGCATCATCAGCGGAGAACGTTGAAAAAAAAACGTTAAAAGTGCCGCGACTGCATTGTTTTGACTTTGATCGTGTGTCGTGGTCTCCGCAATCTACAATCCTCCCTTTCGCCTTCCCATCGACGAAGCGCGTGCGTGTTGTAACTTTTGATTAGTCTTGGAGTCGGTCTTGGATTCGGATTCAGATTCAGATTCGGATTTGGATCTTCCAGTGCGCCTGCATTTTTCGTAACTTATCGCCGCCCACATCTCGCTCTGGCATTGCGGCTCGTTACCTTTCTTGAGGTAAGTTTCCTCTTAGGAAAACAAGATAAAAACATTTTTAGGAATATATCTTGGATTTAACTATTTTTGGTTTAATACTAGGCCTTCACTTAAGGGAATTTAATTATTGCAAGAATTTAAAAATCTATAACCAAATTTTTTCTTGTTCACCAGAGTTATTGATTTATTTTATAATATTTTATTGAAAAGAAACAAAATATGACATAGCTAATAAATATTCCTAAATTAATTTTTGTTTAACTATTATAGTTTTTTTTTTTAATCCACTTTTTAGATACTAAATACAGCAAAAAAATCGATAAAATACATTGCGTTTGTAATATTTTTAGAATCAAGAAAGTTGTGGCTAAAATTTTAATTTATTACGAAACTTAAAAACAAAATCAAACAAATGTTGGAAATTAAACAGAAATAGGTAGTTAAAATACTTTTACCGTGGGAATAAAACGAAGCTTGTGCAAAACTCAAAATAAATGTATTTTAAAAATGTTTTTTTACAAAAACCTAAAATGAAATAATTTCTTTGCGTGTAATTTGGGCTTGGGTTTGTGACCATGTACTGCACACATATCTATTTATATACACATGGATGTGTGACGTGCAGGAAGACCAAGGAAAAGAAGCGGCAGGAATGCTCGCTGAATTGGCAATGCAAACGGGCGCTCGATTTTGGAATTCCCTGCACATGCCGCAGCGGAAGATGGAAAAAAGTGAAATTCGCCCCGAAACCCTTGTAATTATAGGCACTCACGATACGATACTATACGATCCAATACGATACGCACACACAGTGCCAGGCATAATTTATTGCATATTAGCGTTTGGCAGCTGACAGCTGCTTTTGGGATTGTTCTCCGGAGATTGAAGATCGATGTGGGCCGCCAGAACCGAAACAGAATCGAAGCTGTGGCAGATGAGATGAGATCACTTCTAAAATCCAAGCCCAGGCGAATCGGCCAAGAATGGCCGAAACACCAAAAAAAGCGTATGCGCTCTGTAAGTCCATTAATCACAGACGAATAAAAATAAATGTCGAACTCGCTCTGAGTCACCTGTATTCTGGGGACCAACTCCGTTCGGCTTTCATTAGTCTACCTTATCCAGCAGCGGAATCTAATTAATTCTCCTTTGTTTTCATCACCTCGATAACTGTTTGTCTCCATTCCATTTAAGACGCTTAAGCTAATGGTTGACCCTCTAAGCCAATCTGGAAAACACTTAAGAGTACCTACACATAGAAAATCAGTAGACTAGATCTACCATTTTTCACAAAATTTATACGGGAATAACTAGAAAAATATATGCCAAGCAAAATTTTTTTAAAATTGTTCAAAAATATTTGGGATTATTATTATAATTTTAAAGGAGAATAAATTACATACTTTCGTTCTTAAGCAATTTCAACAGTCAAAAATAGTCATATTGAAAATGTTACACCCAAAATTTTCTAATAAATATTAAATATAGAAAATATGATATTAATTTCAAAATTAGGCACATTACAAATTGAAAGTGTTGGAGAAACTATTCATATTATTTCTCTGTGCATTATCAATTTGACCACAACAATGACACGGCACTCATGCCAAGATTAGACCGCCGCGTCGTGGAAACAGAAGCCTAGGCAGAAGTGACCTTGGGGTAATAACTCCCGCGACTCGCGGCTCTCTTGGTCTTAGTCATGCCCGGAATGCAGCCGAGCAGCATTGGCAGCTGCAAAGGCCAAAACCGGATGGCATCCACCAACATCTAACGTCTAATGGCCAACACACACAGGCACACATGGGCCTGTGTGCGATTGGGGCAGGCTATTCCGATGGCTACCCACACCACGCAGGTTCTCTATTATTTTGGGGGCATTATAAAAGTATTTACTGCCACTCATATAAAGCTCTATTATTAACATACTTACTCGCAGCGAATTCCAGCGCCTAATAAACTACAACAACCAAAAATAACTAAAAAAAATGCCAATAAGCCCCGAAAAATAACAGCTTAAAACAAAAAACCATCAAAGTACAAAAAAAGTGAGAATGCGCGAGGGCAAACGAAACCAGAATCAGAATCTCCGATCCGACGGGTTTGTCTAATGGTCGCTTCGGGGTGGTGTGGGGTCCACTTGGCTACAACAAACTGGTTGGTAACATATACTCGGCGCACAGGTGGGGGAACCTTGGAGCGCATCTTGACTCTTCGCAAGTAATTTGAACTGTCAAAGTCGGACAAAAACCAATTTGTAATTTGTGCACTTGTTTGAAAACGAACCTGTACGAATTCGGACATACGATATGTGCCAGTTTTATAACGAATATTTCGCATTCATTTGCCAAATTGTTTATAATGGCAGTTAGTTGAATTTTTGATTGTTTTTATTATTCTGTTTACGCTGCTCCATGTCGAGATGCTGCGCGTTCGTTGCCTAAGTCTTTTGTATTGGGCCCAAATGGTTTGGCATTTGAGCCGCGTGCTTTTCAATGCCGCGGATATTTGTGTAAGCGGCCCGTGTAAATGGACATAATCGCACATCGGATTACGCAAAAGACCGTAGCAAAACCAAACAAACTCGCGGCTGGTTTTAATACACTTCAAAATGCGTAAGGCGTCCGTCGACTGACCTTAGATTTTTATGGTAATCGCTGGCCAATTGCTGTGAAAAATAGCTAAAAAAAATAAAGCTTGGCCAGCACGCCCCAAATGACACACAAACGCCTCTGCCAAAAACTTTGTATTTTTTCTTCGCGAAAGTTATTCTCCCGATTTACAAACAAAAGAGGCTTCAAAAAGCATTTGCCGTTAACGACTTGCGGGCAAATTTTGTAAAGATTATATACGGGTATTTATGTAAAAAGCTCGGACAGGTTTCTGCAACTCATAAATAAATTAACAGGTGGATGCGACTGCGATTGTGAGCCGGGAATGTCATTGCGATCGTCTGACGCCAATCGTCGGGATGAATTTGCACAAAAGTCGAGAGGGGAGAATATCAAACAAATGATTTAATGTTTATAAATACGATTTGATAAATTTTTATGGCCAACGTTGAGTCGTGAACGTACTTTAAGCTACTGCAAAAATGAATTTATGGCTTAAAGTCGATTGGCAAGACCCTAATTTGATTGTTTCAATGATTTTTTACTACCCTTAAATATATAGTTTTTATAAGGAGAGATTACAAAATATTTTTGGTGCAGTATAAAAAATGAAACACAAAATGTAGTAGAGCTTGAAGAAATATTATTAATATCTTAATATTATTAATAATATTAAGATTTTTTCTTGAGTATCATTTGCAATCTGAATAGCCTAAGTGAGGGGTAAACAAAGGCAAACATAATAAAGCGAAAAAGTGATTTTCCTGAGCACTCCCCTCAGCCCGTCTGCCTTCTAATACCAAAAGCCCACTCAGCCGAAACGGCCATCATTTAATCTCGGTGCCTGCCTGTATGAAATACGATCTTATAGGCAAAGTCTTAGTACAAGTACTTTGTATGGCTCTCGCCGGCTTAGAGATCAAGTTTAACGGCCATAAAGCGACAGCAAATAAACGCTTGTTTTTCGTTTGTTTGTTCGCTTGTTTGCCGCCGCTTAACCCCTGGATTCACCCTGACCCCGAAGGTGACCCCCTCCCGCCACCGAAACCCGTGTAGCTCGTTCTTGTGAAAGTTAAAGAAATCAAGAGCCAAACAGCGAATTAATTTAATTTCGGATATACTTATGCCGAAAGCGAAACTGGCTGCACCAGTTCGACGGGATTACACGGTTCCACTATGCTAATCAACGGAAATTAGCCACAATGTCAATATATCGGAAATGTGGGGGCATATCATGGTATACAAAATATATTTGAAAAGCCAAACAGCCAAGTATGGGAATCATTTGTCAACTCAGTGATGGCTTCATTTTCATAATTGATAGAAAACCATCGAAAGTGACGGATTTGTTTGTGTTTGTGCTTTTCCTTTACTCAGTTGCATTCCGAGGCATCCAAGTCAAAATCGAAGGTGAAATAGAAAACAAAAACACAAATCAATGAAAAACTTGGATTCGAACGGGACAACTTTCACTGCGAACCGAAGATGTCATCGAGGCACTGATGTATAAAGTCCGCCAATGGAATTGATTAACTAGCATTAGCACTTTTCATAGTCGGAAGCTGATCTTTAGTAGCTCCTGCTGTCAATAAATTGGACTGTAATATTTAAAATCAAAATAAGGATTATGAAATATACATTTCCTTCATTATAAATTAAATTTATGGTATTTATAATTCTTTCAATTTAAAAAAGAGCGTTCTAGAGCCTACAACATGTTGCTTAGATTTCGAGCATATCAAATTGGTACCACATAACATCAAATCGATCATCATTTTATATCAAGATTTTTTGGGTGTACCTACTTACCTAATATTTTTTTCTCTGCACTCAAGTAATTATAATGAGCCAACTTGGCACACATGTTTGTCAATCACATATTATCGACGACTCCCCGGCTCCAAGTTCGGTGGCGGATTCGTGGTGCGTGACATTAAAGTTGAGAAATTTCGCGCAAATAGAAATCCAAACACGAAATGTTTAAGTCAAACAGCATAAAAAAGGCAGCACTCGCATAACCGACATGACGAGCTGATTTTCGCACCACACAGCAGCAGCCGTAAGATCTGTTTGGTTTGGCTCGAATCGAGTAGCCAGTCACATGGACCGTTAAGAGAGCCGCTGGCCAAAATACACATATCACCCATACGCCGGGTGGTGCGAACAGTTCGTCAAAAAAAGACTCGATTAGAAAGTCAGTCAGCTTGCTAATCATTTTCTGGATAATTTTCTTTTTTTATTGGGCCATAACTTCTGCGAAAATGTTATAAAATTTTAAGAATGTTAAATTTTAAGTTTTATTATTACATTTTTAATGTTTAAATAAAAAAACTGTTTAAAAATAGAATATCTCATTGACATAAATTCTAACAAAATATTTAAGTGCACTTCTGTAGTTTCTTCAAAATAAATAAATTCTATAAACATATAGGTGTTCTTATACCTGTGGATTTCAACGAATCTCTGGGTATTTTTCTTCCTTGTTGTTTTCTTCCCTCAGCTGCTAAGTGGTTACACAATCGCCAATGGCAAATGGCCTACACGGTCTCATTTAAAATCAATTTCAGCTCTTTTACTTAACCATTTTGTACTTATCTAGCCGAATTGCTGGCTGCCATGTTATTCTCTAATTTGGCTGGCTGAAAATGGAGCGTTCGCGCATAATTCCGCCGAAGTATTTTGGTCAAGAGTGTGCCGCAGATCGGGGGCTCTAATTTCGAATTTCGGGGCTTTTTTGGGGAGCGGCCACAGGCGATACACTTGCCGCCCCAGAGTCCGAGTTTTGGCCCGAATCCGATAGCATCGATTTATCGTCGATCCATTAATAGTTGACTATATTTTGTTTTGGGGCCACTAACCGGTTTCCGGTTAAAGCCACTCAGTCACAGATTCAAATACTTTTATAGATACAAATACAGATACAGAAATCGCGGCTGGCGTATTTTGAAAATCGTATCTGAGGCCCAACATGAATGAGCTTTTCGAATATTTCGTAACCAGTTGGACTGCATTTTTTCCACTCGCTGTCGCCGTGAATCGAACATGAGTAGCGTGGCCAAATGTTTATGTCCGCAGCTATATGGTTGGCTATAATCGATATGTCGTTGGAATTGGAATCGAGTCAAGTGTTCTTTTCTTCGGCCAGTCGAATCGCGTTGAAGACTTCAATTTAATGGCGTGTGAATTGCATTCGAATCCGTTTCGCTACGGCTTTTTGCTATGTTCGTTAATTACATCTCGGTTCTAATTAGTGGAAATGCAAAGCACTCGAGAGGCAATTCAATTAAAGTAATTGCTCACCTCACCTGAGCCTCTTAAGTCAGCTTTAACTTCCACTCCAGGCTCAAATAGTTTTCCCTCAGTTCAGTTCAGCTCAGTTGGGTAATGAATCTCACTTTTGGCTTTGGTTTTGGTTTTGGTTTTGGCCAACTCATGACAGCCAGACCAGCCAGTTGACTTGGCATCACGCAGTCTCAGTCTCATTTCAAAGAATGGCTCTTGCAGCCCGGAGTTTCCCACTTTTCTTGGCAGTTGCGTCTCCAGCTGGGCGCCATTAGTTTGTTTTCGGTCTGGTTTTTGGTCTAAAAATATGGGCAGATTGGATTGCACAAACAAGGCAGATCACTTTCAAAATTTTTTGTTACGGATAAAAGTTTATGATATTAAGGGCTTAAGATTTCTTTAGTTGATGGTCATAAAAGAAATTAGCTTTGAAATAAGCTTCAATTAAATAAAAAAAACATATAACGAGACTTTGAGACCTTAAGACCTTAAAAACGGAAAATTTGTACATTTAAACGTCAAAGATAACACTAGTTTACAGCCGAAATGCTCCCCAGCAATTGATGGCAAATTCTGTTAGTGTTGGACCCCTAGATCACGAAAATAGCACTAATTTTTTTTTCGATGGCACAGTTTTTTTTTAAAGATTTTTTAAAGTTTAAAATGTTAAATTTCGGACTTTTTTCGAATTTCTTCTTATATCTCGGCAGATATCCACTTGGTTGAGCCAGTTTTAGTTTTATTTTAAAGTCAATAGATCAGAGCTTAACTTTGCCATACAGATTAATATGATTGGATGAGTAATGGCAGCGCAGAAGCTTGACAAAGATGAAAAATGTGTTTTTTGGTCGTCTGTAAGTCGGCTGTATATATCGTAAAAACTCGAAATAAATCCGTTGAAAAATCATAATGGGTACAAACTTAAAGTGTACATCCTACCGAATAGAACAAGCTGGATATGGCCCAAATCCATGGAAAACTGGATTTATGGTGGATTTTTAAAGTTCGGATTTTTCCACTTTTTTCGGTTGACAGAGTCCAAATTTAAGATTTATCATAGGCGGCGACATGTAAACAAAAATTAGTGGTGACGGCAGCCGGATCAAAAAAATAGCTAAATTTAAAAGCTAGAAAATTATAACATAAATTTAATTTCTGAAAATTCCTTTAAAAATATAAAATTGCTTGCGTTATGACTGTGAGTATTTTTAACTAAGTACTTTCCATTTGGATAGTTCATTCTTATGAAAAAAGTAACCTTAATTAAAAAATTAAATTCACTTTAATAATTTTCTAGCTTTTAAATATCTGATTTAGCTATTTAGTGACCCGGCTGCCAACACCAATTATTTTTGTTTACATGTCGCCGCCTATGATAAATCTTAAATTTGGACTCTGTCAACCGAAAAAAGTTGAAAAATCCGAACTTTAAAAATCCACCATAAATCCAGTTTTCCATGGATTTGGGCCATATCCAGCTTGTTCTATTCGGTAGGATGTACACTTTAAGTTTGTACCCATTATTATTTTTCAACGGATTTATTTCGAGTTTTTACGATATATACAGCCGATTTACAGACGACCAAAAAACACATTTTTCCTCTTTGTCGAGCTTCTGCGCTGCCATTACTCATCCAATGGTATTGATCTGTATGGCAAAGTTAAGCTCTGATCTATTGACTTTAAAATAAAACAAAAACTGGCCCAACCGAGTGGATATCTGCCGAGATATAAGAAGAAATTCGAAAAAAGTCCGAAATTTAACATTTCGAACTTTAAAAAATCTTTAAAAAAAAACTGTGCCATCGAAAAAAAAATAAGTGCTATTTTTGTGATCTAGGGGTCCAGCACTAACAGAATTTGCCATCAATTGCTGGGGAGCACACCAAGAATATTATTTTGTAAACTAGTGTAATATATAAAAAATAACAAAAAATACAAGAGTACAACTAATGCGAATTCTGAAACAATAAATATTGTTGGTCCCTCAATAAAACATTTATTCCATTCTATTAATAAACGAATTGTTTTTTTTTGTCTTCTTGTTTAAAATAAAATAATTTAAAGATTAAGTTTTTATTAATGGCATTTATCTTAATAGTAAGATACCCTCGTCTACCCCTAAAAATGACTCAAGTTTCTTAAGGACAAAGCAGCATAGTAAATCATCGAAAATTTATCAAATAAGATTTATGCGAGCAATCCAAAGCCAATTAAAAGTTCGAACCTATAGTTCTAACCCAGTTGCCAAGACTGCTCCACATACCCGTTTAATGCGACTCCATTTGCTTGGTTAGCTCGTCTTAATTAACATTTTTTACATGCTTTTCGATTTTGTTTTGCTTTGGCCACTTCAATGTCAAGCCATGTGGTCGTCACAGTCACAGTCGATGTTGCTGATGTTGTTACCATTGTTGCTGCTGCTCTCAATGCCAGACAGTTGTAGTTGTTCAGCCAGCTTGGTCTACAGTCTAGAGTAGAGTAGAGTAATCAAAACCAAACGAGGCGGTCACCCAAAGCGTCAGCTGCCGCCTCGGAAGTTGCTGCCGCAACCGTTATGGCTTATAAAAATGTTTATATATATCTTACTATCTCGCTATATATATAGAGATATATTTTTCTGGGGGTCTGGCATTGGACAATGACTCGTTGATTACTGAGATGTCACTGGGAAAAGTGGATCACTGCTCCAAATCGTGGAGATTTTCGCCAATCAGCCCGGCCCCAAAAAACCAACTAACACCAATTGTCGTTGATTTATCTTGGGGCAAGAAAACAGAGATTTCATGCTGCATGCAATTTGCTTGTCAAAACTGTGGCACCATTTTTCCAAATCCAAACAATTGGACCGGCCGTGCCACATTTTTACGCCCATTTCAACGCCATTTGTTGTCGTTTAGGCCAGATACGAAAAAAAAATGAGAAAAACTAAGACCCAGAGCAGGTAGCTTGGTCCCCTGATTTATGTCGTTTCATTAGACAAGCTTTTTCGTTTTTTTGGTGGACTTTGACAGTCAAGTACCCAAGTATCTAAGTATCTCATAGTTTTGGAGTTTGGCTCTTTGGGGGGCCAGCTGTCATTGGCTTTGATTAGTTTGTTGAACGCGGCAAGACCTTCGATTTCACTCAGCTGCGAAGGCGTTTTGTATATAGACACATGGTAATTCCAATCGAGCATTGAACCGTAGGATCGCCTCGAAGTATCTGCCTGTCACACTGAAAATCAGCAAAAGAAATAAAAGAGAAACGTATGACTATCTTTCGACACTTTCGGGCAAAAAGAAACTTTAATGGACTTGTGGGAAATTTCCTTGTCATTGTTTGGCCAACGCAATAAATCATTTTCACAGATTCAGATACTCTAGGCCCAAGTTTCCCAAAAAAAATTATGCAATTCTCGTCTAATAAATATTTCTATAATTTACCCTCTCTTTCCAGCTGAGATGTGCGTCCAATTTGTGGCAAAATTAATTATATAATTCCAAACACCGTTAAAATCGCTAAAAAATCAATTGCACAAAAGAAGAGAAAGAGAAGCGCTTGAATAGACACGCCAAGCGGTGCTAATGCGAAAGGAAACTCCCCGACAATCGCCAGAAATTGTAAAGAAATAAATTATACAAAATGTCTATAAATAATACAAGACATTCGCCATTCGGTTTCCGATTCGGAGCCCTGCTGTTGCTCGCCGCCTGGTGCTGCTACCTCGGATACTTTGGCTCGGAGGCCCATGTGGCCCTCACCTATCCACCTGCCCGCAAATACGATCTGGACTTTCTGGACAATGCGCGGACGAAGGCGCCATGTGGCATGCCCAAAGGTGAGTGTTCTTCGTGGGGAGAGTGACCTGTATTTGGGGTAACCTAAAAAGCTAGGGAATCACAGAGAAAAATATTTAAAAATTCAGTTTAAAAAGGTTGTATCATTTATAAGAAAAATACTTTGCTAAAAATCAAATCACATTTACAAAGAAATTTAAAAATAGCTCCGGATGTGTTAATACTATTAACTTAATAGTGCTAAAATTGTGAGAATGTGATACAAATATTTGATTCATTCATTAATTCCAAAAATTCCACATTTATCACTTCATCAATGCTAAAAACATTGATCATCCCCTCTTGCAAATGCATTTCTCTATATTTAAATTCGTGGGAAATACAGCTGCTGGAACAGGAGCAATAATAATTGGCCCAGCTCCCCTGAAAAATGCATGTCGCAATTTCCAATTGTTGGCCAACTTTGGTTGGTTTACTCAGCTCGTCTGCCAGGCACGCTTTGATTATAATATTATGGCTTATTACGGCTGCTTATGTGCGCTTTGTTTGCCGACTGTAATTGGTCAAGCACGTTCAATTCACACATACAGCTGCAGAGATACAGTGCGTTTCATAAGCTTAGATGAGAGTGGAAAGATAAATAGGAAGTGCTGGGCAGCATCATATAGATATAATAGTTATCATTAAAAAGAAGGCCAGCAATGAGCCAAGTCATTAAAATACTTTATTAAGTTTGATATATAATATTTCTTTGTAGATAAAGTTTAATTATTTATTTAACTATATAAAATGTCTTAAAACAATTGACAATTATTTTATTAACGTTTTTAAAAGTTCTAGATCAGACAAATTAAGACATTAGAAACTTGGTTTAATTGTTAAAAATAAAAAACAAACCATATCTACATTCTGCACCTAAAATGCTAGTTTGATAAGTTCAAGTCATAAAAAGCCTTGAGTCTATGGAAATAAAATCGATTTGTGGCACTCGAGTGTGGATGCTAATGACTTACACCTGTGAAACGCACTGCTGTTTAAATGTATTCATAATTCAGAGACGTGCATTTTGCAGCTGAAAAACTTTTGCTTTTGCACTCGCTTGCATAATATGAATATGCTTATGCTCCGCTGTTATTGTTATCGTTATATGTATAATACATATGTGTGGCATCTTGCTCAATGCTACTTTTTGTTATTGTTGCCTCGACTGCAAAGTGTTACCAATTAATTTGCATATCGCGAGCGAGAGAAGCAACTCGACCGCCATTCACTTGTTCGCAGGTGAGTGGAGATCCACAGGCAAGGAAATTGGGTCACACAGAAAATTATGAGCATTTCGATTATGATATTCGTTGGATCACCTGGGATCTCTTTTATAGAGGGGCGCCGGGTAAAATGCACTTTCGAAAATAAATTAAAATAACACCTTTGCGGCGGCCCTCGAGTTTTGACATTTGATTGCGCTGATTTCAAGAGGGGCTAAGGGTTTTTCTTCGTTTTATTTATTTCGTTTACTTTTTGGGCTAGTCCCCCATCGATACTGTTTGCATATCAATTATAGACACTCGCTGCCGACAATTGCCTTGAGATGGTTGGTAATTGGCAACTGGAAACTGGCAACAAGCACACGTGTGCCGCATCAAAATGCCAAATCAATTTCCATGGATATGTCCATAAAGTATATACAATACACATCGAGTGTATATACTTATATATCGATTGTACAACCCGTTGAGCGACATTTTTGTGCGCAGCACTTTTGCCCATATTTTTATTTTCATTTTCAATTTCGTTTGCAGTTTCATTTCGCTTTGTTTTGCCAGCTTTTTTAATTATATATACGCGCGCGCGCACATTGCGTATACGCAACGTGGGCAACGGTGGCACGTTTAACCCATTTTGGGGCATGACAACTTTTGCCTTTGCCCGTTTGCTGCAGCTTGCCAAACGCGTCTCGAGTTGGCCAAAAAGCTGCTCTGAGCCATGGCAACTGCAACTGCAACTGCGGTTTTCTCAGCTCACTGGCTGCCTTGATGATGATGTATGCACCGACGCCGACGAGAGGCAAAGTGGAATGCAACATGCTGCAAGTGAAAAACTTTCACTTGTGCATTACGCCACACAGAAGTCGCCGGGGGCAGAGCGCGTTGATTGGTCGATTGGCCGACAGTCGCCAAATATTACGAAAATGTTAACTACTCAATCCATGGTCGTAGACAGAATGATTTTGAGGTGGGACAAAAATAATAAATAATATTGAAACACATAGGAAAAAGGAGTAAACAATTTATAAGACAAATTTTACACTGTAAGTCCTGAAATTCAAGAAATGGAAATAATATGTAAGCAGATTAGATAGAGAAAATATATTAGCTGAATATATTAGCCATTCAGAATTTATAAATTTATTAGAGGTATCCAATCGACATAAATTTAAAAAAAGAGTTTAAAAAAGTTCCTAACTTTCTTATGTGCCTATATTTTATTTATTAATCGTAATTAGTATGAATTTCTGAATATAGGTTCCTGATAAACTTTTAAGATAAACATTTTTTAATGTCGAAGTCACTATCACACCTTCTTCCATGATTTGTATGTATTTTTTTTTGAATATCTGACAGTGACAGCCAAATGAGGCTGATGTTGCTTTTCTCTTCGTTTTTTTTTCTGCCGTGATGCTGCTGCCCTTTCTATCATCTTGCAACTCGCAAGTGGTTCAATGGGCCACAAAAACGCAGCGATTGGAAATGGGGACTGGAGTGATTAGAGTGACTGACTGACTGCTGACCTCTGCACAGCATCTTGCATCTTGTTTGCATTGTGTTTACCCCGCTCAACACCTCTCCTCGGTCTCTGCTCCTCTAATCCATCTCAATTTGTTCGTGTTTGACACTCTTTTCCACAGCCTTTGTCTCAGTGTCTCTGCAGCCACACGATTTGTTTTGATTTCATGTTGTGTTTTTTTACGGCCACAAAAAACAAAACAACAAAAAAAAAACGACATGGCTCGTAATTGTCTGCTGGCGTGCTGAGCACACTGGAATGGAGGTCAAGTTGTGGTCGCCTCTTGTGTCACATGTCGGAAGATTTAGATGGAGATGCCAACAGCTCGGCGAACATCGCTTGGGCAATCCAATGGGGTTGACAAAACACGGGTTTCGATAATTAGAAGAGCAATCAGCTCAATGCAAATGTCAATTAGTCAGCCGCAATTGCAGCGACCAACGAACAAGTTGAGCAATATTCAATAAGCGCTGCACAGAGATTTATCATCGCAGTTTTGCCGGCGACAAAAACCAAAAGCCATTTATCACTGGAAACTGGCTGATACTCATATTTTAGTCTAAAGCCAAATCCTGCAGCGAAATGTCGCATTGTGAGCCATTCGGAATATCAATGAGAGCGCCGGGCTTAAATGACATTTAAGCCGTCGACACGGACCTCGCTACGTATACGTTATATTGTTCGGGGGAATGCATAAATAGCCAGCAGCACCACAGGCACAGCACAGAACTAGCAGATACATCCATCGAAATGTATTGTATCTGCATTACAGTCCATTCGTATCCATAAATACCAACCGGCAAGTGGAGTGCACTGTGTGTGGAGCAGAGTTTGGATTGGATTGCTTGGGATCGGATCGGTGGCCCCCTAAGGGGCTGGTCGAGACAACGTCACGAGCAATTAACTAAAGCGAAACTCCTTGACCACAACTGCAGTAGCTACACCACAGGGAATGCAAATAGCACACAGAGAAAAAATCAGGAAAAATATCAGGGTACTTATTTTCCAGTTCCTAAGCTCAATGGTCAAAGATTTTATTTTACCCAACAATTTTAAAGTTTTCAGTAGTATCCGTTTTTTAATTATTTTTTGTAGTTTTTCCAATATTTGTTTGGGTGTGACCAAACCAACCAAACAATAGAAAAAAATTTTGAAAAATTTTGATTTTTTATTTAAAACATCAGATAATATGAAAAATATTTATAATATAATTTGATCTCTAGATTGTACATAATAATATTTTTAGTTGTCATCGGAAATATTTCCTACACTTTTATGGGTGGTTGTTAGGAAGGGGTCACACAGTTATGTTGCTTATCCAAAAAATCCTACAAATAAACTATAAAATTCCAATGATTTTCTAAGGTTAAAATTCCTCAAATAATAGTTTTTTGTTCTCCGTGCAACAACAGCAACTAAAGCACTGCAAATACCAAGAGCTGCCAAAGCTGGAAATACTCTGGCCACTTGGTCAGGTTAATTTGCGGTAGTGGCGGCCACGGCGTCGAACGGTGGCAACTGGCACTCAGTGTAGGGTTGCCAAAGCGAAATTAATTTTATGGCACGTTACTTATGCCGCTCCACCCGCTTTTCCCTCTTTTCCCCCTCCCATGTTTTTGGCGGCAAGAAATGCTGAAATTTATTGCCCTCCACGGCGCATGCGCAACGCTTCGTTAGCCGAGGCAAAAATGCTGCCTGGAAGTGTATTTGTCAACCTTTTGCAGTGCACCCTGTACAGTGGTCTCTGTATGGCGGAAGTCTTTGTTTACGGCTACGTGAGAGGCGTCGACCATATTTGGCTGTCGGTTTTTCCTCTTTTTATTTTGCACATGCAATTAGAATGCATGCAAGCGAGCATTCTTCTATCAACAACAGCAAATTGCCTTGAGTTAAGGAGCGGAAGGGGGTGGACGATGATGTAATGCCGCCCATTATAAGAATGCCCGCCAGGCTCTCCTCTTCACATGTTCAGAGTGATGAGTTCCAGAAAACTGATGTTCTATAATGGTGCTGATTTGCACAAGAGATTGTGCTCAACTTCTGAGCTTAAAAATGTTTCCCATTTGAATATGTCCAATCCCCAAAGGAAATGCTGTTAATCTGATACCTAAAATAAGTAGCATTAAAGTTATATAGACATCAAGCACTCAATCAACAAGTAATTGGAAGCTTTTATAAAATTCAAATTTGTGACTGTTCGAGTTTTGTCCTATAAAATCTGTAAATAATACTAAATCAACAAAATAAATCGCTTCTTATTTCTGCCATTAAGCACTCAGTCGATCTGTACTTAAACTCTTTATAACGTTTTTTTAAACGATCTAGAGATTGCTTTGATTAAGAAAATTAAATCATTTGCTGTTGATTCTACGGATTATTCGGGTTCAAAACTTAAAATGTAATTCAGTTCGTAAGAATCCATCCACAGAAAATGTCCAATAAACCACGAAACATTTGCGTCACCTACTTTTTAGTTACTGGACACTTGGTTTCACAGGTACAAAGATTAATTAAATATCTTTAAAAAAAAGATTATTATCAAGTGTACTTCCTAGGTTCATTCTTTAGTTGAGTTTACCAACATCAAATGTGAAACTATAGATAAAAATTTCTGTGATTTCGAATATTGTTATCTGAAATCTATAAACCGTTCTTACAAATACTATTCTTTGAAAGTCAATCTCTTCAAACTTCCCATTATTAATGCACAGGTATAAATCAATAAGTATTCAGGGTACCTTAAACTTTTTAAATCTAATACAGATTAATATGGAGCTCTTTAAACGTGGTAATGGCTACCATCCTTTCCTCTACAATACAACATTTGATTTTTGCAAGTTCTTGAAAAACCAAAAATCAAATCCCGTTTTTGGATACTTTTATAATATCTTAAAAAGCTTTTCCAATGTGAACCATCCCTGTCCTTATCACGTATGTATAAATAGCAACTTTAAAATATCTATTCAGATTCCTATACATTTTTTTCAGCATGACCTTGTGGTAGAAAAGATTTCAACAGAATTTGTAAATAACCAAGTTACTAAGGTTCTGCCTTTTCCGGAAGGACAATATATGTATAAAATGCGTTGGATGACCTATAACATTGTCCGAGCTGAGTTTAGAATATACCTTTCCCTTTCGTAAATATCATAATTTGTTAATGAGATGGAAAGTTAAAAAACTTTATTGAAAATAATATATATACATATATATGTATGTGCACTCAAAATAAAATTAACCCTAAAGTCAAGGAAATCGCCCTACTTTTGTCTTCAAGACAAGCTCGCCCTAAATTTTAGGGTCACATTTTTCTATATTTTTGATTTTTTTGACGTCATATTTCTAAATTTTAGGGTAATTTTACTAAATTTAAGGGCAAAAATTTCTAAAAAGTAGGAAATTTTCCTAAAAAATAGAAATTAAAAACAAAACAAAAAAGCATGTTCAATCATGATTTTTTTTTGTATATACGTTTGTATAAGGTACTCCTTCCTATATACATATGCAGGCGTTGTGTGTCTTGTATATTGCGAATGTTAAAGGTTATGTATTTATTATTAAGTATTTGCGCTTGGATTTCTTATCTAACCAAAGCCAAATGTGGTTGTAAATGTGGACTACGGGACTGCGGAAGATTGGGAATGTAGAAATTATGATTAGTTAATATTTTATGTTCTTGAAAAAAACTTACAATTTTTTACTTGTCCGTCGTGAGAATCGAACCCGGGTCTCCCGCGCGAGGAGCGAATGGCCTACATACTGGGCCATTGTATCACTTAAACTTGCTGTGGCAAACCGAGCATTGTATGTAAAGGGTGAAGCGGACAACACATTTGAATACTAATTGCATAATTTTGACCATTCGCGTTTTACTTATTTACATACGTATATACATATGTATATATTTATGCTAACTCAATTTATATTATGTGTAGTATATAGTAAATAGCTGAATATAAACCTAATTATTTTTAGTTTACTGCTTGCCATCAATAAAAAAAGGAATAAAAAAAAGTAAAAAAAATAAATAAAAATAAAATAAAATAAATAAAAAAAAATAAAATAACATTAAAAAAAAAAGGTTAAAAAATTTTGCTCTGGGACTCGAACCCGCGTCGATTCGATTGCTAACCAAGTGCTTTAACGGTCTGCGCCACGAGTACAGCCGGCCGGCAGCTGACAAGTTCTGGCATTGAACATTTTGGTGTGCCAGAGCATGTGAAAACAACTATTTCTATTTTTTAGAAAAACTTTCTACTTTTTAGGAAATGTTTCTATTATTTAGGGTTGGTTTCATTTTAGGGTTAGGGCACTAATTTTTAGAAAAGGTGTTGCCAAAATATTTTATTATTTTCGTTTGCCTTTCTATTTTTCAGAAAATAATTTCTAATTTTAAGGGCATTTTTCCTAGATTTTAGGGTGATTTTAGTTCATGGTAACCATTTTCTACATTTAAGAAAAACTTCCTGGATTTAAGGAAAACTTTCTTGACTTAAGAAAAATTTCCTTAGATTTAGAAATAACTTTCTTGTATTTAGAAAAAAGAAATTTTAATGGCGATTTTCTAAAATTTAGGGTTAAATTTATTTTGAGTGTGTACGCACCAAACAATTGTATAACTTACTGCTTCTACGACGCTATAATTCCCAACTGGTTCAGCTGCCCCCTTTGATTACTAAGTACGCGCTAGGTAATTGAACAAAATTAAACGATTCTTATTTCTGCCATTAAGCACTCAGTCGACCTGTAATTAACCTCTTTTTAATGTTTTTATAAACAATCTAGAGATTGGTTTGATAATGGAACAATTGACTTATGTTTCTACGGTTTAGTCCGGCTCAAAACTTAAAATGTAAATCAGTTTTTAAGGATCCAACAATAGAAAATGTCGAATAGATCGCGAAACGTTCTCTTCACCTGCCTTTTGGTTACTGAACACTTGTTTTTACAGGTACAAAGTTTTCTCAATTATCTTTACAATAAAGGTTTTTATAAAGTGTGCTTCTAAGGTTCATTCTTTGGTTGAGTTTACCAACATCAAATGTGAATCCCTAGATAAAACCTTCTGTGATTTCGAATATTGTCATCTTAAATCTGTAAACCGTTCGTTTAAATACTATTCTTTAAAAGTCAATCTGTTCCAACTTCCCATAACCAGTGTTCAGGTAACAATTAAACTTTAACTTTAACTTTAACTTAAACTTTAAAAATACAACTCAGGTGAATATGGAACTTTTTAAAGGTGGCAACGGCTACCATCCTTTCCTCTACAATGCAACATTGGATGCCTGCAAATTCCTGAAAAACCAAAAGTCGAATCCCGTCGTTGGATACTTTTATGGTTTCTTAAAACCCTTTTCCAATATGAACCATTCCTGTCCCTACAACGTAGGTAAACACTAGGACTTTGGAATTTTCGCTCAGATTCTATTATGTTTTTTTCCAGCATGACCTTGTGGTGGATAAGATAACAACAGAGTTTGTAAATAACCAAATCACTAAGGTTCTTTCTTTTCCGGAAGGTCAATATATGTATAAAATGCGATGGATGGCCTATAATATTATCCGGGCTGAGTTTAGAATATATGTTTCTCTTTCGTGAATATGATATATGAGTAAAAGATGAATAAAATATAGCTGTGAAATAAACTATGATAACTTAAAAAAAAGCAATATACTTACCTAATGTTTATTTCAAAATAAAACTCCATCAGTATCCATATTCAATCAACACTAAGCCTCAAAATGCCCCTCCCCCGTTCGATCGATGGAATTCAGTTTATGATCAAATTAGCCAAGTTTCCAATCAATTATAAACCGATTTCACGCGCATCTCCGCCAGAGATGCGGTGGCCACTGGCCAGTCGACTCGGCCCCGACCGATTTTCGATTTGAAACTGAATCTGAGTCCACCGGGCAAGCGGGACGGACTTTCGAAATAGCCAGACGACGACGCCGGCGAGTTCAAGCTCAACAAGCAGCACACAGATACAACGATTTCGAGCAGCCTCCAAAAACAAAACGCAAAGGTGAACAACTTTCGCGGGCCTGCTCATGGGAATTATGACGGAGTAGAGGCAAAAAAACACGAAAAGGCGTACAAAATATTAACCAGACAAGTTCGACCGATCGGCTGACCGGACCATGGGAAACCTAAAATAAAATGTGTGGAAAAAATCACCGAAAAAATACAGTAAAAACACCTGCCAATTTGGTGCATGGATTCAGATGCGATTCCGAGATTCGGAACCGCCCCTTTTCGGGCATAATTTGTCCGTTGTTTCGATTTATTAATGGGAACACTTGATTTATCCACCGATAGTCGCTTAACCCATTTCTCGATCTGGTTTGGCGGCTTTCCGTTTCGAGTCAAAACAAAGCGAAATCTGGTTAAGCGGTGTTTTTGTGTGTGGTCTACGTCAGGTGCAATCAAATGTTAATAATGCACTGATCCGCTGATTCGAATCGAATTGAATTCGAGCTGATTTGCATTTCCCAGTGGCCCAGAAAGCCAGCCAGGGAAACTCATTTCCAGCTGAGTAGAGCTGATTTTCCTCTAACGATTGCGCAATAGAAATCAAGAGTTTTTTTATTACCGCCAAGACCGAGCATCCAGTGACCCACAAATGGTATTACTACTTATAAGAACTTAGAAATATGCGGTTTCTTGAGTTGCAACCAATGGATATACCTTGGTTTTTTTTTGTGGCTTCGAATGTCAGCTTATGACCATATTGGGATGACCAACTGGCAGCTGCACGACCATTGAACATCTATCGAAATCGAATGATTCAAGTGGTCAGTGAGTAGTTTTTATGTGTTTTTAGCCATCCCGCGATGACTTTGGCTAACTTGGCTGCGCGATCTCGTGCCAGCAGTAATCATAATTTTCCAGCTTCCTTATTGGTTAAGGCAAGACAAGATGAACGCGGGGACATCGGGAAAGGAAAAGTGACACTCCTCCTTTCGCTTTCGCAGATCGAGCATCGCTATAAACGTTTAATGGCCTCAATTAGCGACTCGTTCGCTGTGTATTGGCTGCCAAACGATTTGCGAGCTGGCCATTGATAGCTCCTCATGTCCATCTTGACAGAGAGAAAAAATGCGATGATATTTTAGTTGCCATGAAAAATGTAGTATTTGTAATATGTCACAGAGATCTACTTAGTTTTTGATATGTAACATTTTTTATAAATGTTGAGGTGGTGAACGTACATTTTAGTGACCTCTATTCATGTAATTAGATTTAATAAATCTTTTAATCAATTTTAAACTTAAAGCCATCTTTCAAAATGTCATCTAAAAATAGGACTATAATTCTGGGTGGCCCGAAATATTTATACAATATTTTTTTCATTTTCTCGGAAGAAGTTTAAAGAAGAATAAGTACAATATGATCCTGAGTTGTTATAAGAAGTTCGAATAGGTACAAAAAGGGTTTTCTTTAATTGGAATAAATAAAGTTGTCTTGAATTTTTGATTGTTTGATTAATGATAAAAACTTCCTTTTATTTGACAATCTACTAAATCTTAACTATGTTTAATTAGCATTTTCTTCCAGATTACACATATAATATATCTAATCTATGAACTTAAAACCTATTAGTGATTTTTGTTTGTGCAGCTACAGCTACAGCGGCATCTGCATCCCTGTCCCTCCAGCCAAAGTTCCATTCAGGTGGTAACTTTTTCACAACTGGTCAGGGGAATTCAGCGAAGATTACCGCATGGCTGTTATGCAACGGACGAGTATAAAAATTCGTCTGGGCAGCAGGTTCACAAAGATGTTGGGGCTGGGTCTCTGCGCACATATAGATAAATGTTTATAGCTGTCATGCACAATTTGCCGAGGGGGAGTTGGGTATTTCGTATCCCAGATGCAGGTGCACTCGATGCCATTCAATGCAGAACCAGTCCAATTCCAACGGGGGGAAACTGGATTTAATTATGTGTATGCGAATGGAACTGGGCAAATAGATGGCCCTGGACGGCCCCAGACTGTCACATGTAATCAACTGGCCCACTGATCACGCTCTGATTTCCTAATTCCAGGCTCCATCCGCACATCGCTGCTCTCCGGCACGCAGTTCAACGTCACCTGGCATTTGGCCTATGCGCACAAGGTAAGATTCAGAATGGATAGCAGATCCACTGCAATGGGAGCATATACGCCCCTTTTGGGGTTGGGGGTTCTTATCGCCAAGGGGCTAATTAGCCGAGAATCCATTCTCGAGCGATTGCCTCACATGCACGCAGTCAAAGTCAAAGCCTGAGGCATGAAGATTCCCATGTTTGCAACTTGACTGCACGACATCGTCGCATCACAAGTTCTCAGTCATTGTTTTTGGCCTAACCATAATCACAATCGTTACTTTTCCAGGGCGGCTTTCGGTTGCAACTACTGGATGCCCTCGATCGACCTGTTTTGGACCTAACGCCACATGTAAATAATTCGGAGTTCGTCAGCACCGATGTCACGTGAGTTTAAACACTTAAATTAATCCAGGGAGATGGATTATTTCTTAGCTTTGTCAAATTAAATAAATTAGATAAGCGAACTGAGCAGTTGCTGGTATATAAAATATTTATAAAAACCGCGAATTCTTCAGAGATGTAACACGATCTTTTTTAGATCTTTACCACATTACAATCAAACTTATTTTTCTTTATAGTGCCCAGTCATACGAGGTAAAGATACCAAATGACTTTGAGTGCTTCAACTGCACCCTCAGGCTGCTTCGCCAGGCGGATGAGTGGTCGACCACCTATCGCTTTTGGTCCTGTGCCGATGTGGACATCAAGTTACGAAAGGACTTCAAGGAGACCTGTTCGGGAAATGGAAAATACTTCCCCTCGCGATGCAAGTGCGACAAGAACTTCTACGGCCCGCAGTGCCAGTACAAGGACGAGTGCTCCGCTGACTCCGATTGCGGTGTCCAGGGCAAGTGCGTGGATCTCGGAGGAACCTCGCTGCCCCGAAAGCAGTGCTACTGCAACTTTGGCTGGTTCGGAATCGGTTGCAACAAGCGATCGCCCTACAAGACCACCAGCCTGGACCTCTCCTCGTATTCCAAGAAGGAGCTGTCGCCCGACTACCACGTCTACTGGCGGCTTCTTGAGGAGCAGAAGGAGATCGAGATGGTTCTCAAGGTAAACAGCACATCGTGGGTGGGTTTGGGCTGGAGGCCGCGTGGTATGACACCGGAGTGCAAGAACTTCCCGCTAGTAAGGGACATTGGGGATCTGACCACAACGCTGGAAGCCTCTGCTCCGGAACCGAAGAGCGAACCGGAACCCAAGAGCGAACCGGAACCTAAGAGCGAACCGGAACCTAAGAGCGAACCGGAACCTAAGAGCGAACCGGAACCTAAGAGCGAACCGGAGCCTAAGAGCGAACCGGAGCCTAAGAGCGAACCGGAGCCTAAGAGCGAACCGGAGCCTAAGAGCGAACCGGAACCCAAGAGCGAACCGGAACCTAAGAGCGAGCCGGAACCGAAGAGCGAACCGGAACCTAAGAGCGAACCAGAGCCATCGAGCGAACCTCAGCCCAAGCGATTAGCCGAGCTTAGAGCTGCACCGGTGCCCAAGAGTGAGCCAGAACCCACGAGTGAACCGGAACCCAAGAGTGAGCCAGAACCGAAGAGTGAACCAGAACCGAAAAGTGAGCCGGAACCAAAGAGTGAGCCAGAGCCGACTAGCGAGCCCGAACCCAAGAGCGAACCTGAGCCCAAGAGCGAACCGGAGCCCAAGAGCGAACCAGAGCCTAAGAGCGAACCGGAACCTAAGAGCGAACCGGAACCTAAGAGCGAACCAGAACCCTCTAGCAAACCGGAACCCACTAGCAAACCAGAACCCTCCAGCGTACCCGAACCAACCAGTGAGCCGGAACCCACAAGCGAACCGGAGCCTACTAGCGAACCTGAACCGAAGAGCGAACCGGAACCAAAGAGCGAACCGGAACCCAAGAGCGAACCGGAACCAAAGAGCGAACCGGAACCTAAGAGTGAGCCAGAGCCGAAGAGCGAGCCAGAGGCGCAAAGCACAAAATCCAAGAGAGTTGCCGGAGATTTCACCCAAAAGCAGGGAGTCTCTTCCGTTTCCACCAGTGTTTCCTATCGCGTCAGCACCAAAGCAGATCGTCAACGCCGTGCAGCAGGTGAGGATCCCATCTCGATATGATGTGAATTATTTTACTTATTTTATTACCGTATTTTTCGCAGAGTCACCCAAAATCCGACTCAATCCGTACACCCCACGACATGACTTCAACGGCATGGACTGCACGGACATCGTGATTGGATCAGCTCGAGGAATGGCCAGCAGGGTGGGTGACTACTACAGCCGGGATCGATCCACACCTCACGTCGATGAATTCTGGGGCGGCAAGTCAAATCTGGCTTTGGGCACGGGCTTCGAGGAGAACGGCGTGACGACGATCATTTTCCGCAAGAAACTGGTTGCCGATGAGCCCACCGATCATACCCTCGACGATACCGTCACCCATGTGATTTGGGCCAAGGGACAGGAGCCGGCGGCTTATGTCCATGTTCCAGCCTCCGGTCTGGAGACACAGGCCTCGACGGTCAAGAACTTCTATCTGCCCGATGAGCTGAAATACCATGGCCACCAAATGCAGCGAGGAGTCGCCCAGATCAATTTCTTTGGTAAGTAAGATTTAAGTGTGGGCATTAAAAAAATCCTGATATAAAAGGATCTACATTGATTTTAAAACGGTGGAAATCTCTCTAAAAATCAAGGCGATACGCTCCTTAAAATCAAGAGGAAAGCACTCCTGAGTTCGAAGATATCGTAAAATTTGGTAAAGTAGGAACACTTGATGTTGATTTTAAGAACTTAAGATTGAATTGATCTTTGCATAGTTTTCAGATTGAGAAAATGTTTATAAATTTAAAATGTAATTCATAACAAAATCTTCATTTTTTAATAGAAAAAGAAAAGTCTGCCAATAACACAGACCGCAATGACCTCAACACCAATGTTCTGGATAACGATTGCTTTGGCCACTGGAAGTATCCGTCCAACTGCTCGCCCCAGGAGCACACCTGCGAGTACTACGCCGCCTGGGAGACGGTCGGCAAGGGTGACGAGATGCGTTGGCACATCGAAACGTCGAACACGCAGACCTGGACGGGAATCGGTTTCAGCGATGACCAGAGGATGTCCCAGACGGACGCCATCATTGGCTGGGTGGATGGACGCAGCGGAAGACCCTTCCTCATGGACACCTGGGTGCTGGGCTATGCTCCGCCCAAGCTGGACGATCGCCAGGACATCTACAATGCCTCTGGAAGGATAGAGAAGGGTGTGACCATTCTGGAGTTCAACCGCAAGCGGGTTAGCAATGATGAACAGGATCTGTCCTTCACGGACGACCACTGCCTGTATCTTTTCTTCCCTGTTCTGGGAGGTGCTTTCAATGTGGTAAACAAGAAGATCCGAAAGCACGAGCAAGTTCCTCCAGTCTCTGCGCAACGTGTCTGCATCAAATCCTGCGGCAAGGGTAAGGGATCCTTTAAACTGTATTAGACTACTTATCTTATAATATTTTTCCTTTTTAGAATTGGAATCCGTTTTTGTGGGCACCAGCACTCCGGCTCCCAGCCGTTTGGTCTACGCCGTGGCCGTTAAACTGATGAATTTGGGCGAATCCTATGAGGCTCCGAAACCGGGAACCGTAGAGTTCAACAACCTGGCGGCCACTATATCGGATTCATTCAATGGCATCCTAAGTTCTCAGACTGGCTATTATAAAACGGAGATTGTTGGCTTTGAAAAGTAAATATACCATTATTAATTTTGGGGTTTTCTTTATATAAATTAATTACTTTCAGGGAGGGCAGCACTGTGGTGGCCAAGGTTCAGGCCATGTTCGACAAGGCGGATGTGGAGAAGCAGCACGATCTGCAGACCAATGAGGTGGAAAAGGGCCCTGAGGTAGCGGCTCAGAAGAACGCCGATGCGATTCGATCTGCTCTGAAGGACCAAATTGCCACAGGTCGAGTGGGCTCACTGACGGTGGATCCCCAGTACCTGGACTTTGAGGCCTTAGAATGTAAGAATGAAATGCTCCATTTATAGATTCCTTGAGATAAGCAATATTCTTCCCCTTAATAGACAAGAGCGCTTCAGAACCCAATGCCAAGGAGACTCTACTCTCCTTCTTCGATCTCTCCGAGACACGATTGTACATTGTCCTGGGCTTGATTGCAGCCCTGGTGCTCATCGCCTTGATCCAGGCATTCTGCACCATTTGGAAGACCTCCCGGAAGAGCAAGAACACCAAGGTGAGTAAAAGATAAAATAAACCCGATCGATTGGGTCAGCATAAGCTCAGCCGACACAGAGTTAATAAATAGGTATAATTATAATATAATTATTTAAACAAAATTCTCCAATCGATTATATATATTTTTAAAATCTCTCTCTGTCGGCGGGGCTTCTTTCACTCCTTTCTTATTAATCTCTTCCCATTGTACCCGTGTCGTTCAAAGCTGGTTTACGTAATACCCGAAGAGTGGCGCATGTACCAACAGCGACAGCACCAGCGCTACTATCAGCCCTCTAGCGATCTATAAGACAAACTCAGATCAGATCAGATATACAATATAGACAATCCCACTGCCCGACAATCCACCTGAAAAAAACCGAGCATCAGCTACAACTGCCTTAAGCGCATTTACGATTTAATCCAAATTACCGAACCCATCTTATAGTTAGTTTAAGTACCGGAAACCTCTTGACTATGTACTGTATCTGCATCTGCGTAGTTGCCGCGTTTATCAAAATTCTATAACTAAATGGGTAATTCAAAACTCTATATTTTCTTGTGGTATCTGTTGTGTATTAACCTTGTCACCTAACAAAATGCAAACAAAAAATAGAAACTCACTCTGGACGGTAAACTCTGAACTCCTTTCTCTTCTCCCCTCTTTTTCTCTGACTGTCTCTTAACCTATTTCTGTGTTTCCAGTTTGTTCTAATCACATTCATTTCACGTAATTTCTGTGTTCGGGTTCTCCTGGCCAGTCAGCATTTGATAAGTGCTAATTAAGACCTAAAAAATTCCTGGAAATTTCGTTCAACCCTTTGGAACCCCACTCTCTTAATCCTTCTGTAGATCTCCAGCTGTATTTCATCTTTATAAAACTTCACCGAATATTAACATGACCTTTTGAATGTAGATTCCGCTATCGCGCATTTGCAGATCAGTTAAAAATTTTTTTTTTTCTCTATCTATAACTATAAAAGGACGCCCATTTTAAACGGGAGAATTAACCGTATATACTTAGAAAAAAGAATAAATTCGGAAATGTACTGTAGAATTATTTGATTGTCTGCGTATTACATGGTCCTTCCACCCAAGAATTTAGTAGCTCCCGATTCCCAAAAAATATAAGAAATATACCCACACCAAATGCTGACTGGCTGAGAGACAAAAACCAACGAATTTTCCACTTAATCATGCTAAAATCTCTTTGTGCTTTCAGGAGAAACTGATCAAGAACTCACCCTGGAAGGAGTTCGCCTCGAACACCAACTACGCCTTTGATCCCTACGGCGAGACGGAGGAGAAGAACGTGACCAGCGGAACGACGGGCAAGGAGAAGGCTCGCCATCGCCACCAGTCGACGACGAGTAGCCAGCAGACGACGCTTCCGATGTCCCACTCGCCCACCAGCAAATCGCAGATGTACTACGAGAGTCCCAATGGCCAGGGCAAGAACGGCACCAATGGTGGACGTTCCACCCAGGAGAGCAGCGTGGGCGGTGCTTCCAACGGAGCACCCTACTCCCGGAGCTCCTATGCGGAGCGAGCCTACTCGCTGCCCCGGCAGGCGCATCACTACCAGCAGAGCCCGGCCAGCATGCAGCCATCGGGTTACTACACCCACGACCGGCGTGCCGCTCGACAGGGCAGTCGGGATAGGGAGCGTGAGAGGGAGCGGGAGGAGGAACGACGCCATCGCCAGGATCGCGATCGGGACTCTGGCTACGATCGCTCGCGGGATGATCCGCGACAGAACGGCGGTTCCGACACACCCGACTTTTACTTCATGCCCTCGCAGCGCAAGTATTCCGGGGAAGTAGTACGCGTCTATGTGGACTACAACAAGGATCCGAAGCACTAAGGCTCAAAGCACATCCGTCTATTTAAAGCTCGTTTTAAGTTCTACCATCTGTACTCCGTCCCTCCGTTTAAAGTCCGTTTCGGGTTCAATTATGATTATATTATCAAAGTTGTTTCTTTGAACTCGGAAAACAATTAATTTAAATACTTTTTACATCACTTAAATTAAATATTGAAGAAAAAATGTAAAATTGATATTTCCATGCTCGAATCGATAAGAAAAAGATCCTCCTCTGAACTCTCCTTAGTTTCGATTTTGCCATAACGCAGCTTCGCTGCATCGGCGTTTCCAGGTGCGCAAGCTTTACCACAAAACGCACAATGCATGATTCCACAACTTAGTGAATTGTAAATATTTTTTGAATAGACATTAAAGCTCTTGCAACAAGCAACAAAACAAAACAAAGCCACACACAAATCACACAAAATTATAAAGCAAACTTTGCGATTAGGTACGTGCATTCAGAATGTTTTCGCATTGTCTTATCTTAAATGTGCAAAGAAACATAGTCACTGTATTTAATCAAATTAAAGATACGCATTAAGTACATATAAATAAAGTTAAGTACATTAAAAACGCCGTTCTTTCTGTTTTTTGATAAATAAATGGGGGAGAAACTACGATCCTGCTAAGCCCAGCGATTCAAAATGATGAGCAGTGACTTAAAGCTAAAGATAAACTAATCCCGAAAGGAAATCAAGGAGCAGCAGTATTTAATATAAGTTAGAAAGTTATCCAGTTCTTCGCTAAAACTAATTAAAATTAATTATATTGGCGATCCACTCAGTGTGGCTAAAAATATTGTTAAAAACATACAAACCATTAGATGAATAACTGACAATACCAAGCAGAACGAACCGTTCCCTTCCATAATACATAATCTTCTTCCCTAAAACGTCGCCAGGTTTTCCAAAGTTCTGACTTATTCCGCGAGGAAATTCCACACAAAATTGTTTCGGTTCAAGACCCCTCTGGATTCTGTCTGAACATTGTTTGGGATTAGTGATTGAAACGGTGAAATCAAAAGTATATATGCGTCCGTAGTCAAATACAGTAAAATATGGAGTGGAGTCGACTTCCTGGTCCCTTGAGTTCGCAAGCATACAAATCGGTTTTTGTCCCTCTGTAAAATATAAAATCAGCAACCAGGCGATACATTTATATAACGAAATGTATGTTACCTGGACCCTTTACCGGTCGATTAAGTTGTAGCAAAGCTATACCATTGCTAGTCGTAAAATATCCTTGGTTGTGAAAGGCTCGGATCACTTCATATGTGTTTTGTATTCCCAACACACTGACTTCTCTGTAGATAAATTTTAATTTATGTTCAATTAGCTAACATGCTTTTGATATATGTAACTTACAAGGACGCCAGTTTTAGCAAGCCTCTAGCATTTGTTAGGACAAATCCTGGAAATTTATATAACATTATTTTTAACATTATTTTAACACTAACCTGTGTCCAGTTTCCAAATGTAATGACCGTCGATCCACTTTTTTTTAAATTTAAATATTTTATAGAGATAGATAGATAGAAATACTCACGGTCTGTTATCATCACCCCCTGGGTCCTGAAATTGGTTCCATAAATGGTTGCGTGTAAATGCGATGCTATGGTACTACCACCACAGTCTCCGTACAACCACTTATTTTGATCCCTGCGAGGCTGTAGTGGTATTACTGCGGACTGTGAAGCATCCACAGTATCAAACTTTTTGATGGCATCCTCGATCCAGTCCACATAGCTTGTCACATCGGTGTAGACTCCAAGTCCATCGCAGTATCTTCTGCCAAAGCTCACGATCCCGAACTGAACTTTGAGAGTGTTTCCATTATATGGAATAGTGTTTATCAATGGACCACCGGAATCGCCCATACAAGTGTCACCGGATGAAAACCCAGCACATATCTGTTTTAAACTGACCCTCGATACCAGTCCCCTGAAGCACTCGTCTCGATTTAAATTGTTAAGGACGACGGTTTGAAGAATATCGCTTTCGGATCCGTTGTATTTTGTTCGTCCCCAGCCGAAGGCTTTAAACGTGGGTATTGCTTCTGCTACGTTCTTAATATTCTTATCCAAAACAATGCATATTGGATGAATGAAACCTGTAAAAAATTATAAGAAGTTTATAACTTTTTTAAGGTTGAAACCGATTTACATACGATTGAAGTCAACGCTGCTGGACAACTTGAGCAGACCAATATCATTTCCATCATCTGCATGTCCGGTGAACAAACGGTGCACTATTGCTTTTGTTACATTTATCTGAACCATTGCGTGATTTTTGTTGTATGCTCCCAACCTCACAAATCTTTATTCATAAAAAAATATTATTTAAAATTAATTTAGGCTTCCGTTTATAATACTTACAGGGTATCGTTTTTACGAATGCAATGCGCAGCAGTTAACACAAAACCTGAAAAAAAACATTTTTATATTATATTCCAATCTTGCTCTGTATCAAAATACGAACGTCTGTGAATCAGCGTGCCACCGCAAATAAAATCTGTGGCATTTCTTATGGCTGCCATCCAGGCGGCGTCTTCAACGAATGCATCCTTTCCGTTGAAGATTCTGGATGCAATAGAGCTTCCACAAGGTTCCTCTAAAAGCTGGGAAGCTCCTAGGTGAACGAGGAACCAAGCGAACAAAGGAATCCAAGCTATACGTGACTGCATATTCCGAGATGTTGAAAAGAACTGAATTCAATGGTCAAGATAACCCTCAAGTCACCCATTTTATGAACAGCCTTATCACTTCTTTCGAGGAAATACATAAATATTGCGTGGGGAATGCGAATTGAAGTGATCTTTAAGTAATAACTTTCCTGCTATCGGATTAATAGCCGCTTCCGAGAATTGATAATTTTAAGAATGCTACAAACATAAGTATATATTTTAGGACATTAAGTAATTTTAGATAACATTTAAAGCTGAACTTATGCAACTTATGCTTTAAAGAAAACATAACCAATATTAAGTTACCTTTTTTTAAATATTTATTCAATGTTGGGAAATAGGGAAATATATAGTATATATCTTCCCTAAAATTAATTAAAATTAATTATATTGGCGATCCACTCAGTGTGGCTCATAACATTGGCGAAAACGTTCAGCCCATTAGAAGAATAACTGAGAATACCAAAAAGAACAAACCGTTCCTTTCCCGAAAGCAGAATCTTTTTACCCAAAACGTCGCCAGGTTTTCCAAAATTCTGACTTATTCCGCGAGGAGTTTCCACACAAAGTTGATCTGGTTCTATTGCGTCCTGGATGCCGAGTGAACATTGGTAGTGGTTAATAAGTGAAACACCGTAATCAAAAATTCTTTTGCGTCCTCCAGCTTGCACAAAGTCAAATACAGTAAAAGTTGGAGTGGACGTTGCCTCCTGCTGGTCTTCTAGGTTCGCAAGCATGCAAATCGGTTTCACTCCGACTGAAAAATATAAATTTGGGAAATAAGGCGATATATATTTAAAGAAATATATTTTACCTGGGCCCTTTACCGGCCGATTGAGTTGCAACAAGGCAATACTATTGTTAACCGTTAAATACTCTTGGTTCTTGAAGATTCGGATCACTCTGTATGCTTGATAGGTTCTTCGGATTCCTAAGACACTCACGTCTCTGTGGATTAATTTTTATTTATTTTTTTAATGAACAACTAAATTTTTTAGACTACGTACAAGAAAGCAGCATTTTCTGGCAAGCCTCTGTCATTTGTTAGAACAAATCCTGAAAAATAAATATTGATTAAAACTGCAAGCATTATATTTTCTTAAACTTAAAATGTATATTTTATATAACCTAATGAAATTAGATTCAAATAGAACTGATAGTCACGGTCCGTTATCATCACGCCCTGGGCCATCAAATTAGGTCCATTAATCCTTGCCTGTAAATGAGATGCTATGGTATTTCCACCACAGTCTCCGTACAACCACATATCTTGATCCATGCGAGGCTGTAGAGGAATTTGCTTGATTCCTGGGGACTCTGATTGCTCCTCAGTATCAAACCTTTGAATGACAGCCTCAATCCAGTCCACGTAGCTTGTCACATCGGTGTAAACTCCAAGTCCATCGCAGTATTGGGTGCCAATGCTCACGATCCCGAACTGAGCTTCGCGAACGCTTCCATTAAGAACGATCTTGTTGGTCAATGGACCACCTGAATCGCCCTCACAAGTGTCCCCGGATGAAGAGCCAGCACATAGCTGGGTTAGACTGAGACTCATTGTTCCCAGTCCCCTTACGCACTTTGTTCGATCTAAATGGTCGATGACGATGGTTTGTAGAATATCACTTTCGTATCCCCTGTATTCAGTTAATCCCCAGCCGAAGGCTTTGAAGGTGGCCATTGTTTCTACATCGTTCTTAATATTTCTATCCAAAACTATGCAGATTGGATGAATGCGAACTGCAGAGAATTTTAATTAATATATTTTCCTGATCGGTGATACTATTTACATACCATTGTAGACGACGCTGCTGGACAACTTGAGCAGGCCTATATCATAACCATTTACAGGCTGTCCGTTGTACAAACGATGTGTCAATGCTTTTGAGACATTTCTCCGTTTTGTTGGTTCATTTCTGTTATATGCTCCCAACCAAACAAATCTTGATTTAAAACAAATAATTTTAGTTAAATCTTTATAAACACTCGTATTAAACTAATAATATTCATACTTACAGGATTCCCTGCCTATATATGCAATGCGCAGCAGTTAACACAAAGCCTGAACAAATTTTTTTATATTATAATCAAATCTTGTTTTGTAAAAAAAATACGAACGTTTGTGAATTAGCGTGCCACCGCAAATAAAATGCGTGACATTTCTTATGGCTGCCATCCAGGCGGCGTCTTGAAGTCTAGCATCATTGCCGTTCCGAATTTTGGGTGTAATTGAAGTTCCACAAGGTTCCTCTAAAAACTGGGAAGCTCCTCGGTGAACTAAAAACCAAGCGAACAAAGTAATCCAAGCTGAACGCGACTGCATTCTCCGAGATGCTAAAGAGAAATGCATTGAGATAACCCTACAGTCATTGCATTTATAGAAAGCCTTATCATTTCTTGCTCAGAATATGACAAAAATATTGCGTAGGTCATGAAAATTGAGTAAAAGTTTGCCCACAATCAGATTTCCGTGAATTTTACTGATGCTATATATTTTAAGTAGTAATCTTATATAAGCTCTAAAACTGAACGAACAAAATATTGAGTTTACATAACATTTACATGAATAACTCAACGATAATTCATAAAACTCGATCTAAAATGGGAAAGGTAGATTTTTGGTTAGTAATATAAAGTAGGTGGAATCATGTTTACTTACCCTCCAAAGGCGGGTTTCTGGGTATTGGAGTTTCCTGTCTGTGCCAGATTTCCGAAGGAGAGGCCTGACTCCTGGCCACCCAGGGTTTCAAAGATGTTTCCTTGCGTCGGCTTAGGAGCAGCACCAAACGCAGGAGGTGAAGCCACAGGAGTAGCCCCGCCGAATCCACCAAATCCCTTCGGACTGCCAAAGGTTGCTCCTCCGCCAAAGGTGGGGCTCGCTCCGAAGGCCGGCGATCCTCCAAAAACGGGCTTAGCTCCGAATCCTCCCGGTGCCGCTTGTTGCTGCGGCGTTTGCGGTGATCCAAAGCCCGACTGGGCCACGGATCCACCTCCTCCTTGCGCAAAACCACCGCCAAAAGCACCCGGCGCCGGTGTTGTCTGCGAGAAGGAGCCAAATCCACCGGAGCTGCTGCCGCCACCGCCAAAGATCGAGCCGCCAGAAACGGGAGAAGCTGCGGCTGGTGCAGGTGAACCAAAGATGGAACCTCCTCCGCCGCCGCCACCAAAAGCAGATGCTTGCGGGGTGCCCACGGGATTGGCGAATATATTTCCACCTGCCGCCGGCGAAGCTGCCGCCGACTGACCAAACACACTTTGGCCAAAGATCGAAGCACCTCCAGCGGCGGCGGGGGCAGGACTTTGTGGATTACTTCCGCCGAAAATGGAGCTCGAACCGAAGGGTGAACTAGCTGCACCGCCAAAAATGGATCCACCGTCGGCTGCGGGCGCCGGTTGTCCAAAGACATTTGGCTTGGCGGCTTGGCCAAAAATGTTGCCACCAGAAGCGGGTGCTGCAGTAGGAGGACTGCCGAATGGCGACGGATTGCTAATGGCAGCCGAGGCAAAGAGTCCAGTGGGTGGAGCAGCTGCTGAAGGAGCAGCAGCGGTAGCTGTTCCAAAAACACTGGTCTCCGGCTTGGGTATGCTGCCAAAAATGTTGCCACTCGGTGGTGTAGTTTTTGCAGCCGCTTGAAAAGGATTAGCCACTGGAGCAGCTGTTGAAGTTGCTGCTGCAAAGCCACCGCCAAAAACTGAAGTAGACGAGTTACTGGCCGTGGATGCGGTGGAGCTGCTGGGCGCCAAAGGAGCAGCAGCAGCAGTAGCGGCGGTAGTTGGAGCCACTCCAGCACTCAGGTTGCTAAAGGCATTCGAGAAGGAGAAGGCGCTGCCGGGAACAGCACTACTGGATGATGTCACTGTTGCGGCGCTAGTTGTTGCTGCTGGTGGAGCTGCACTTGCTGCAGGAGTCGTAGTCACAGTTGTAGCGGGTGCTGCAGTTGTTGTAATGGGTTCAGTTTTAATTGTGGTTTCCGAAACAGTTGTAGCTGCTGCAGAAGTCGTCGCTGGTTGTGCTGGAGTAATGCTGGCAAATAATCCCTTCGAGGCATCGCCGCTTCCGCCGCCAAACGAAAAGCTGCCAGAGGTTGAACCACTATTCAGACCTCCAAAAATATTGGCTGGTTTGGTGGAATCTAAAGCGGAAAGACATTTACTTGATGCTAAACTTAATAAGCATATAAAACTCTACCTGCTGGTGCTGCGTTTGGCTTGCAAATGTTGACAGAGCCGAAAAGACCGCCAGTGGAATCCGAGTTGCTTGCCGTGCTTACAGGAGGAACATCAGTTGAAGGGGTGGATGCTATAACAGGCGTTGGCTTGCTGGTGATTGTGGTGGTGCTGCTGGTCACTGTGGGTTCACTGGTGATTGGTTTAGTTGCAGCTGCAGCCGCGAACATGCCAAATGGAGCAGCTGAAGTGGTAGTAGCTGCCACAGGAACTGTGCTGCTAGGAGCTTCAGATTTTGGAGCAGCAGGGGCGGCTCCTCCAAAGCCCAGTGATGATCCCAATCCACCAAAGCTAAACGGAGAGCTGGAGGCACTTCCCACAGCTCCGCCAGTTCCTGTAAAACCTCCAAAGCCAATGGATTTAGTAGCGAGCTCTGCTTTAGGGGCTTGCGGTGCTATTTTTGTGACTTCAGGAACGGCTTTCACTGGCTTGATTTCAAGTCCTGCCTTTTGCTCTTTCTGCTTAGCTGCCTCTGGAGCAGGCTGTTCTTTTTCAATTGGTTTTGGTATTGGAGCTGATTCCACTGCAGGCGATCCTCCTCCAAACGAGAGCGCAGACTTGGCAGCACCGCCGCCAAAACTGAAGCTGGAACTACCGCTACTTAGTCCGCCGAACATGGAGAGTCCCGGCTTGGCAGCCTCACCAGGAGTCACGGTATTTGTGGTAGGAGTCACCGTGGATGTCTTCACAAATGGGCTGCTCTGGCTGAAGGAGAAAGGCGTCGATACAGGGACAGGATGGGGTTTTTCCATAGCCACCGGTTTTGATGGCATGGGTTTCGGCAGCTGAGGTGCCACTGGTTGTGGAACGTAAGGCATTGGAGCAACCACTGGTGCAGGAGGCGGAGCCACTGCTGCTTGGGTGTACTTGTTGGCCGTCGATGGCTTGGCAGCCGCTTTTTTAATCTGCTCCGCCCGGCGCTTGGTCTCCAAAATAACCTCCGACTTCAGGCCCACGCGATCCGGTCGCTGCGGTCCAATAATATTGATCTTCTGCAGCTGGACAACCTTTCGAATCTTTTGCAGCCTCTGATGCGTGAGCTTAGCTGCATTGGAGTCCACCACCTGGCTGAGACTCATTGAAAGTATCGAATCTGCCAATGTTTCCACTCTGCAGGAAGAAAAATAAAGCTTAAAATAGATTGGCATATAAAATCTAAACTACTAACGCTTCGTTGGTGCGGGTGCGACTGTTCTCCTGGTCGAGCAGTGCCGCCTGAAGCAATCCGCGTTCCTTGAGCTTGGCCTTGATGCTGTTCTGCTGGATTCGCTGCTGAGAGGCGAGGTTTTGCAGCTTAGTCAGCCGCTGGTAGATGCCCTCCAGGCAGGGCATGTGCATGCGCGACTTGGAGTTGCGCCGCACGACATCCTGGAACTGCTCCCACTGGACATCCACGTGCTGCTGGGCGAGACGCAGCTGGGCCTCATTGGCGGCCACGTAGCTCTGAAGGCGGGCGAGCATTCGACGGCCAGCGGGATCGCAGGAGCTGGAGTTCATCAGACGAGTGATGCTAAAAGAAGAAGGTTCTTAAAGGGAAGGTTTATAAGTAGAATAACTTTCTACCCACTCGGGTTTCCTGTAGATCTCCAGCTTGCCACGGCACTCGGCCACGATGGCATAAGCCTCATTGAGACCCTGACGCAATCCCTGCACATCCAACTCAAACTCCACATCCTTGGCTTGCTCGTTCAGCTCCTGTAGATCGTCCAATCGCTTGGCATAGACACGCAGAGCTGATGGGGCCACAATCTGCAAAAGGGAAACTAGAAATGTAACTACGAAACAAGAAAGGAAGCTAGCCTCGGCCAGCCGAAGCTTACATATATACCCTTTCAGATCATTCCTATCAAATCAAAATTCTTAAATTTTTAAAGAGTCATATCCCCGAGTAGAAAGAATGTAATAAAAATCAACAATGATATCATTTTTTTCCTATTAATTTCCATTTAATTTTTCGACCGTTCCTATGGCAGCTATATGATATAGTGTTCCGATTGCTTTTTATTAAAATAATATTCCCAAGAGTAGAAGGTAATATTTACAAAAACACCGAAGCTTTCTATGGGAGCTATAAGATATAGTTATCCGATCCGGCCGGTTCCGACTTATATAGTACCTGCTATAGAAAGAAGACTTTTGGGAAAGTTTCATCCCGAAAGCTTAAAAGCTTAGAGACTAGTTTGCGTGGAAACGGACGGACAGACGAACGGACAGGCGAATGGACATACGGACATGGCTGATGCCGATCAAGAATATATATACTTTAGGGTCGGAAACGTCTCCTTCACTGCGTTCATTCAAAGAGAATATAATATTTACTTACGCCCTTGAGCAGCTCCTTGGTTTGGTCCTTCTGCTTTTGAATATCCTGGCTAAAGGCCTCGATTTGCAGGGCAATCATGTCCTTGATAATGGGCTCAGTGTCATCTGGCTTGAGGGTGGCTTCTAGACTTGGAGGAGGAGCCGATGGTGCTGCCTTTGTGGCCACCGGTGTAAAAGTCGGCGGAACAGTGTAGAGCGGTTTGTTCACTGCAGCGGGAGCAGGAGCACTCGTTTCAGGAGCTGAACTACGTGGTAGCACAGCAGCACTTGCAGGCTTGCTTATTGGCATTCCGACATAGGCATTAGTTGCGGGTGCCGAGAACATGGAACCCAATGGAGGAGCCGCTGTTGTCGCACCAAATCCTCCAAAAGCAGAAGGTGGCTTGGCCACAGCAGCCTGCGGAGCAGCAAACGAGAGTGGAGCGGGCGTCGGAGCAGCTCCAAAGGATAGCTGTGGGGCAGGAGTTTTAACTGCCGGAGCTCCAAAGCCCGAGAACAGCGACGGCGGCTTGTCCTTCGAGGGAGCCGGCGTTGAAGTAACCGTGTTCGGTGTAAAAGCAAACGAAATGTCCGAGGGAGCGCTGACCGCAGGCGTCTTAGGCGGCGGACTGGTTGCCACTGGCTGCTCCTCCTCGGCGTCACTGGGAAGCAGCGTATTCAGTGGCCGGAACTGCCCCGAAGTATCTGCCACCGGAGGAGGTGGCGAGCAAACAGAGACCGCCGTGGGCAGCATATTCAGGAAATTGAACGAGAGCAGGGCTCCATCCGAGCCGAGAACATGCACCATTGGCATCGTCGGTAGCTTCTGCTCGTTGATGGTCAGTTGGTGTGTAGATGAAGTATCGTAGACGAAGCCCAAAGGGAAGGTCTCCTCCTGGGTGCTCTCACTCAAGGGCAACTCAATGCGCGCCTCGTCTAGAAGGGTAAACTGCTGCCAGGTGGGCGTGTCGCCAGTCTCTGCGGTGCCCATGACGCCCACCTCCACGCCATTGGCGGAGATCACGAGGAGCAGATTCCAAGGCGCCACATGGCTGAACAAGAACTGATGGTTCCTTGGACCATTCAGGCTGTAGCAGATGTCATAGTAGTTTACATAGCTGGGTGCCCCAACCTTCGGGGCATTTAGTATGTAAAGCGAAGGATTGCAATCCTCGCCGTGCTGCAGGAAGATCACCGCAAACTGGAAGGTGGACAGCCACTGGATGGCGATGGTGTCGAAGGGGGCATCATGGACGCCGGGTGGACACAGCAGCGTCTTCGCAGGCGTTAGATCCGGCTTGAATTGCTGTATCTTGCCGCCTGGAAATCCCAGGACAATCTGCTTTCCCTTGGGCGACCAGCAGCCGCACTTCACCTGCTGATTCTTGTCCAGCGAGTGCATCTCAAAGTTGCCGCCCTCCTTGAGGGCATACATCCCCAGAGCTCCATTGCTCAGGACCACAGCCAGGCTGTTGGGCAGCACGGGATTCCAGAGCAACTGGACGGCGTGCACATGATCCTCGGCAGCCAGGCGGATGTTATAAACGGGACGAATATCGGGGGTCATAAAGGAAGGCACCGCATAGATGCTGAGCAGGCTGGTGCCATTCTGGGTGTGATTCACGGCCAGTAAATTGCCATCGGAGCTGCAGGCGATGTAGTTGGGAATGCTGGGCAGCGGCACCAAACGCGCCTGCGGCTGTTGTCCTGTGCTCTTGGCATTTACCAGATCCTTTACGATAATCACTGCAGGTGGAAGAGGATTAGGTGGTTATATACTATGATAGAAACCCTTTCTTACCCTTAAGTTCCGGCTGCGTGGGATTCCCTCCGAATAGCAATCCCCGGCTGCTGGAGATTGCCAGCAATTTCACATTGCTCCGCGGATCGCCGCATTTTTTGAACGCCACGAATTTGTCGTGCAGTTTGAATTGAAAATCCTGTAACGAAATCATTGTTATTTTGACTTTTCAATCGAATGTTATTCGGCTCACCTGTGTGTCCCTGCAGGCGGGTGCATTTTGCGCCATTTTCGCTGATTTTAACTATTATTTTGCTAATTTCATGCAGTTTGTCAAAAATTCAGTTTGAGCCAGCGGTGTGGCTGCAGGTCAAGAACGTTGAAAAGGCAGATAAACAAAAAGCGCGCCACAGCGTGTACGGTCATATAAGAGGAACTCACCACAGACAAATTCACCCTACATAAAAAAAAATTGTTTTCAATTTTTAAAAAAAGTTAAACATTTCATAATTTAAAATTTTATTGTTTATGCTAAAGAAATAAAAGACTGATTTCCAAAAAATATCATAGTATTTTTTTTAACCCAAGGGTAGATTAATTAAATGTTTGTTGTTTTGTTCAAATTTTTCTGTTGCCTTGTTTAACTGATCTGTTTTATTTTCAAATAAATCAGATCTAAAACATGTATAATTTTTTAGCCTTGTTGGATACCAACCAAAATAAAACAAAATATGTATTTATTTTTTTATTTGAAAGTAAATAACGCGCTGAAATGTTTAACAATCTGAATAAGAGCTCATCAACATATAAATATTTAGCAATTTAATGTTTTTATTTAGGGAATACCCTCTCTATTTCGAAATAAAATCCGAGTGTGACCAGATTGCCTTTTGTTAGTACTCATCTGCTTGGTATTTTTTGTGCGCCCCAGCATGAAAATTTCAGCACAGCAGCAGCTTTGTTGTTGTTCGTCTGTCTCTGTCCAGCAAGCGTTCCTTTTTGTTTGCTGAGAATTAAACAAAAGCGATTTGTTCGCGGGCAATGCATTCGCAAAACTGGGCACAGAACATCGGCTCTTTCTCTGTCGAGTGAAAAGTGCACAAAGCCATGTAGTTGAAACCGAGCTGGCGAGTCGCAATTATCCAGTGGCGACGCAACACGGTGCTAAAAATTGCGTAGCCAAATAATTTCGAAGTCCTCCTGCTCCTCAAAATCGTAGTAACCAAATAAAATAGCCCCATAATCGAGTGAAAAGTAATTCAGTGAAGTTTAGTTCGAAATTGTCTATAAAGTCTCGTTAGAAATACAAATATAGCACACGGAAAAGTCGAGGAAATTACAGGTGATAATTAAGGGTGAGAAAAGGAAAAAGGATAATGAAATCAACGCATGTAATACCCTGTAATTTTCGTTTTTCCAGAACTGATAAGGCCTTCAAGATGATCAGCAGTCTGTTTTCGCGGCTTATAATGTGAGTAATCGGTTACCCAGTAATCCCCAACTTCATAGCATAACCCCTGAGAGCGAGTGAGAGCGCTGCAGAGCTGCTGACCCCCAAAAAAAAAAACAGAAACAACAAACTTTTCAAGCTCGGCCTTCAAAAATCGAGTAAAAAGCACCTACGAAAGTCACCGTCGTCGATTCCTAATTGTGTGGGCGTCACGCTTCTGATTTTTCGTTATATTTCCGTGGTTTCTCGATTCGCTGATTACCAGATTGTTTGTTTATTAATCAGCTGTCGCCGTCGCGCCGCAAAGTACCGTTCACTTGTGCGAGTGTGTGTGCGTAACCCCCAATTGAACTCCTAATTTGGAGTTTCCACTTACCGAGTCCCCAAGTTTCCGAGGCCGACGCACTCGCTTACTCCCGATTTGGGTGCAGAACATGTGCATATAGCCGATATGGGCGACCCGGCGACTCTCTTTGTGACTCCATTGTTGTCAATATTTATAGATCGCGGTCGAATTGGCAAACCTAACGATTGCTCATACGCCACAGTGGCGGGCAAGATTGTAGGAACTCTTTGTTAGGATACTCGAAAACAGTGAGTCCTTGATACAGTGAATTACAGTTTTAGGTTTTATCAGTAATACAGAGTACTTGATTTAAAACATACGGTAAATGGTTTGACAAATATAAATTTATTTAAGAAATATTTTATATTAATAATAAAATATTTTAAACGAAAAACCCAATTAACAATCAGCATAAATATTTTTAGATCCAGATAACTCCATAAAAAACTTCATAATCATTTTTAAATGAAATAACAGTCATATGTTCTTAGAAGAGAAGATTGAGTATGCCAGAGATTTTTTGAATCCTTGTTTAGGATACTCCAAAACAGTGAGTGCTTATTACAGTAAACTATTTAAATTTAAAAAGTAAAATTTTTATTTTTATCAGTTTTACTGTGCTTGTTTTAAAACATAGGGCAATTTATTTGAAAAATATCAATTTATTTTTCACAAAAAACTTAAATAAAAATTAGCATAAAAGTATTTATATCCAGATAATTCCATAAAATACTTTATAACAATTTTTAAATGAAATAACAGTCAATAAAAAAAGTATGTTCTCAAAAGTGAAGATTGAGTAATATCAATTAATTTTTTTTGTTTTCTCTATATTTTTTTTAAGTCTAAAAGAATCATTAGGGTAGCATAATTTTCTGTTTATGGTTTAAAGTTCCGAACCCTTTCAAGTGCTACTTTTGTGAACGCAGCTGTCGTTCGGAACTGCGGCACATTCCTCCGTGTAAACATTGCCACGGGCTGCTTCTCTATTGCTGCTGCTCTCTAGACCCGATCGCGGGTTTATTAATAGACCCCCCGCCTGAGCGTTAGACGCCGCATCTGGGGGCTCTCCGCCGGCAGTCTCTGCTCGGCGTTCTAGCGGCCAGGAACGATCTGCGATCCGCGCTGCGGGCAATGCATCCCCGTTGCCATGAGGCCCATCTATCAGCAGGAGCAGCCGCTCTTCTACCAGCGGCCAGCTAATCTCCGACGCCTACGTCATCCGCCGGGCACCGCCGTCTACGGACGCAGCTATTCGCTCGAGGATCAGCCGGAGGAGGATGTGATCCCGGTCTATCCAAAGTTTATTTACGCCCCACAGCAGCAGTCGCATCAGCAGCAAAGGGCTCAATATCCGCTGTATCAGCTGGGCGATTCACTGAGCTCGCTGGACAGTGATTACCCGGGCGATGAGTACAGTGGAGCCTACATAGTGGAAGAAAGGGTAGCGGCTCCCACTCCGAAAGTAGTCCAGAATCTCAATGCCCTGGGGCGACTGTTAGAGCTCCTGCAGCGCTGTCCTCTGCCATGTCTCTCCTTCAACACGGCCTGCATCTGCTCGCTGATTGTCATTTTCCTAGCGCCGCGTACTTGTGCCCAGAGTTTACTGTTTCCCGCTTTCAGATTGTTCTGCGGCACCCTGTACCCGGCCTATGCCTCTTATAAGGCCGTCAGGACCAAGGATGTCAAGGAATATGTAAGTATACTGAAAAATAAATCCCCCTTTTTAATTAGAAATAATGTACTACTTAATGGGTATTTAATAACACACATTCTGACCTAATATGTATAATAAAATTTAAAATTATATTCGGATTCAAAAGGGGGGATCCCATCCATAATCATTTGTAATAATCATATAATTTATTACTTAATGGCTATTTAATAGCAATCATTGCGACCTAATTTGTAATAATAAGACTGCAAATTAAATTAATTTGTCAGCTTTCATTTAAATTACCAGCTCTGTAAATTGAATGTTATTAAATTGAGTACCTAATTAAGTTCTGTATACGGAAAAAATATAAAAAAAATATATATTATTATTATATTATTTATAATCATTTTAACAATTTTTCTTCATCTCTCCCCAGGTTAAATGGATGATGTACTGGATTGTCTTTGCATTTTTCACCTGCATTGAAACATTCACGGACATCTTCATCTCCTGGCTTCCGTTCTACTACGAGGTGAAGGTGGCCCTGGTCTTCTGGCTCCTCTCGCCGGCCACAAAGGGCAGTTCAACGCTGTACCGCAAATTCGTGCATCCCATGTTGACGCGCCACGAACAGGTGGGGCTAGAAATCTTATAAATATACATATATCTCTCTGTACATCTGAAATTCCTCTCTTTTTTCTTTGTGCACAGGAGATCGACGAGTATGTGAATCAGGCCAAAGAGCGGGGCTATTCGGCGGTCCTGCAGCTGGGCTCCAAGGGAGTGAACTATGCCACCAATGTGCTCATGCAGACGGCCATCAAGGTAATCCTCCCCCACCCATCCGCATCCACACACAGCCCCCACTGAAACACACACTCACCCCACACTCATCGCACACTCACTCGACTCATTTTGGCCATTTTCGATCGCCTCCAGCGTCGTTGCATAAAATGAGCAGCAGCAGCAGCGGCAGCTTTTCTATATTCGAAACATTTTGCGCAACACTCTCGCGTGCTCATCTTAATCATCATCCGCCCAACTGGTCAGCGAATCCCCAGCAGTTTGCAGGCAGCGCTTCCCATCCAAGAGAATCAGAATTCAGAATCATCATCGCCTTCATCATCAGCTCGCCTTCTCTTCTCTTCACATCTAATTTTTACTTTTATTATTATTTAGTTTAAACTTTTAACGTCTAGAATTGAATGCTCTTTTGTGCCATTTGCGTGTTTCTTTCGATTTAGTTTTAGTTTGTAGTGTGTTTGTTTCTCTTTGTGTAGCCAGATCACTACTATATACACTGTATGTGATAAACGCTGAAAGATAAATCAACATGTTGAAACGCTGTAATAAAAACAAAAACTGAACAAACCCAAATCATGCCAAAGATCCCAGATACCCGTCGCAATTCACAACTGTTTGTAAACAATTCAGATGTGGGCCAAGACACTTGTGGACTGCAACCGATTGGATGTATTGGATAGAATCTGGAGGGCAGAGATGCATTAGTTCATAAATAAATAATGCCCGTTGATGTAGGTCAGAGAACCGAGATATTGACAGATAAATTATGCGGACTGAAAGGTGCAAGTAATTTTAATATATAGGTTAAGTGGCACATTCCTTATAGTTAATCATCCGATCTCTGGAAATCTTGAGTTTCCTTCTTTGTTAGCAAACAAAGACATTCGTTTATGATTTTTTTTAAGAGAAGGAAAATTTTAATACTGTATTCTTTGCTCTTTAGAAGGAGAAAAGTAAAGTGTCCTTCTAAAACCTGATTAATTTGATATATAATCAAGATTGTATTACATTTTTCCAACAAACAAAGTGGCTGGTTCACTTTATAGCGAATTAATCATCAGGGAAAAAAGGGAAGAAACTGCTCTTCTTTGTTCCTAGACAAAGAAACTCGTTTGGTTTTGGAACAAAAGCGAAAAGAGTTCTCTTTATAAGTAGGTATACCTATATTTGAGTCCTCTAAAAGAGTCTACTGTGCGTTGTTTTCAACCCAAGACATCTGCCGGCACTCCTTGCTTCCACTGATTTGCATTCCGCTGATTTTACTCGGCCAGCTGCCCAGTTGCACAATTCTAATTCCAATTCCGAATAGCCTCTGGGGTAGGGCAGTCTACATATAAATAGAAATAGATACGATACCGGGGCATGAGACAATTCTTGAGCGTGTGTGTAAAGTGCCTCATTTGACCCAGCTGCAATTCATTTCAATTTGAGACTTTTGCGTTGCCTCTATTTTAATTAACTTTTTTCGTTTCTTCACTTATGTTTCTTTGCATTTAACCAACCAACAAACACCAATCAAAAAAAAATAAAACCACCAATCAAAATCCCAACTAAACGCACCTGCCTGCACCGCTCGATTGCCACTAACCACCCGCTAACTGCTAGACCTATGCGCTGACCACGGCTCCATCGGTCCATGGACGTGGCCTGCAGAACTCCCATTCGGCGGATGAGCTTTCCCGGGGTCAGGATATGCTGGACAGCACGGACAACTGGCTGCCGCGGTCCAGTTCTTTGACCAGCATCGAGAGCTATGCGGAGACGGTCTACGAGCCGCGGACGGAGACCAGGCGCCTGGTCATCCGTGAGGTTTCCGAGGAGGTGGAGCCCGAAGATGAGCCCATGGGTGATGCCGGAGCAGCTCGCCTGCGGGATCTGCCCGTGCGCAAGGCTCAACCACGTCGTGCTGGAGGCGCCACCAGAACGGCAGGCAAACGTGGTCAGAGGAGCAACGATACGGAAGCCAGCAGCTCAGCCAATGTGATCCGCTCGCGCCGCAAGCTACGCGATCCCACGCCCGATGTGGACATCGAGGGCTACTAGAGATGGCCCATGATATCCAAAAACAGATACTCAGATAGTCGAACGATCGAATTTTAAACACACTCAGCGAAACACTCACCAATCATCACCTTAACCCCGTTTTAATTTTTTCCAATCATGTATTATTGCTATGTTTATGCCTAAGTTTTTCGATTAGTTGTAGTTTAGAAGTTAAAATTAAATTTATTCAAATGTTAAATCTTGTGCTCTACTCCACCAACAAACTATCACTTGAAACCCTCGTAAAGGGCGGTGGAAATCTGGTGCAGACGATCAAGCGGAGCTATAGCCTCAGCGATCTCAGTGAGCCGGATATGCATCGCACCCAGGACGAGCTGGACGCGGTGATGATGTCTTCGATGGCCTCGTCGGCGGTGGTCATGCGTTCGCCCTCCACGGGCGCTCGCCTCCTGAGGCCAAGGAATCAGACGCCCGTGGGCAGAAGCGGCAGTGGAACACGCCACTCCACGGGCATGTATTTCACGGAGGTGGATGTGACCGCCAAGAATGCGGGCGATTTCAAGTGAGTATCATAAAGGGATTGGGATTGCTAAGCGGTACCACAAAAATTCAGAATTTCAGGAAAATTATAATAATATCTTAACTCTTAGGATCTAATTAAAATAAAAGATTTTGTTATATTAGTTTGGAATTTTTTAAAAAGGTCTTTTTGAAACAAAGAACCAAAATTAAAGGCTTTATAAACCCATGTAAAATCTGTAGTTTACAAAAAATGTTTAAAAAACATTTTTTTTAGCATCAACATATAACTTATATTATTTAGCACCAACATATAACATAAATATATTTTGTCAGAATTTCAGAATAATTAAATGTACAATGCTATAATATCTAAACTTTTAAGATCTAATTCCAATGCAAGAATTAGTAATACCTATTAGTTTAGAAATTTTTAAATAGGTATTTTGAAAAAAGTACCAAAATCAGTGGCTTCATAAACCCATGTAAAATCTGTAGTTTACAAAAAATGTTTAAACCACTTTTTTTTTTATAGCATCAACATCTAAAATATCTTTTGTAGCACCAACATATAACATATCTAACATATCTTTTTGTGGTTCCTACTTTACAAGATAATATTATTTTAAAATCTGATTTCTTATATACCTTATCAGCTACAACATTCGCAGCCAGGATGACATCAGCTCCGGCTACTCGAGTGCCGAACCCGTGAGCGGTCTCAGTCGCACCTCCTCCATGACGAATGCTTCCAAGGGTCGGGCCAAGTCCAAACGCAATGAGGTAGGAATTATTTGTGTATTTTTATCTGCAACTATCTTAATCCGTTTGGAGATTGGTGTTGGTTAGCAGTTGCTGGAGGAGATGAGGGACGAGGTCTACTTAGACAACCAGCTGTACTTTCAAGGTGTGCGAGGGGAGAATTCGGTTCCAGCGGTCCAGGAACTGAAGATTGTGGAGAGTTTTGAAAGAATCCCATTTGAGGAGGAGGTGGAGAGGGAGGAGGAGGATAAAGACATCGCGGAAGATGAGGACTTTTTCGAGGCCTTGCCTTTAATAGAGGAGGACTTAAATGAAGAGGAAGTAGGGAAGCGAAACCAAGATCCACTAAAGAATTTTATTCAAGAGGAGGAGTTTGAAGATGCTGTATTTCAAAAACCTGAAGAGGATACCCAGAAAATCAATGATATGAGTGCAGAGGTAACTAAAGAAAAGCTGGAAAATCAGAACACAAATGGAACTGCTGAACCCCAGCTAAGCAAACCATATGTCCAACCACCCATAGACCCCTTTTTACTGGTCCTGAGCACTTCTGCATCGGCACCAGATCCCTTTCTACCCGAAAGACCGCGTCCAATGTCGCCTCGTGAAATGCGGGCCACGCTGGAGGAGATTAAGCACAGCTTCCGTGCCCAATTGGAACCGGAATCGCCCTCTATATCCAACTCCCCGTCGCCCTCTTTGCGACCCAGGGCCAATCATGGCAAGGGGCGGGCTCCACCGCCGCCACTGCCACCAAAAAAACACTCACTAAGTCCCCAACCGGACGCCATCAGCCAGACATCGACGGGCAGCGTGGAACGCAAGTCAGGTATCGGCCAACTGTTCAAGCAAATCAAAGCTAATGTGCTGCGTAACAAAGCTAATCCCAGCCAGCGGCCGGAGGATGAGCAGCTGGCGGCCAAAGAGACGCAGATTTGAAGTAAGCCCAGCTCGAAGCTCTCATCATCCCAGTGTTATGTTTCGCTCACCGCCGGGCGATTTCATCTGCGCCTTTAACTTCCATGGCCCCTGAAAATATGGCATTCTATCCTTTTGTACAGTTGCGTTACTAACTCTTAGATTTAAGCATTTGCAGCATGTTGTTTGAAATGTTTTAAGTGGTATACAAACTCTAATTTTATATTTTAATTCCTTCATTTATTGCAGGACAAATCCATGTCTGCTAGCTGCACCACTTTGCCCCGTTCGAGCAGCCGGAAAACGGACAGATCCCAAGTGGGTGGAACTGGTGCCACTGGTGGGCAGGCCAAAACGCGCAACAAGTCGGAAAAGTAGTGGAGCATCATCAAGATATTGATTTAGGTGGATGGAAAGTATAAATCCATAGAACCAGAACCTCATGTTTTAGTTTAAATTGTAACTTAATACGGATATCGATACAGATTATGATAATATTAGCTATATATGCATATGCATTGTGTACTTTGTTTGTGATTCTATTAGAGCTCCAGGCGCACTACGTTCCTGGTGGCCATTTGGTACTCATTTCGTGACTAGTTTAGCGTTAAGCGAGTCTCCTAGCCTATCTGCCCCCAAAAAAGGTTCTCCAACAGCTGTACTAACCAAAAATGAAACCCCAAGAAACCTATCAATTGTGTAGCATAAATTCCTAATATTGTAATTGAGCATTAAATAAAAGAACCTATACCATTGAACTGAACAATTAGAGAAGTTTTTGATGTTCTAAAACTTTGAAATAGTTAGGATATCGTTGGTATTTAAAATAATATTTGTTATTCAAGAATGTGTTTATTATATATCACACGTATGACAGATTTAGGGAACTTTGATATTTCATCTACAGGTTTACTATTCAGCTTCCTCTGCAGGCGCCTTTTGGGTGTCTCCAGCCCCACTTTGAGGAACTCCTGCTTCGGACTCCTCTTCGGGTTCTTCCGAATCCATATCGTGTTCGTTATAGTAAAGGACCTTGCGTATGTATCGGGCCACTAGTTCCTGAGGTCTCTTCTCCCACTTGGCCAAGATCTCATGAGGTGTTTTGATCTACAATTAATATGATAATCAATACTTAGAAAATACTCATGATAAACTATGATATTAGTATAATTTAGTAACATGTTATTTGTATAATTTAGTAATATGTTATTTGTAAAATATTTTTAAAAGTATATATTTAAGCTCACCTGATCTCCATTTAAGCGATTTAGAATTGCCACACAGACGACTGCGCCGCTGATGTTGGCCCGACTGGTGAGGGCGGCAAAGGCAAGACTCTCCATCTCGATGTTCTTCACCTCCTGGCTCTGCAGGTGCTCCAAATAGGTCTTCTTATTCTCCGGCGTATATTCGCAAAAGGCACCATCCAATCGCGATTGGCCCTCGTAGAAGTCATGGGCACATAGTGTCCTACCGATTACGGCCTCAAATTTGTCCTTGCAGGGATCGTGACACATCTTGATTTCATCGGCCAGACCCTCGTCCAGTTGGCTGGAATGTTGGACACTGATGCCGTGCACCAGGATCTCGTGGGCGGGATTAAGTCGGCCATCGACCGCCTCGGAGGAGATGACAACAGTTCCGGGATCGACGCCAATTCCACCACAGGTTCCGATCCTTATGAAGACGGGGTCCTTGCACTTGGCGTGGTACATCATCTTGATGAGTTCGTGCAGCAGGATGGAGATCGAGGGACAGCCCATTCCATGGCTGGCGCAGAGCACGGGACCCACTTTAAACAAGGAGAATCGCTTGCCCGCCTCCGCCATGTCGCGTAGTTTGGTGGCCGCATTGATCTTCAGGCCGATCTCCTGCATCACGTAGTAGGCGAAGTTCTCCATCCGTCCCGCTGTTCCTCCCATGCAAACAAACTGTTTATAAGAAAGGATCATGTATAAGTATAGTAGTCTTAAGACCATGATATTTTGGAATTTATGGATTTAGGATCTTACAATCTTAAATATGTATATTAAAAAAATCGATATGAAACGCATTTCGATTTTACATTATGTAATATTAATTTGAACTTGATATGGGGCCAGGTAAATTTGATATGGTCGAAATAAGTATTTCATGTAAAAACGAAAAGGGTTTTGCAAAACCAGAAATTTACATGCGCAGATCGATTTTACGGCGACATGCTATTTTTGTGTGTATTTAATTTCGGTATATGTATCTAATAGATACTATCTATAGATTTATTCCAAGTTTTCTTAATCCCAATTTGATTAGAACTTACCCTTACATCCCCAAAAACCTTGGGGAAGTCTGTGGTCTCAGTGTCAAGTCCCAGGTGATAAAGTATGTCGGGCTGCAGGCACTTCAGGCAAGGATTCAGACCGCAAAGGGTGGACTCCTTGTTCTCCTCGTCCTTTCTGCAGCCTTCTTTCATCTGCCTGACCAACTTGGCGAGTGTCTTGCTCTGGGCATTCACGATAGCTATGGGATGCGGTTTGTATTATAGGGATCCTGCACCATTTTTAGACGTTACCCTTTAGTTGGCCCACCTCATTGGCCAAACGGCAGGTGCAGTCACTACAATTACTTTTGGGCATTTTTATATATTTTTTTGATTTCAAATAAAATTTTGTACAACGTATTTCCAGAAGCAGTTTTCTGTAGAATTTAAATTATATAAAGAGAAACTTCAGAAGTTTCAAAATTGATTCAAAGATCGAGAGTATAAAATTATTAGAACCTACATTTTTAAAAAAAAGTCCTTCAGTGTACCTAACTATCTACAAAGACTAATATTAGTAAAAACAACTAATAGATTGGTATTCTTTATTAACAATCATGCCTTTTTTTATTCCTAACAATATTCGAGTAAAAATGTGGATACGTTGAAATACAGATAATTTTATAGAAATTGTTTGTTTTAGAAAACTGAATAATCGAGTTTAAAATCAAATTTTGAAGATGACTTTCTTATGCGATAAAACCAATTATTTAAATGTTGCAAATAAATTTATCTTTTGTTATGACTCAGGTAAAAGATAAAAACTTCCTCTTGAAAAATTCCACCCGAAACATGTGATAAGTGTCGCCAGAACATCTGTACCGCCCCTCGTAGGCCTAAGTAAATGCAGCGATTACTTTATCCGCCCCGCAATAAAATATAGTGAAACCGCGAAAAAGAGGCAAACCGGCTTTTGCGAACCGCCGAAACAGCTTTGCGAGCAGCTCTTCTTCTTGCCGCGACCACATGCAGCAGCTCCAGAAACTCGGAGCGCAGCTTTCGCGGAGCCCACCCCTCGCCCCCCTCTCCCGATCATCATGGCCGTCGTCACACATGCGCAGCAGCTGATGCGCGAGCGCTGACCTTGACCCTCAATTGGAGTCGCCGTGGATGCGCCGACTTGTTGCCAAGTGCAGCCGGCGAAGTTGAAGTTGCCACCCCAACCCGATTCGCTCTCTCTCCTCTCTCTTCCACTGCCTTTTTTTTCGCACAGCCATTTTTCACCATTAGCGGCGACTGTACTTTGCAGCACGATATATTCACTTAGCGCGTTTGTCTGTATGTAATGTGTGTGTGGTGGTACGTAAACTGCAAAGAAAGCGGCATACATACATATGCGGAGAGAGAGCCCCATCAGCTGCCCGCGCCATGTGTTCGCAGCTGCAATTGCCGGTAAACTGGTTGGCAGCGAGAGAGAGTGATCGCTCTCTCCTGCCCAGGGGCGGAACAAGTAAAAATTAGCAGGGGGTTAAAAGTTTTCTAAAAATAAAAAAACAAATGAGGTGTTAATATTACTCTCCCTCCCGTAAGAAATCACACATGGTATTGGAATTATTTTTTTTTGTCTCAAATCAGCAGCTCCAGCATTTTAATTTACAATTAAAAAACAATCACAGTGATATTTGAATTTTCATTTTCTTCATCGTACGTAGGTTTCGCATCTTTTTCGTGTCCCGTCCGTCCAACTGAACTGAAGATGTGTGTGTGTGCCATTTGTCTTCTTCTTCTGCCCGGTGAGTGCTTCGCTCGCTTGTCTTCTTATGGTTAGCTCATCCTCTCCAGCGTTGCGTTCCGTTTTCATAGTCGTCGTATATGTGTGTGTCTACCATTGTTGATGTTCTCTTCTTGTTCTTTGTCTGCTTCTCTGTTCTTGTTTGCTGGCCCCTTCGGCTCCACAGCTATGCGATATAAGCTACCCCGCTCGAGAGATCTTGGATCATGATGGTATGATGTAGGTATAGGTGTGTGGTGTAGTATGGATGGATGGTATCGTTAGGTATTAGGCATGATGGGTGGCTTAGGGGTGGGATACTGGTTAGGCAGTCGTACATCCTGTAGAATTCCCAAGGCTCGCCGGCAGCAGCTGGATGGAGTGGAGTTGGTAACTTGTGGTCTTGTCTTCTCTTCTCGCCGCCTGATTCTTAGCTTTTTCATTGGTTTTTTTTTCTTTAATAATTTTTATTTACGCTTTTTCTTTCGGTTGTTTCTGGCTGTGGAACTCCTAATAGGATCATTTATATAGTATTCTTTAAGGTATTCTTTTTTTTGTTTCTTTATATAATCTTATATAGTTTCATTCCATTCGTTATAATGTAATTAGTAAATTCAAACACTTTTTGCAGCATAATCATATATAGGTATAATTATAGTAAAGTGGTTTGCTTGGTGATTTCTCTTGTTGTTTTTGCTGTTGCGGTTTAGTCTCATCTTACAAATTGGGTCGTCGTGTCTTCCTCATCTTCCTCTCCTCCTCCTCATCCTCTACGTAGTCGGCGTCATCTGCTCTCTCGGCTGCACAGCTGCCGTTGGCTATCGTCTTCATGTTCTTCTCCGTACCCCCGCATTTCGTAGAGCCTTTCTACCTCCTTAACCACTGATTCTTCTGGCGGCTCCTCTTGGAAAGCCCTCCTCTGCTTCATGTTCTTCTCTCAGTTCTCGGGACGTTGGCACCGCGCTGCAGGCTCAGAGATGGTGGTTTACTGGATGATTCTTCGGGATTATATAGTCTGCACGTGTGTGTGTGTGTTAATGGGTGTGGGTGGTGGGTGGGTGGGTGGTTGTGGAGGGGGTTGATCTTGACTTTTGGGTGCTGCTGCTGCTATCGCTTCTTCTTGTTGTTGTTCTTGCTGTTGGCTGGCTTTGTGAATGTTGTAGCAAATTGATTTTTCGTTTTTCATATTTTTTTTTTCTTCTTTCTTCTCATTATTCTTTTTCTTCTTCGTGTGTTGAATTATTACTCATTCCCTCCTTCGATGATTACATTTTTGCTGAGGTGCCACGAGTGGGTGGGTGGTGTGTGTGGCGCCTAGTTCCGTCCGCCCTTCTCGTCGCACTCGCGCCTCAGATGTCCGCTCTTGCCGCAGCCGTAGCAAGTCTTCGAGGTCTCCGGGCAGTTCTTGGAGATGTGTCCGGTGCGGTTGCACTTGTAGCACGACACATTGGCCGGCCCACGCTCGTTGACCGCCTCGGGGCAGTTGCGCACCCAGTGGCCGGTCTTGTTGCACCGATAGCAGGTCGGGTTGTCCGCCTGGGTGCAGTCCTTCGAGATGTGCCCGATGCCGTTGCACCGATAGCAGCGCTCGGCCTCCTCGGGGCAGGCACGTGCAAAGTGCCCGAATTGGTTGCATTTGTAGCACTTTTCCCGGTTGCGACGCATGCCGCCGCCATCGCTGCCGCCGCCGCCGCGCATACCGCCTCCGCCGCCGCCACCGCCGCCGCCTCCTCCAACGCCGCCCGGTCCTCCGCCGAGACTGCAGTCCCGGGCAAAGTGGCCCGGCCGGTTGCACTTGTAGCACGTGGCAGACATCGACATCTTGGCTTCGATTTTGGTTAGATTACGCTTCGCTCCGCAAAAATCCCTCTCGATCAACGCTTCTCAACTTCCTCGCACACTCTCACTGGTTCCACGGGCCCTCGAGCACTACACACTGCTTGCGCTGGATGCGAAAAAACCACACAGACGAACAGGATCTCCGGCTTCCTCAGATTTCCTCGCCGTATTTTCGACGCCAAAAGTTAAAATGGCTGCCGCTAAGCCGACCGAGTACTAAATCGGGGCTGGTATCGACTACTCGCCAGAGTTGCTTCGGTTGCGCTTCAATGCAACGCTGCTCCTCCACGCGGTGCACATTGGTTCGGGGTGCGACGACAACGAGGCGAAATGTTTGACTGACTGGGTGGCGCCGTTGGGGCACTTGCTACTCCCCCCCGGCCAGCTTGGATTTACGGGATCCATTTTTCCGTTTCCCTTTCACACATTTCGTTCTGGGCTCCCTAAGAGGGGTCTTTGTTATCTCGACGTTACTACATAACCAAATTTGGTTACGTTTTTCGACCACGGCGTAAGCAGTGTGCCCGTAGTGATGGACCGAACTTATCGGCCCAAGCGTTAGGGATATCCCTCGATGACGGGTTATCGGAATAAATTTATTTAAACAAATTTAATTATTATTGTAAATATTTATTAATAAATTTGTATTTTAAATGTGTTTATATTTACAAAACGTTAAAATTCGTTAATTTCAGGCATCGATAACCGATTGTCACATTAAGGGTATGCTTCACAAAAAGCCGCATAGTAAAGGGTTGTTTTGAGAAAAAAGTATATTTTTAATTGAAAAACTGGCGAAATAGCTTTCAGCTAAAATAGGAGGGTCTACTATTACTTATTTTAGTCAAAATGAACGTAATAGTACTTAGGAAACATATTATCGATTTATCCATTAGGGGTTAGTAACCAAATCATAACTCAAAAATGTAGTTTAATAAACGAAAATTATTTGTTTCTTTTTAAAAATACAATAACGTGAAATTGTTTAAATCTTTATGAAATTTTATCAATTCAGCAACGACGGACCAACTATCGATTTTTTGCATAAGGGATATTCTTTGTAAAAATTAAAGTAAATTAAATGAAATATAAGATTTTTGGATAATAATTTAAGATAAATATATAAAATATTTAGTAATTTTAACTCACTTCTAGAACGGAATCGATACTTTAAATAGTTTTGAATGACCGATACTATCGACACAGCGGCACCTTCGACGCCGGTCCATCACCACCGCCATAAGAATTTTTGGACCACCTGGTATCGATTGTTTGTTTTTTTTTGCAACAAACATTTTATATTAGTTATGCGTGCGTGGCCAAAATGCTAATTGTCTGGTTAGTGCTTGCCGCCACACTGAGCCGCTGCATCCGAGCCGAGACCACGATATCGATACCGATCACAACGCAGGACATAATAGCGGGTGACGTGTTTTTTGAAATCCTCTCGCCCTCGGACCTGGAGTACACCTACCGGCTGCGCCCGGCCAAGGACTTTGGAGCCGCCTTCTCGGAGCGGCTGGAGGGCGTGCCGCTGGTGCTCACCGATCCGCCGGGCGCCTGCCAGGAGATCCGCAACGCCCGGGATCTCAATGGGGGCGTCGCACTCATCGATAGGGGGTGAGAACTATATCGCTGGGGTGCCTGAAACTTATCTTCTGTGATGGAAGGTGCCTGGTAGATGGCACCATACCTAGCCACTCCTTATCAGCAGTCTTTAACTTACCTATACCAAGAAGTAATACTCACCTATCAGTATATCAGTCTGGTTTCAAAAGAGTTTCGCCTATTAAAAAGGTTATTATCAGCAATGTCGCAATCTGGTTACGTGCCACAAAAATGTCACTTTTAAACCAAGTCCATCAAGTTTCTTAATACATGGAGATTCCGTCTGGAAGAATCGCTAGGTGTATGATTTCAAAGTCCCATTCCAAAAGGCATCCGTTACCAGAAATTTGCCGAAAACTAAACAAACAAGGAATCCGGTCATCAAGAAGAGCAACTGAAATGTAACTGGATAAAGAAAATGCCAGGAAAGGTGGCACAGAACCCACAAAATTACCAGGATTATCTGGTGGAAGCCGACTTTCTATACCTGAGTCCCCACCGAGTCTAGACAACCGCTCATTTCAGAGAACCAGGACTTATACTGATTCTAAAAGATGAATATTTACCCAATTAAAGATATATACATACCCTCTTTCCATTCAATCATTCATCATCAGTAGACAACGGATTTTAGGTGAAATCGTTTTTTTTTTAAATATGATTTAAAGCCACATTTGATCGGTTAAATTTTTTTTACAAAAATCTCAATTAAGTTTGGCCTAAATCGAATTATAACTGAATAAATGCAATTTGAAAGCAATTAAATGTGGCTTTAAATCGTATTTAAAAAAAAAACGATTTCACCTAAAATCCGATGTCTAATCATCACTCTTTCCTTGCCCAATTCTAATGGTCTACCTTCTTCCAGGGAGTGCTCCTTCGTCACCAAAACGCTGCAGGCGGAGGCAGCGGGCGCCTTGGCTGCCATCATCACGGAGTATAATCCCGGATCCCCAGAGTTCGAGCACTACATCGAGATGATACACGACAACTCGCAGCGGGACGCCAATATACCGGCCGGCTTTTTGCTCGGCAAGAACGGCGTCATCATTCGGTCGACGCTGCAGCGACTGAAGAGGGTGCACGCCCTGATTAACATACCGGTTAACCTCACCTTCATCCCGCCCTCCAAGATCAACCATCCGCCGTGGTTGGGCTGGTGACGCGGCTGGCAGGATTGCCAGGATACGAGCTGAAACCAAAGTGCATACTCGTAGTAGGCAGATAAATCGAGAAACCGCAACTGAGACTAAACTTTAGAGTACTAAATAAGTAGCTAATTCGTAGACGGAAGCCATAAATTGTAAATAAATTGCGTAGCAGCATCCACAGATAGTTGGGTCGCAAAGTTGTAAGCTAGACAAATACTATAATTCTTTATTATTATAGGTATAGTGGTTATACTTTGCCCAGGGCGGTGAGATTCAGGCACATGCCCAGCGTGAGGATCACAATGACCACGACTAGGATGGCGAAGCACAGGTAATTCGGCTGGATGGGCATGCGGAAGAGTTTGGCGGACATGTCCAGCGAGGCGGCGAACAGCAGCGTCGAGTTGAGATCCTCCGCCGAGGTATTGTGGTAGACAAAGGGACGCACGCGTATCTGATGACCATTTGCCTGGGCATTTTGGCATACGCGCGTCACCGAGGAGGCGACGAAAAAGGGTAGCAAACCGAGGAACAGCCACAGCATCACATTGGCAATGTTCAGTAGGACGAGCTTCAAGGCGCAGTAGTGGAAATCAAAGTCCTTGAAGAGGTACACTAAGCCAGCGAAGGCGTATGCCAGATTCATTACAATCAGAAAGCAAACCGGGATAGAAACATGCTGATTTAGCCGCTCCAGCAGCTTGCGGAATTCCAGCACTTCTCTCATCCAATCCAGTGAATCGATGGAGTGCATAAGTAGCTTGTGCGACAGCGTTTCCAAATGCATCCTCAGCAAATAGCACTCGATATAGTAGTTGCTCAGTATGATAATCTCCACGAGATCTTGCAGGAGTATGGTGACCAGCAGACCCACTCGCAGCCACATCTCCCAGTCACTCAGGGCCTCTGCTAGCCAGGACACCTTGACGATCTGGCTGGGCTGCATCATCACCACACAGCAGGCGTAGCCGAAGAGCAGAATCAGCAGGGCCAGTGCAATGGCCAGAAAGAGCCACAACATTCGGCAGAGCCTCTTCGGTTTGGCCGACATCAGGAAGACCCGCTCGATGAGATTCTGCAGCTGCTCGTGGTCGATCACCTTGCAGACCAACACAGCTGACACGAAAGCTAAGAGGTTGAAGCCACTGGGCACTATAAATCCAAAGAGCAGTTCTCCGATGGTATTGGGAGTAACTGCTCCGCCATCTGTCCCATTGCTAATGGGTCGAATGTCCCGGTAGCTGGTGAAGCCACGATCGCCTCTGGAAGGGAAAAAAGTGGGATATAATGTTAATGATGAAAAATAATAATAGGGTACAGTAAATGCAAAATATATGTAGTATTTAAATTGTTAGAATAAGTAGAGAGGTATCATAATTTAAAGGAAAATGAGTAACTATTAAAAAGAATATTTTTGTTATTGTTTAGAATAAGTAGAGAGGGATCATAATTTAAAGGAAAATGAGTAACTATTAAAAAGAATATTTTTGTTATCAATCTTAAAGATTTTTAAAATTTTAAGCATCAATGTAAATTGTATCCTAAGTGAAAACGCATTTTAGAAGTAGTAATCAACTTGTCTTAGCGATTTTTTTTCCAACAATTTTTTTTTTTTTTTTTCTATCTTCTTCTCAAGTATAATACTTATAATTTAATGCGCTAGGGGATTGTTTACGTTTTCTAAAAAACAGTTTTACCTGTTATTTTAATTGTTATTTTTTAATTTTTAAATTGTTTGAATTAAAAGTTGGAAAGTTGAAAGTTGGTGAGGAACACCATATTACTTCATCATTTGTTTTTAAAGATATATTATTCATTTATTACAGACACATCCAATAACCGATAATAATGAACTGTTTTTGTTTAAAGCTGTGAAGGTTTGTTTTTCCGGAATAATAAATGAATTGATAAAAAACCGTAGCTTTGAACATATGATTGCTTTTAAGTGTAGTTTGCTTACATGTTGCGATAAACTGACTGGCTTTCTGTTTCAGTGAATCACTTTCCCTGTTGTATTATCAATTCAGACCTGCTTTTGAAGCTATTCAAGCTATTCAAGCCACTCACCTGTAACCGCATATGTACCGCAAAAGGTATCCCACCAGCAGGACGAATAGAACCATCAGAGCCTGGACGTAACTGCAACATGCCCGCACACTGCTCATATCGGTGGAGATGGGATTCAGGCCCACCAGCGTCAGGATGGCCACATAGGGACGGAGGAACTGTTTTTGGGCGAGATTCCCACGAGATTCGGGTGTTAGGTAATCAATTTCGATGACCGATCATCCAGCACAACCACACCCATCATACCTTCCGTTTGCAGTAGTCCAGAAGAGCGGAGGTGGGCTCATGTTCTCCCGGCTGCTGCAGTTCATCATTGGCATTCCCGTTCAGGCGATTGATGAAACAAAAAGAGCTCTCCGCATTATTTCGATACATGACAAAGAACGATGGTATGGGAGGGGGGGTTTTAAAGCGATAGAGGGTGGAAAACAACGGTTATTATAACGGGGGGATCTCATTCACAACAAAAACACATGGCGTGGGTGGGGGAGGTTTGAGTTCCGAACGGGAGAAACAGAGAGAGAGAGAGAGATCGATCGCGACCGGCGGTCTGGCCTCAACTGAAGCCCCCAACTTACAAGCTCGTCGTGCAGCCAGGATGATCCAATGGAAGTCGCTCGACTTCGGCTCCCGCTGCGACTGCTCCATGGCTCCATTCCATTACGATAACGATCGCAATTCCGATCCCGATCACGATCCCGATCCCCTTCGACGACGCTCATCGAGTGCAGCGGTAACGGTAACGGTAAATTGACTAAATTGAAACTCGAGCCGCAAGCACAAATAGCAATAAATGTGCGACGAAGCTTTCCTGCTCTCTTTCTGAGCTTTGTGTTCTTCCCGACCAACCCCCTCCGCCCCCTCCCAAAAACCCCCCTTATCAATCAATTTTATCTCGGGACCCGGCGGGGATCGCGTTTCTCGAGTCTGCTGGGCACCTGTTACAGTTTAGATAGGAATCAGCCCTGTTATCATCGAGCACTATCTGCCGGTAGTAAAAATTTGCATATATACATATGTATATGCTCGGATCCATATCGGACATGTGTAAACTCCCAATGCCATGTACCCATACTTGTACCTACATATATGTAACATTGCGTCGTCGTTATCGCGTGTCTGGTGGGGCTTTTCTTTGTCACGCTTTCACTGAGCGGGCGTTTCTCTCCCAGTCATCACTCTCTATTTATTGTTCTCCGAGAACCTAATGAAGATGCTGATTATGCTTTCATTCTCCACCCGATTCTTAAGAAGTGCACACAAAAAAAATTTTTGTCAGATTCAAGATGATATGGGGTTTTTAATTGATATTGTTAAAAGAAAATGTTTCGATTTTTAAATGAAATGAAAAAAATTATTTAGACAAGATAAAATAAAATCTTTATTGAAATTGATCTTTGTACTTACATTTTTAATTAATATTCTCAAATCGATAAAATTACGATTCTCAAGTATTAATGCAACTTATAATATTATTTTTCTTTTAACATAACAATAGATGAGACCTACTGCTTATTTTTGTGTGCATTCCCCTGATAAGAAAATATATATTCAAGATTATTATTATTATTCTAGGAAATTATTAAATTAAAATCGATTCTATTGTCTAAAGACTCGGTAATTTATCATATTTAAAGAGGAAATATTTTGCAAACAATTCGACACATGATTAAAATATAAAAGCTGTTTAAATACTGCCTATTTAATAGTCATATTTCGTGAGCTGTAATTTTTATCAAATAAAAACACCTCTTAACGAGGTAAAAAACTAGTGACGACCGCACCTTCAACATACAAAAGTTCTGATATCAACATTTGTGACGAAAAATTATTACACTCGTCATTAAATAGACTTTCTAATATTTTCTCATTCGGCCCGCCCTAGCAAACTATTCCAGCCTTTTTCCCCTTACAGGCATTTTCTATTGCAGCGTGACGAATGAGAAAAGATTAGAAAGTCTATTTAATGACGAGTGTAATAATTTTTCGTCACAAATGTTGATATCAGAACTTTTGTATGTTGAAGGTGCGGTCGTCACTAGTTTTTTACCTCGTTAAGAGGTGTTTTTATTTGATATCAGAAGTTTTTGTTTGTTTACATTTGCTCTCATAGGAGCTAATATATACATTTAAATTTAAATTGGTCAATCATAATTTTTAAACTATTGTTAACAAATTAAGTTAAAAAGGCGTTGAAGTATTTCAAAATACCTTTTAAACGAGGTATAGTACATGTCTGTACCTTTAGTAGTGTAGAACTTACAAACTAACGAAATTTAGCTATTTTTAGCTTTTTCCCGCTAAAGTAGCGGCTTTTTCCAAAAGTCGTAGAACAAAAGATTCCTATATGGAACTCTTAAGTGCAAATTTACTGATTCCATGACCCTAAAGTACAGTTCGGATACCCTCCCACAAAATTCAATACTCAGGGAGCGTTAATTGTTCGAGCTGGCAAAAGTGGCTATTTTCGAATAAAAATAACTTTTAAACGTGACTTTTTACAGTAATGTGTTATAAACCAAAATTTAAGGAATCTCAAGGGCTATACAGTTTAAGGTTTTAAAGAAAATCGTTAGAGCCGTTTTTGAAAAAAATAAAAAAAAGCTAAAAAAAAAGTTTTAAAAAATTGTCTTTTGTTCATATTTTTTTAAGTATTACATTTACACAAATTGCATATAGAAGGCGTTTATAGCATTTAAAAATACCTTTCAAACGAGATGCAGCACAAGCCTGTAGCTTTAGTAGTATAGAAGTTACGGCTTTCCGAATTTTAGCTACTTATAGCTGTTTTCCCGCTAAACTAGCGGGTTTTTCCAAAAGTGATAGAACAAAAGTTTTTTATATCGATGTGATGAACGTCATATCAAATTTTCAGAACTTAAAAAACATATTTTGGACAAGTGGACAAACAGAATTAAATTTTCATTTTGGGAAGAAGAAGAAAATCTTATTTTGGCTATAACTTTTGAACGGAGAGTCGGATTTTGACAAATGACCCCTCATTCGACGGGTATTTTCAAAAGGAATACAACTAAAACATTGCGAGGGGGCATTTATCCCCACCGGCCCCAACAGCTCCAAATTTCGAAATTTTCACTTTTTCACTTTCACCGCTCTCTCTCCCAAGCCAATTGATTTTCTTAAAGTCTTGGTATGCAATCCTGTTAGTTTTCGCAATACCTTTCGATAGGTGTATTATTCATTATGATCGGACCATCACAGTAGATTTTCATTTCTTCGTGTATATATAGTAGTCGCCTTCGCACACTCTCCTGGTGCGCTTCGTCACTACATGGACTGCCGTCCATAGTGATTTATTTAAATTTTCTGGAAAATTGATGTGCCGCAACGATTAAAGGTGCAAATGAATACTACCTTGACTTAACAGCTCTTCTGAAATTTTTGCTTGTAAACTTTATAATTTATAATTTAACCCACTAAACTTTTAAGAAATTACCATGATTTACTTAAGTTATTTTATAAATATTTAATGATTTCATTTTAAAGAAAATATTTATGTATTCTCTTCTGCGAAACATTTTCCCTGATATCCCGATTTTTAAGCAAATTCAGTAATTGGCTGGCAGAGGGTTAACACTTACTTGCCCTCCTGCCGCATCGATAATAAAGTTTCGAAATTTACGTCAAAGTAATTAAATGAAATTGAACGCAAGTCGAAAGCGGTTTTAACTTTTTGCCCACTTAAAATGCTGTTCGACGATTTGGCAACGAGGCCATGGACGGATTCAGTTCCGGTTTTATTCCAGTTTCAGGTCCAGAGATCCATGGCCAGGCCGCAGAAAGAAGCCGCAGACAGAAGCCGCATGCTGTCGGGATGTGAGATACGAGTATCAGCTCCTGTCTGTCCAGCCCCCATCCCCATATCCCCATGACCCCACCCCCCTTTGGCACGCTCATGTAAATTAGCTGCGTTGTCAAATAATTCTGATTTGTTGTTGCTACACTGGCATGCTAATAAAAGCGGAATGGAATGACCATCAACCCATCCCAATCCCCTTGTCAATATGTCAGCCCGACCAACGCTCGTCACTTGACAATGCCACTATCTCACTCTAACTAGGCGTGGGTACAGCGTTTTGTTTAAAAATCAAATCAAATATTACGAGAAAATTTCAATGCGGTCGGAATGCATAGGAAATTTTATGCCCGCCGCAGCCGCAAAAACGCAAATGTTGACTCCACTCCGCCGGCCAGCAGCTGGGCACCAGAACCAGAACACCAGTCGAGATGGAGCGGACAGATACAGTTACTCGCAATGCCGCCACATCGTTCAGATACGGATACTGGTCATCATGGCGAATGCAGTCATTCGGGTCGAGTCACAAATCGCTTTAAGTGACGATTTAAACGGGATTTGCGAAAAATCCAATGGGGCATATTTTATGTTGATGGATTTTAAACTGGGTGAATGAAAGGCGAGAAAGTAAACTGTCAGATGAAAATTATTTGATTAAACTCGAACTCATGCAGTTTTTCTGCACATCTATACGTTGACTTACGTTTTTGAAATACGAAAATAAAAAAAATAAAGAAAAGAAGAATAGAGGTTTTATTTAGCAGTTTAATCTTTAACTTTTTTTATATGATTATATGATTTGGGTCGTTCCTTTAAAAAAAAATGGTTTTAGTTCTTTAATCTAGAAATTTATTAAACAATTCGGAACCAACTATATATAAACGACTTTAAACAAATTGAAAATCTTTTACTTACTTAAAAAATTATGTTTTATAAATAAATTTTAAATCCTTAGTTTGAAAAGAAGCCAATTGGATCGTTATAATGATGAAGATAATGAAGATATGGAAGCTTATAATTTTTTTTCCGAGTACTTACGCTAAGTTTTAATCGAAAATCGTTCCATTATAAAAGAACAGCCTAAACAAAGAAAATGGAATGCGCACTTGAGCACTGATAAGAGTTTATTTCACAGTTTATGGTTCATTTCAATTTTGTTTCTCGTAATATGCAGACTTCATTTGTTTGGATTTTCTTGCTCATAAGCCACGTAGGTGCTTTTCGGTTCTTAGTGGAGTTCTGCGGAACTTCAATCACATTCAAAACAACCACCAGTCATAGAGCAGAAAAATATGATGCTTGGCTGGCAACTATTAAAAATGAGACACATTTGCAGTGTCACGGAACCCTGATACATAAGCGTTCGTATTTCTTGTACAACATAAAAATTTAGATAAAATATGAAAATGTTTCTTCAGATTTTGTTTTAACTGCTGCTCATTGCATATATCTTCCTGGATATAAGTAAGTATCCGCTACATAGATATTTCTTGAAATAATATTTATTGTTTTTAGAACCGTGGTGTTGGGATCCGCTGAATATGCTGTCAGCAATTTAGTGGTGCACAGAGATTATAAACAGAATGATATAGGCCTTCTTAAACTGAGAAGCAGAGTTGTATTTACTGGCAAGTAATCAATTGTATTGCTTGAAAGATGATATTAATATCAGTTCTCCTCAGACTTTATTTACCCAATATGCATAAATCTGGATAAGAATTTTAAGAGGCATGTAGAGAACTCGCGGACATTTGAAGCTTTTGCTTCAAGCCCCGGAGATTATAGACTTCAAGCCATTAGGCTTAGGAAGCTAAATCGGAACAATTGCCAATCGAGCTTAGCTGCGAATCCAATTTGCGCCAAGAGTTTCTCAACTTCAGCCTCTTGTCGTCTCGAACTCGGAAGTCCTTTGACTCAATATGTCCGCCTTCCAAGAGCGTTTCCTCGCCATGTGCAGCTTGGGATCCGAAGCAACGGAAGTGTCGGCTGCAATAAAGCCGGAGCTTATACCGATCTTTCAAGTTATGTCGAATGGCTTGAGAGAACAGTAAAACGTTACGAGGAAACTCCAGTGGTTGCCCCAAAAGAAGAAAAGCCTAAGCAGATGCCAAGCCAAGGAATATGGCTGTATGAAAACTGCAGTGGAAATACCTTATCAACGAAGTTACGGGCATTTATTTATGGACTTAATTTCGAGGGTCAAGGGTGGCTTATCACAGATAGTACGTATCTAACTCAAGCAATCGAAATTAAATATAATTACTAAATCTATTTGCAGGATTTGTCATCACAAATGCCATAGGTTTACCAGACGATGCTGCATCTCTGTAAGTAGTTTCAACTAATGTAAACCAATTTTCTGTTTTAATATTAATAACTCATTTTTTACAGAGATGTGGGTTTGGCCGGAACTCCAAGGTCGTATGATGAATTCAGAGTACTTTCCGTGTTCAAGCACCCAGCATTTTCTCAAGATTTCAAAAATGATATCGCAATACTTAAACTGAATCGACCGGTAACCATTGGTAAAATATATTTGGTGCGATCCCAGCGACTTTATTTATTGAATATTTTATTTTTTGCAGACAAAATGAAACCTTTGTGCATGTTTACCCAAAAAAAACATCAGGAATCTGCCCAATCAACCTTGCCCTTTACCGTATTCGACTATGTTCAAGCTGGAGATCACATAACCATATTGGAAAAAGATGTGGCACCCATTAATCCCCGTTACTGCTCATATATAATCGGAAATACAATCGAAGCGAATCAAATTTGTTTGCAGACTCCCCAAGGAATGAGTCATAACTACGGAAATCGTGGCGACTTGTTGGCCAAAAAGATTATGTATACGGGAAAAGAATGGATCGTCGTGCTTGGTATAGTCAGTTATACATCCAAGGGCCTACAAGTTTTTACCAATGTCATAGAACATACTGATTGGATAACCCAAATTGTCACCTCTAATCAATAAATTAACCTCTTGATCAATAACATCATTGTCAATTATTTTATGATTAAGAATTCGGGATCTGAAAGAGCTATAAAAGTTAAGTTTAATTAAGTTAAATTGTATTAAAAGTATATATACTTTAATATAAATATATTAATAATTCTTGGCACAATATTTTTAGGCCAATGCAGTATGTTCCCTTTTTTAACTTACTAGTTTAAAAGTACCTATTGAAACTAACTAAAAACAGCTTCTAGTAATTTGAAAATTTTTAAATTTTATAATCCGAATAATGTTTTCTTTTCTTATCTTTAGCATTAAAGTATGTATTATTCATACAATTAAAATTACCAAAGTTCTTGATGTGATTCAACATTATATTATTATTATATCATAATCAACTAAATAAAAATACATTTTAGTTATCTGTAATTTTTGTGCTATCAAACGTTTCTTCTGTATAATGACTTAATCATAAAGACGACAAGGAAACACATGTTTTCATGTCAATATCGGATTTTCCTGTTTAATAGCTGGTTTAAACTCTGTGTTTTATGCGCCATGTCCCCTTGGCCAGCGTGTCAACAAGAGATCAGAGATTGTGGGACGTGTCAAGTGTCCGAAATTCAATTAGACTTCATTAGCATTACCAGCCGGTGGCAGTTTGAAACCCCCTCCAGCATCGCACCCCTTGTGGTTTTGTCTGTCTGTGTGCGTGAACAGATTCAAGCGTTAGCAGATTAGCATAAATGAGATCATTAAAATGCGCTTACGTTTGTGTGGGTGGTTGTTTTCGAAGGAGTACGAGGAGGGGTTCGGGTGGTTCAAGGGGTCAGCTGAGGTGCGGGGTCACGACTTGTTCCTTTCGCACGTTTCTCAGCGACTGACACCGCCTGCAAATTGCCGGGGTCCTGAGTTCTGGGTCCCCATTTTCGTCCTTGTTATCCCGCCTCTCCAAAGGTGTCACTGCTGCTGTAGGTTCGTGTCCCGGCTAGACGGACAAAATTGAAATTTGCATAATTATTGCAGCATCTTTTGGCTCTGATGTCCTTCTCAACGTTCCAACAAATAGTTTTCCCTTCGCCCAGCAACGCCTAATTTGCTCATTAAGTTTAGTGTGATGAGGCAGTTGGGATAAAAAACCGAAGGATAGTCGGGCGAAAGGAAGAACTTCACATTGAATTTTGTTTTCACTAAGCTACAGGTTTAAAGGTCAAAATGGGGTGACTCTAAGTTTCGTACACCAAGATTCTTAAACTAGATCTGATAAGTTGAGCGTTAGAAAAAAAAATAATTTAATTTAATATGTAAAAATACACAGAACTCTTATGCAAAGAATCCTTTTAGTGTCATTTTAACAAAGTTGAGTTAATTACTTTACTCCCTTGTCCTTCTGTTAATTAGGCCATCCTTTATTTTGTTGACCAGTGCTTCATTGAGCTCATTTTGAATTCAGTTAGGTTAATTGGACTGTCATATACCTGTTGCTCTGTGAACTTTGCCCAGAACTGACCTTTCCACCGGAAGTTCGTGCACATGCATTTAAAATGCCACATGAGCTCATTGTGCTTTGGGGTCGGGCGAACTACTCCAGCTCCTGTTTCTGTTTCTGTTCCAGGTCCTTCTCCTTCTCCCAACTCAGTAGTCCCGTCCCGTCAAACAAGCTAATTTTTGATGATACCCACTGGCGCCCGAAGAGGACAGGAAATGGGTGGACTGGTTGCACTGGGGAGAGCACTAAAAGCCTGTCGCTGGCTGCAAATTGAATCAGCAGTCCGGTCTTTCGTCCTCCGTGTGTCAGTGTGTGAGTTTTCGCCTGGGGCCAGTTTTAGTGTCCAGCGGGCGGCGTGCGCGCTCTCATGAAATGTGACCGCAATTGCGGTTCGTTAGCTGCATTTCAGCTAGTCCGCATCCACGTCAGTCCGATGTGGATGTGGATGTGATGCAGCGGCGCCACCAGGAGCTCTGCTCCACCTGCACGTGCTGCCGCCAAAAAAAAACACCAAAGAGGCGGTCAGCGGGTGGGTGAGCCAGCATGGCAAAAGCGCTGTGCTTAAGTGGTCCAAGCGACCGAAAGCACTTTGACCATGCGGTGGCGAAACCCCTTTAGCACCCACACACACCGTTTTAGAGGCTCTACACGGCGAAGAAATATATCCCCTAACATCCTACAATACCACTCGATATTAGATCGATTGGGTTTGTCTTTATCGTTAAAGGAAACATTAAAAAAAAAATTTAAAACCTTTCAAGCTATACAGAAATTATAATATTCTATATTATATAATATTCTATATATTATTAATTTTATAATTTTACATTATTTGAAAGAAGCTTTTTTATTAAGGAGTAGAACACTATTCTAATTTATGTGCTAAATTTTGTGTAACCGCCAATCAATGGACAATTTATTGAGCATATTTCTTTATGTGTTTTTAAAAGTTATGGTTAAAATATCGAAGTGCTTTTAAATTTTTGGAGACTCAGCTTAGAACTAAATGATTATGATTACAAAATAAACTTATAAATTAAAGTAAATACAAGTTAGTTTAGTCCATATAAAAACAAGAATCCTTGCACCTTAAAAGTAGTTACTTCAGTTCTTCTATTAACCTCTCAATTGTTCTACTTTTCCCTGTGCAACAAAAGCTTTAAAGCTCTGTGAGAATCTGGCCCCAAGTCAAATGCCCAACTGACTGGGATTATTTATGTTGAAATTATCAAACGTTTGAGGATTGCCCAGGCACTTAACGGCAATTAGCCCCAGGGCCAGACACACACACACCTGTGGATTCAGACAAGTCGGCCAACTTTTGCCATTGCCAGCCCATTGAGGGGGAGGATGGGGTGGAGGATTGGGAAATGGAAACTCCACCTGCGTCCGCAATCACAGCTCAATGCTCTCTGGCCAACTCGACGGGATTTGCGCATCATCAAATGACCAACTTGAGGTAATTACCAACAAAGGCCAGGAGACACGCACGCATATACATATATATATATCTGGTATGGGACACCCTTCCTTTCATCCGGAGCTCCCAATCTGTCCGGGCACGCAGTGAAAAACTTCTGGCCCCCGTTTGGTGTCTCCTTTCAGCGTCGGACAAACGTGACAAGCATGCGGAATAAGCCGGAGATGGAAAAGGACGAGGAGGCGAGGACCAAGACCAAGACGGAGATGGAGACCCAGACTCGAACTCGAACTCGGAACCGTAGTTCGTTCAAAGGGAAGCTCAACAATTTAAACGGATCTCGTCCTGGATTTCAAGGATATGTCGCATTAACAATGACCTGACCTACTGATGACTGCCAAATGAGTGGTTGGGGAGTGAGGGGGAGGAAGTGGGTGGGTCAGGGGGGCGGCGCACAAGCCACCCATCCCATTTTTGTGTGGGTCCTTTGGGTGGTGTGGATGGGTGTGTGCGACTTTTGTTGCCAAACTAAATATTGTTAGGCAAAGTAAACGCTGTTGTAGACTTTGTGCCAATGGGGGCTGTCAGGGGCGTAGGCAAGAGGGTCTAGGGCTCTAATATTTTTTTATTAACAATAAGGATTTCATAATAATTTAGATGTATTTCTATATTAAGTTTGGTTGAACACATCATAAATTAAAATATTCCAAGGTTTTTTAGATGCAAAAGTTATTTAAATTAGAATTTAATTCTTATTTAGTTATTCCTATGGGAAGCTGTAGTTTACAAAATAATTGGAGTTACAGCAGACCAAATTATTAATACAAAATAAATTATTATTATTATTGAAGTCTTAAATCTTAAAATAAACTATTTACCCTATTAGCTTACAAGAGTTAGTAACCATTAAATGTAATAATTCTAAATGAATCCCCAATAACTCAAAGGAACAACTAAATAAAGCAACCAGCTTCCTGATAATTCCCCCTACTCAATTTTCTCAGCTCCTGGAATTTTCCCTCGCATTTTCCCCCCCGCTGAAGCAAAAGCAAATGGAGGTCTCTGCTTTCGGCGTGCTTTTTCCAAGGACCTGGCCGAGTGCCTCACGTCTATTACCGTTAACCGAAACCCAATGCCGTTGCGGCCATTCAAGTCGACATCCTATCAGGGCGGCAGCTCCTTCGGGGGCACCTCCTCCTCCCCCTCCTCCTTCCCTTCCTTCTCCTGGCTTCTTCTATTGGAGATTTCCTTCCTCATTTTCCTGCCATTTTTTCTGTGTGTGGGTGCATTTTTTTTTCTCCTGTTCTGCTCCTTTTTCCCACCATTATGAAACTGAAGCCGGGCTATATCGAGGATGATGCAGTCAGGAGAGGACGCACCTTGGATTCCCTGCAGCACACACCCACACACACACACACATTCATGCCCAGGGATATCCTGGCCGTAGCTCATTGTTGACGCAACTTGCTCATTAATTTTTTACGCTTAATGTGCGCTCATAATGATTTTTAAATTGAGTCTCCGATTTCACAGATTTGTGCCTGGCTTTCTACCTCTGACTTTGGACAGTAAACAGCAATGACGTCAGAGGCGGCTCATTAGTGGTCGAATCTCGAATGCAAAAGTTCATTTTCATTTTCATTCATTCATGGCTGCATACAATCGCTGAATTATTCGATACATCGAAGTCATTCATTTATTTATTCATATTCATATTTGCAAACAAATAGAGAAGGTGGCCGTGGGGATAAACAATGAGTTTACTGAATGCAGTGATTAAAATGCAATAAGCCCCTCCACCCCTTCTCTTTCCACCCCTTCAGCTGCTCATATGTACAGACTCCTTTGCAGCTCATCGCATCACGCATACGCCACGTTGTCCAGTGGGTAGGTCGAAAAGTGCCGAACGTTTTGTCCGGCTGACAAATTTAATTACTGCCTGGGTGGTGGTGGGGCTCTGGTCTCTCTACTGTTTGTCTCGTCACTGATATGGCCCAGACACATGGTAGGTCCGCAGGTCCTTTACTTGCCCAGCTGCCCCCTTGTCCTTTCGCCCGGACGAAGTCACTTCATTTGATGCGTCAATCAGCACAATCAAAAACTGCAGCCATGAAAATCAATTAAAA